GGGGTGCGTGGCTTGCTTTCTTTCCAACTTTTCCTCGCCCGCGTCAGAGACAATCAACCTTGGTCCGCATTTGACGACAAGGCTAGGCAAGGCTCGGGTACGGCCACGGGGCCATGAGCATGGGGTTGCGAGAACGTCTTGCTTGTCCTCGAACCTTTCCCGCGCTTTCGCGCAGGGTTGCATTGCGGGAACCTACAGCCGCGTGGGCCAGTCTCGAGCCCGTCCCGCCCACCATCATCTCACCATCCACGCAGACCTGGAGCAAAAGCGGTTGGCTCCCACAATAACCACGAGTGCCCGACGCATACCCAAACGTTTCATCCCAGCCAAAGCCGCCCCCAGCCCCGGAAATAGAAGACGCCAACTTCCCCCTGCCATGACTTCCATCACCACCCTTTCCCCGCCCCCATAATCCTTCCGTCTTCCCGGGGACGGAAAGGGAGGAGGGGGGGCTTGATGGTGGTGATGCTAATCCTACCCGATCTCAGCAAATCAATCTCCTCCCGCATGTCCGCCCCGATCCCGGTGAGGGGAGTCGCGAGAACGGCACGCTTCGGGACGGGACGGTATGGGACCGAAGAATGATCTGGGGGGCCTGCCCGCTGGCTCTCGCTCCCCAGTGTAAGTCACACAAAGCAGCAGCAGGCTGGGCTGCTTTGTTGGTCGCAGACCGGTGTGATGACGATGGAACCTTGGGGGTTGGGCCTCTATCATGTGGAATAAACCCTACAGAAGAAGAGCGAAAGAGAGCAGTAAAAGGTGGAGAAATCGAAAAAGGCAGGGAAATATGCACGACAGAGATGCGCTGCTGTGCTGCTTGCCGTCAGGGCCGATCGGCCTGCTGCGAACTGACTGACTATCGGGTTCGCGAACTCCGGTAGATGGCTCGGACAATGTAGCTTCCCATCTAGCAATCTCCTATATCGCCTAGGCGATGAAGGTAGCCGGCTACGTGGACGACAACGCAACTGACCGAGAGATCTGGTCGCCGCGTTGTTCAGACAACGGATGAGTGGACGACCTTGCGCCCCCAAGTTGGGGCTGACCATGCGCGCCACTCACCCCTCACGTCCAAATGCAAGCCCCATTGGCATTAGCATTGACAATGCATTTGCCCCGTTTGGCTGTCTAAGTGATCCGGATTCCAGGCAAGTACTGCGGTGGCTCTTTCCTGAGTGCGACCATCTCGTGCAGCTTGTCATACCAACCTAGCCTTCTCCGTTCCTTCCTTCTCCATCTTCTGTCTGCTTTCCGTCATTCTTTCCTTTTCTAATTTATGACACTGGGGTAATGGTTTCCGTTCCGGCGTAGGATCTTCTCTCCCTGGCCTGACAAATTCACCATTGGAGCCTGCTATATGCGCTAGAGTGAGCCACACTTACACAAGCACAAGCACGACATGAGATAGTAAGGGAGATAGAGATAGAGATAGAGGTATGTATGACTCGCAACACGCAACACACGCGAGACCGCACGACACGACACAACACCTGCCGCGGCTGCCATGGTGCTGCCGCGGTTTCACAACCGACGAGTCCTAGCATCCGGCTCACAAGGGATTGAAGGACGGACCGTGAAGTTGGAATATCAAAGTGTCGAAAATTGGGGCGATCGGCCCTGCATTGGGGAGTCGACGGTTAATGAGTGTACTACGTAGAACATATTCGAGATGAACGCAAAGAAGAACTCCGGCACCGGCATGGGTCGAGAGTTGTATCTAGAAGCACCGGTCATAGTTTCGAGGAATGATTCCGCTCTCTCAAGTTGCTGGATTGGTGTATTCTTCATCTCTTGGAGGCCGATCAACGGCCTTCTGTGCTACTATGTCAAAGTTCCCCGGCTTGTCAAGAGAACGACGGTAAGGGGACGGACGGTATGGGGAAGTGCTGTGGACTGGAATATGAGGCATCTTTTTGTCCACTTGCGTGCTTCTCCTCTACTTTCAAGATGCTGACAACTCGTAGTCCTTTAGACCCCTAATCATACTCTTAGTCAATACATCATATTTGGAACGAAGACTCGGGCCGAGGTCGACGACAGCCGGTCAAGCCTGACCCATTATATGCAAAGCCACCCCTGCGAGTCATAAGAAGGCCATGACCCAAAACAGAACGCGAGTACCTGCGGCTACCCGCATGAGCCAACACATGATATGCCGCTCCTCATACGCGGAGACCCTGGACCATGCCTGCTCCCCTTTGCCGTTCTGCATTTCGACACACCGTTTTGTGTAAGGTAGTTCAAAAATTCCTCTCGAAGCCCCCATTCCGGCAGAATCTCTGTGCGATTGTCCTCGGAGAATTATTGAGACAGCATAAGCATAGCATGTATGTGGGGAGGTGAGGTTTGACTGCTTTTGCCTGTCACTGTTGTGTATTATGGACAGGGTTGGGGGGGGGGATTGGGGGCGTGTTTGGAAAGAAGTGATAACACGAGAAAGAGAGGCAAACTAGCCCCTTACTTGTCGTAGGTATCTCAGCTCCGGCCGCTGCAGCTGTTCGAACAATACACGGGTCAAGGTCGTCGTCATCCATGGCCGCATCAACCCATCGGAAACACCATCGGGAGCATAACCGGTTTGACTAACCGAAAAGAAAAAAAAAACGTTAAGAATAAGAAATACAATACCAAAACGAGAGGAACACATGGCCATAGCATGACCCGCCCCTCCGGGTAGTACCCCCATCATCACGTTTTTGGTTACATTCCGACCCCTTCCGCACCTCCATCTCGCCTCCGATGAGCATATGCATCTAGAGCAAACATCGACTCCGCGCCATGCCCATGCTACCCAATATGTACCCGTTAACTCCCCCCTTCCCCCGCCCGCCTCTCTCTACATACGACGACATCCCGTCCCCGGTCCCGTCCCCAGTCATACCCCGTCACTCCCCGGTCTTCCCACGGTTGCCGCCTCAACCCCCTTGCTTGACAACCGCTGTCAATGACCACCCTTTTTCTAAAACCAAACCACCATATCAATTTCTCTCCTTCTCTCTCTCTGTGTGTTCTATCCGAAATCCCCCGGTATACCTTGTTTTCGTTCCTTCTCGCAAAACCCCCCCAAAAGCCGCCGTTTTCCCCTTTCCCGGGTCCGAGATGAAGACGCAATATCCGCCCTGCGACAACGCCACGACGCTATAACGTGGCGTGGCGGGGATGGGTTTCGAATGTTCCCGTTTATTTCGCTGGGGTCCTTCTGGGCCGGTCTAGCGTGGTGGGTGGTGCGGGACCGTTTGTCTTTCTTTGTGCCTCTTCCGACACGGGAAATCGGGGATCGAGGAATGGGGTCGGTATGGAAGGTTGACGGCGTGACGGGAGTTATGATTTCCTTGAGGAGGGGGGAGGATAGGGTAGTTGGGGGACATACTGGCCTTAGGGAGAGCTGATGACGCGTTGGGTATGGAAAATACAACTTCAGGCCTCATAGGTGTACTTCCTAGAAAGGATGAACAAAATAATACAGGTATTATACGAATAAAACAGCCCGGAAACAGAAATACCCAACTGGAACACCATAACCACCCATAATCCGCCCAACTACACAATACCCAAAACCCATTCGACAGCATACCTTAACGAATACCCATCCAAAACCCACTCCAGATCCCTTATCAAACCAACCCCCTAGCCACGAAAACGTCCACGGAACAACCCAAAGCCACCACTAACCTTACCCCAGCCCAAAATCCCCCCCTATCCCACGTTCCAGCCCATTCGCCCATTCGCCCAGCTGACTCGCCTTGCCCCCTTCAGCCTCGCCCTTCAGCTCCCCCGTCCCCCCTTCAAAACCACCTGGGTACATACACTCATCTCCTGATAAGAAAGACACTTTTCACATCCTTGGCACACCCATCCCTTACCCATGACGCCCGCTCGGCTTCCCACTTTCGCCACGAGGTGGCGCGCCCAAAAAGCACATATTGACAGCAGCGGTAACAGCGGAACGGAACGACAAAAACAACAGGGGGGTAAGGGGGTTGCTGCGGGCTGTTGGGCGTTGCAGCGGGGAGAAATAAGGACAGGGAGGGAGGGTTGGCAGGGGGGAGTGCGGGTAGAATTCGGGGGGCCGAAGAAGGAAGAGACCGAAGAGGGTGTACAGAGGTTTGGAGGGGCGTAGAGAATGAAATGGAAGGAAATAAAAAGGCAGATCCGAGGATGGGGGGTCATGGGCCTGTAGGACGGAAGTTGGAAAGGGCTGGCGGGTTTAGTAGGGAATGAGACGGCTTGTTGGATGATATCTCTGTTTATGGGTTGTATTGTGCGAATATTTGGCTGGGGTCTATCCAAAACTACGTCTTTCACGCCCCCTTCGACCACAAAACTATTTGGCAACGGGAAGATACGTTAAGGAAAGGTCACAGGAGGATAGGCAAAGCCGAGACAACTATCTGCCAGCTAATCGACAGGCTCAAAATCCAAATCATTACCTACCATCTCAACTCGAACTCACTTCCCAACAGCCAAAATGAAAATAGAGACTCGGAATATATCCACACTCTCCCACCCGTTCGGCTTCTCTCCACATCTCGCGCCGAGCCGCGTGGCTGGTTCTCTCCCGGCGTTTCAGGGTTCGGTGGTTCAGCAGTTCAGGGGGGCCGGGAACGGAGTGAACAAAAGGGAAGTAAAGGCCAAAAATGCGGTAACACAAAGACACATCAACCAGGTGGCAACACCACAAACATTTCATTCCTTGTATTATTCCGCCCCTTGACCCCTACATCACATCCCGTACCGTCCGTCCTTACTCCCGAGCGCCCCAGCCGCTCATTTATTCTCAGCCTTCGGGATTTCCGTTTCCAAACTTCCAGTGAACCCTTCCATGGAGATGTCCCACCCGCCGATCAGGCCCCCGATCCAAACCACATTCGCCACCATTGTTGACATCCCCAGAATCAACCCGACCGCCTCAGCTCAATTATCCGGCACCGAACTGGGCCCAAGCTCCCTAAGCCTTCGCCTCAGCCGCCTTCTCCGCGCTCGCAGTCGTGGTCTCCGCAGCAGCCGTAGCAGGTACAGGTCCCTTCGAGTCACCTGAACCAGGCGCGCTCGCCGTCACAGGCGTAGCCGCCGCACTCGTCACCGAAGCCGCAACAGGGCTAGCCACCGTCTCGCCACCCGTGATCCCCGACTCCTGAGCCGCAGGCACAGCAACGACCGGCTTGGGCTTCTCGCTGCTGCCGGAACCAGTGGCGCCCAGAGCCGTCGTGGACGCCGTCGCGCTGACAGGGCTGGTAACCTCGCTACCCGGGGTTGAGCTGGTCGCGGCCGGACCAGTAGCGCCCGCGACGCCGCGGATGACGGAAAACCACTTCTCCGCTTCGGCCGCGGAGTGGGCCTTGAAGGCGAGCTCCGAGGTACCCGCGAGCTTGCCGCCGAAGCCGCCCGAGCGGTCTTTGCCCTTGACGTTGAACTTCTCGCCGTGCGGGGCGCCGATGACGGCGTCGGGGAGGTAGATGGACAGTTCCGGGGTTGGGTCGTAGCGGACGTTGTCGTCGTCCTTGAACTCGTGCAGGAACTTGGACGGGGTGATGACGTAGTAGGAGGTGGTGTAGCCCCAGGAAAGCTTGTTGCGCGATTTCCGCTCGAGCGAGCCCTCGATCAGCGGCTTCGTCGAGGAGTGCGTCATGTTGGGGAACTGGATGCCCTCGACGGTGCGTGGCGGCTCGGCTGGGTCAACCAGAGCGTGGCCGGACCGCTTGACGAAGGCCTTCCATTCGAAGTCGGGCGGGACGCGCTGGGCGGCACCAAGCATATCGGTGTGTAGGGCCTGCACCTTGAGGGCCTGGCCACCGGTCAGGTTGGTGAAGGACTCCATGGCCTGGTGCAGGACCTGGATGATGTGGCGCTCGAAGGTTTCGAAGTTGGCCTGCACGGCCACCAAGTCGTTGTGCTGGTTGTTCTCCTCGAGCACCTGCTTCGACAAGCGGTGCAGCACGCCGCGCGAGATGACGTAGGGGTCCTCCGCCGGGGTGTGCTTGCCGCCGGTGGCCTCGAATGAGGCGGTGTGCTGGCCCAGCAGCTCAATGTGCTTCTGCGTGGTGTTGCGCGCCTTCTCAACTTCCTTGGCCCCCTTTTCAGCGCCGTGGGCCAGCTCCTTGGCCTTGTGCTTGATCTCCTTATGCAAGCGCTCGACAACCGGGAGCGCGGTGCCCTTGATGTTCTTTTCCGTCTCGAGGTTGGAGTTGATCAGCGCCTGCGTGTTGACGCGCATGTTCTCGAAGAAGCCGGCGACGCCGCCGAGGGTCTGGTCGAAGTGCTCCCCCTCCCTAAGGGGTTTCGAGATAGTCTGCAGCGAGGGAAATGTGTGAGCAATTAGCCTAGTCTATACTTGCATAAAGCAAGTCGCGGGACGCCCATGGACGGCTACAAACCTTCAACACCCTCTCATACTCCTTCGCCTGTGCCTTATGGATCTTCTCCACGGCCTCCATGTACTCCTCGAGGTAGACGACGGCATGTTTCCACGCCTGCAATCTCTGGGCGAGCAGGCCGGCGGTCTGTAAACTGTTAGACACCACCTCGTGTTTTGACCCCGCCTGCTATTTCTCCGTTTCTACGCCAATGTCACATACGGTATTGGGGTCACTATCGGGAACCGCTTCGTCGCTAGCAATGCTGGAGATTGTTTCCTGTCTCGCGGGTGTCGCGGACGACACGGCGGTGACGGGAGTAGCGGCCGGAGAGGCGGCCTCTTTCTCGGGCGTTGGTGCCATCTCGGTGACTGGCTTCGTCTCGGTGGCTAGCTTTGGTTTGTCTTTGCGAAGGCTGGCAAAACGCTTCATGGTGTCAGTGGCGAAGTCCAAAGAATAAATATGAAGGAAGACGATGTCGAGTTGGGTACAACCCAACGGGGGGTCTTGGGGCTGGCGATGGTGATTTATTACTTGGGCCTTGATGGTGGAAGAAACCCAATTGAAAGCCCTCGGTCCCAACAGAACAGGGAAAAAAGGGACCAAAGCCAGAAAAGGACAAGATCTCGGGTGATGGAATAGGGGGCAAGTCCGTCTGAAGATCGCGACTCACCTTTCGTCAGGTACCGAGTACTGTGCGGGAAGATTCCAACCGTCCGTAGTGTAGATCGGACCAATGCTGTCAGGGCGCTTCTGCTTGTCTCACCGGCTCGTCAATAAGGTCACTGCCCGCTCGAGAGAAAAAAGCGATGCTCTCCTGTCTAAGGTACCCAAAAACCAAGTTGGGCAACCCGGCAGTCCAATGGCGTCAATTGTCCCGTCGTCTTCTTATGGGCCTGGGTTGTCTGATAAAACATCACCCCGCAGCGTGCTAACTGTGCGAGGCTACTTTTAGTTTTTTTGGCGCTATCAGAGAGCGGGGTGGGCTTGTCCAACTCCCGTAGCACTTGTTTCCCGGCTGCATACGCTGCAGAAGCGATCTGTACGTCTCAGGCCCTTCGAAGAAAATCATAACCTCGGGCCTGGAACCCCTCATCGGGGAACCGAGCCCCCATCCTCACTTTTCGACCTACAGCTTTTGGGGAGGACAGTGTTCCGTGACTTCATTACACTACACTACAGAAAATCGACCACCCTCTCGCCCGTCGAGGACCCATCCTTGCGACGATCAGCATTGGCCAGATCCAGACCGTGACGTAATGCAGGACAGCGGTTTCAGGCACCTCCAAGCAATTTGCAACCGCACCCTTGTACAGCTGGAGGGATGAGGGGTTCTGCATCTCCTAGCACAATAACTAGCGGTGTCTGTTGTTTCTCCCCCGCGTCCTTATCGTTGCCATTTCTGCTTCGACTTCGTCTTATGACTCTGGGATATATCGGAATGAGGAGCCGAACCGAAAAGAGGGTAGTCTGGTGGTGGTGACGTGTTGTCCTTATTAAGGGAAAATGAAACTTAAGTGGCAATTTTATCTGAAAATCCATCCAACCTTTTCACAAGGGTCTTGCTTGCAAGTGATATATGGTCAAATTACAGACGGCTTCTCATCAGGGATCTGATCAAGGGAGAATCCCTGGGGGCCACTTTACTATTTACATAGTAACTATTATCACGAATCGAACTTTAGGCTGGCTCGTTTCGGCAATGCCACTAACCCCCCCAAACGAACTGTGAAAAAGCTGCAGGCAGCTTACTTGCCGGCTATGTCGTATGTATGGAAGTGTAACGCGGAATATAGTGCTCTAACCTAGGTAGCTCCGAGGCCGACTACAACAAGGCATTTACTTGGGCTCCTGCATACACCAAGTATTATGCCCTCCTAGTACGACCAGGGCTGCCCAGACAGTTTTGTTAGCCTTCCGCTTCACATTGGAGTTTTGGAGAACAAAACACTTCAAGTCAATCTATAATAAAATGTATGAACCTTTGTATTAGGATCCTGCCTTTCTCGACACCAGACTCATGATGGGGTATCAAGGAAAATGTCGAAGCAGCAAATCGGAAAAAAAGAGAAACCTAGGTATGTAGGTGTAAGTGAGAGGAGGAGGGATCGAACACCACCATCAACTCGAACTTGATTCTAGATAGGTCCCCCGGCCTATGCATCCATCGCCACCCATCCCATCCAATGCGTCATGTTATGCTGGTGCTGTGAAGCTCGCCCCCTCTTCAGTTATCATCGCCGTCGCTTTTATCATGCCAGCTTGTCCCGTCTGCAGCCTGAGTCGTGGTCTATCCCTATTTGCCTTAACCCCCCTGAATCCTAACCCATCCGAAATCCGAAACACCAAGTCAACCGCCCGCGAGCCTGAAAGCCGAGGGCAAAGGAAAGAAGAAATCAGTAAAACCAACGCCGGCCATGCCATGTTAGATGAGCGAAGAGAAAAATTGACAAAGGGGAAAAGAGAAAGGGCCCAAAATAAAATAAAAGACATGAATAAAAAGAATCCAATGTAGCCAACCGGCAGCTGAGAAACTGAGGATTTGGCGGGCTACCCAATCCTCGCCTGCAACAAGTGTAACCGTCGACCCTCATCCCCATCACCCACGATATTCCGTACCCCTTGGATGAGGCTTGCAGAAAACTGCCTCCTATGCAGCATCGGCCTGCGGGTCGGCGCTGGTGGGCTGGGCTCTCGTGAGGCCGGTGCCGTCACGGGTGCGGATATCGGGTTACGGGCCAAGGACTGACCGGGAGTAGAGGTCGGAGCGAGGCCGGAGCGGGGAACCGAGATATGCGGCCACGGTCCCGCCAAACCCGTCGCCGGCGCAGTCGCATAACCTAGGAGTTCTTCTGCTGGCGAGGGAATGGAGACGTGGTCCTCTATGCTCTCGGCGATGGTGGGTGTCTGGGCGGCGATTAACCGTGGGGTGCCCGGCGGAGAGCTGGGTGCGCTGAGGGCGGTTTGATAGTCGGGAAGGCCGTGGACTTCCGATACGAGCGAGCGAACGGGAGTCCGGACGGCAGTCTGGTAGCTGGGCACCTTAGACAGCTCCGATGTCTCGGTAAAATCGAGGTGCTCGGGTGGCGTGTGGGAGCCCACAGGGCTATCACCGCTATTGTGCCGGGTGAGCGGCGCGGAGGTGGGCGGGGAAATGTGGACATCTTCTCCGGGAGTGGGAGGACCGCCAGCTGCCGAGAGGTTCGAGTTCCACGATGTGTTCCGGTGTCTGTCCTCTAGAGACATGCTGTGCAGCCTATGCGCCAGCACGTCCGGTTGAATGGCAGAAGTTTCCAGTAGGGCTGGGAGGTTTTCTGTGGACCCTGCCCTTGAGTGACCAGGGAACGGGCTGTTGACCCCTGACCGGCCGCCAAGGGGTGAGTTGAGGTTGGAGTGGAGGTTGGGGTTGAGGCTCATCGGTTCAATATCGGCATAGAGCTGGTCTAGGCGATGGTGCTCATAGGCCGGCGGTGCAATAGTAGCTGCTTCGCGAGACGCACCGCTGGGAAGCTGTCGCACAAGTGTTCCGGTTTCGTCCAACGGCATGTTGGGCGAGATGAAGATGGAGACGGGTAACGTTGCACGCAGTTCCGAGACGTGGCCGTCTGGGTTGTTGAGTGCCACCACCACCTTGAGCTTGTGCCGAATCTTGATTCCCTTGACGTTCACGTCCTGCAGACACTTGGTCAACCTCTTAGGTAGATTCAAAGTCGTGTGGACCACCCAACCCTCCTGTCCCTCCCAACCCTCCGGCCCGCTGTCCTGGATTACATCTTGCCAGTGTTCCTCCCGGGTCACCGATATCGTCCAGGAGTCGATTTCCCTTTCCTTCTTGTGCTCTCGGAGGCTGTGGCCGGAAACGCCATGGAGGATGATGTCGTGGATCTCGATCAACTTGATGGTAACGTCGCCAATCTCGAGGCCTTTGAGCAGCGGCGTAAACCTCATCTCAACAGGGATGCAGCTGCCAAAAACAACTGCTTTTTGTGGTACGACGATCGAGTAGTCGATCTTGTTGGGCCAGATGTTCTCAATGCTCATAGCATGGAGAAATTCGAGTGCCGAGGCCTCCAGGGTTCGGATCACACGAAACTGCTTGTAAGCGTGGATGTCATGCATCAACTTGCCCCTTGCTATGGTCGCCTTGAGCTTGTACTGGACGCCGGCTTCCCGTAGCCCCTCCACACTCTCGGTCGTGTCGCCATCGAGCATCAGCTCGAATGGCCATTCGTAATTTCCGGCGTCCAGTGTGATACCCCTGGTTTGCAAGCGTGAATCGTTGGTCGGGTCTAGCGCGCCAATGCCTTCGAACGGGGTCCATCGGTGCTCGAGGAATGGTGCTGTTTTGGCAACTTTATGGGTCGATATCCCTGTTGCTGTTACTTTCGCATCGGTCCAGCTGTGAAATGTCAGTTTTGCTTCGCCCTCCTAGGTACAATCCCGCGGGGTGCTCTGAACGTACGTATAGTGGGCGGCGCCGACCAGCTTTAGGTGTATTGCTTCTAGTTTGAGCGGCGAATGTAGGCAGAGGACGACGGTGCCCTTGAGAAGCTGGCCTGATGCCTCGTGGTCGTTACCCCGGAAAACGATGAAGTCATTGTCGAGTCTGGGAGCCCCAGGAAGAAAGCCGTCAGCAACTGAGTGGTAACGGATCACATTACGACAACACTTACCGAACGTCGAAAAAGGTGTATCGCCCACTCGCCGAACCGAAAGGGTTTAGAGACCGCATGGTCTTGGGTGGTGGGTTCAATGTGGTTTGGAGATTCGGCAGGAACAAGGAAAGGGAGAGAGGGAGGGCCCGCGAGGGTGAGAAACTAAGGTATACTTTGATTCATAAGTAAAACTTAGGGAAAAGGAGGCTGTGTGGAATACGCGAGCGCGGGATGGCAGGTGGGTGAGCACCAAACGAAAAAGAGAAAATAAACTGGGCCCCAGAGATACGGGAAGCCGTCAAGGTGGCGTTGGCGGGCACCAGTAACGCAATACAAAACACACATCAACAGGGTTCTCATGTTCCCACCTGGAAAAGCAACCCGGAAAGCAAGCGAGGCCCAGCTCATGCGAGCCTTCCGCCCATCCCATCGCGCGCCCGAATCAGAAGAAAGCAAGGATGGGCTGGGCATTACGAGAGCACGCCCCGTTATGAGTGACACCGGTCGGTACCTTGGATGCCGCCAAGTTCCGGTGCGGATGGCGTGTACAGCAGGGTCGCGGTAAAACCGGTAACCCCGCGGCACGGCCACCGGGTATTGCATGGTTTGAGCAAGCCGAGGGGCGGCTGAGAAAATAGGCGGGACCATGAACGTGATTGATAGGCGCCGAGGATCGCTTCGGTTCCCTCTAACCGCCAAAAACGGCCTTCCTCAGCCTGTCTTGGGCTCAGCTGTTTTCAATATCTCTGGTCGCCAACGCGGCACATGCCGACCCTTCAAGCGAAGGGGGTCTGGTGGTGTCTCGGCCATCGGAGTCACACGTCACATTTTTGCTTGGCTGAGTGGGGGTCCATTAGCAACAAAGAGAGAAACTTTCTTCAAAGGAAAGCGCGAAATGTCGACATGGGAGAAAAAAAGAGCGCCAGCACGGGTAGCCGGCCCCACCAACAGGGCAGTTTTGTGCATGGTGGGGCGCTTTTGGCAAGGTTGCATGGGGTGTTCGTTCAACTTCAAACCCCCAAACCGTCTCGTCTTAAAACGCAGGGCTGTGGTCGGGATGGGGTTCCCGATTGGTCAATCGTCGATGAACCGGGTTCCTGGCTCGACTGTATACACCGTTCAGACAAGAAGGGAGAGAAATGAAAATACTTGAAAAGAACCGCCAGCACTATTGGGGGCCGACTCAGCAACCCAAAATGTACTGTGTTCACTGCAGAGCGCTGTGCTCCGTGTCAGCACACTTTCGCTGCAAGGCACCACATGCTGTCGGCCGGCACAGCAGGGCAATGCCTCGTGCGTATTGCGTACATCCAGGATGCTGTTTCAGCCCCGTTTGCGAATCAAATGCTTGAGAAGGGCTGTCTTAAAAAACCGTTCCTCTGGAGGCCCGTGTCTCGGCCGAGACAGCCATGTGAACGGGTCTCACCTTAGCCGATTGATCACATTCACGATTCCATCATTGAGGTCCAACATCACTCGATGGTACATACGGTTGAGACTTGCAAAATGGTCTCCTGATAATTATCATTTGCTCTGTTCCTCCTGACCTATGTTTCTTCCATCATTTATCCCCTCCCCTTATTCAATTTGCTTTCCCTTTTTTTCTCTCATAGAAAAGCAAACCCTGGTTTTCTTTTGGTCCTCGCGCTCTCGTTCCCACTGAAAGATAAGATCTGGGTAATCCTTCCGCCGCAGGTGGGGCTTCGGGATAAGGCGCCGAGAGTCTAGAAGATTGCCCAACTAGGCAACTAACTGTCTTGGGCCTCAGCAATTGGATCCGACCCGTCTAAATCGACTGTATCAATTTATAGATTGACGGAGTACATCGGTACATTGACCACGCAACTCCCAGAATCGTGCACATCCCAAAACAAAACAAAAACCGACTACAGCAAAACGACAAAAAAACGACGTAACTCATAGTATCGCGATTTTAATACAATACTTGAGGCTAGAACGTCTAAAATCGCAACGATCACGATAAAATCATAGGGGTATGTTTGGGGTCCATGTATCTTGAGCGAGGCGAGGGGACTTCGACATCGCCTGGCGCTAAAAGAGGTTAGGCGTGGTTGCGATCTGCTAGCCTCTTGCCTTGTTCGGCCAATGTACTCCGTCAATCTATAAATCAATACAGTCGATTTAGATAGGTCGATTGGATCTTTTGTGTCACTTCGGCTCCTGGATGATAAAAACCGGACTTTATCCCTCTCCCAATAGGAGTTGTTTCTTGTACATACATGTCCACGACGCGAGCCGGAACCGGTCCTGTTTCCCTCTCTGACAAAGAAAACAAATGGCGGATCAAGGTTCTTTCTCGCCGTCTCCTCCCCACTTCCCTTCCCTGCCTTGGCAAATTTTTTCTTTGTCGTTATCTTTGAGGTTGATGTCCCATCCCGAAACGAAGAATGAGCGGTGGAATTTCAACCCCACCCACCCCTGTTGCAATCACATCACAGCAGAAGTGTGTCATCCCGATCGCGCCATTGCCGACCCTTCAAGCCGCTCGCTCCAGCTCCATTCCAGAGAACTTTGTTGGGGAGGTTGGGTTCATTGGTTGTGGCAAGGCTACTCCGTATGACTAGTTATTCTTGATTGTGCATGTTGCCGACGTTCCCGGATTGAGTGGTTTAGTATTTGTCTACCTCTGCCTGTTCCGTCCCTCCTCAAACATCGTTGACGGCATTGAGGGCTCCAATGACTCTTAGTGGACGGTGACGCTAGCGGATGGCAGCCACTCATCAAGATATCCGAATCGGGTGGCAAACTCGATCGCTGCACATGCTTTGGGCCCGACACGCATGCCACGGCGGCACATCGGGAACTCGGCATGTGCCGTGTGATCGCCGCGAGCGGGTCTTCCTGTCGGGTCGGATCCGGAATAAGATAAAATGGATGAGAACTCCACTGATATCACCATGTCATGCGGTTACACTTCTGGGTAGCGAACGATGAACTGTTAGGTTGGCAAGGTTGGCACGCTTGGCCTGGTTGGGTCTTGTCTGCTTGTGGAATCCGTTTCGGTGGGCCACCGGCAGGATTTGCGGGTCTTTTTCAACATTGTCAAGCGAGTCAAGCTCCCAAAAGGGGTACCGAGAAAGAGGGAAAAAAGTTATTCGGCCGGTCGGGTTCGAGATTCTCGAGACGGATCATGCATGCCTTTTTCTTCTGGCCCCCACCGACCGCTCTGAGACCATCATCGGGCCGTTGAGTCTCAAATCCTAGCTCGCAAGTGGAGGCTCGCAAAAGTTCACGGTCGTTGAGGAACCAATCGCCAAGCTTGGACTGAAGCCATGGGAGACCCTGATTTTCCAGTTCACGTTCTTGTCACCCGTCGAGGGCGGTTCCGTACCCGTCGGCTCGTGTTCTGCGATATCGGATAGCCGTTCGGCCCGATCCAAAGACAAAATCATATGACAATCACCAACAGAGCAACACAACATGACCATGAACAAACACCGGTAAAACGCCGTTGGTCGAGAGACGAAAACAAACAACCTTATTCCTCCATCTTTTCTTCCAACTGCTGTGCCAGCTCCGAAGGCCTGGTCCATGTTCGGATATGCCCTGATATCCATTAGTGTTTCGGCCATTGCGCCCTGTATAACGATGGACACGTACCAGTCTTGCAGCTCGTTAGAATGCTGTCTGGTGTGAAGCCGAGCCAGCACAACACATCATCACTGACCACTTTACTCTGTATTTCAGCGACATTAGCACGCACAGGTTCTTCCCACCCAATATCAACTCATGGAAAAGGGGCCGTACCAAGACAGGCGGCAGTGTCGCCGTCGTCGCCCTTGGTTCAACAGGATGGGGTAGCACCCTCTCCTTCTCCCCGCCCGAGGAGAGATTTGAGTCCGATCGCACTCGGCCGGTCCCGTTCGTACCCGCCGTCCCGGAGGTTTCCGCGCGTTGTAGTAGCGGGACCACCCCAGGGCGGGAAGAAATGGAACCTCGTTGTCGGACGGATGCCTACGAATACCAAATCCATCAGTTCTCCACGAACATAACACTCCAATTTCACCAGAGGAAGATGAGGGTTCAAGAAAAATATCAAAAACAAGGGGAAACATACTGCCCTAGGCCGATGGAGCATCCCAACGCTGAAATCCCACAAACAAATACGCCTGTCCTCGCCGACGCTGCCGAAGCGATAGTTGCGATCATCGCACCGCCACGGGTCAAAGGCCACCGAGGTGACCCACGAGTGATGCCCCTGGCACCGGGCAATCAACGCGGGACTTTCTGAGGGACACCAAATCGAGATCAAGTCGTCCTGGCCACCCGTCACGAGATACTTGCCGTCAGGCGACCAACACACGCAGGTCAGGCCGCCATAATAGGCGTAGTGGAGGTCGAGGAGTCTGCAAAGTGGCGGCTCTTAGCTGATGGAGTTTTGGGGAAAGGAAAGTGGGCATGGGTTGGAAAGACGCACTCTTCCTTGAGGTAATCGATGATCCGCAGAGTGCCATCCTCCGAGATGGCCGCCAAGTGCCGGCTGTCAGGAGAAAATGCAAACGCATTGATGCGGTGGTTGGACAGCTTCCAAACCGCCACAGGGTTGGCTTTTTGACTTTTGGAGTGGACAGACTTGTGAACGTGGATTTCCGAGGTATAATTCGGCCGTCCCGTGCCGTTGGCCTCGCCGCTACTCTGAGGCCTGGCTTCGTCTTCCAGAGCGAGGATACCGTCCTCTTTCTCCTTATCATAGACCACCAGTGCCCCGTCCATGTGCGCAGCGAGAAACAGGTTCTCAGATCCAGGAATCCATTCGATTTGCGATACAGGTGTCCCGTTGATAATACCCTGTAACGGTGAGTCTCGCCTCCTAGAAAAGGAAAGCAGAAGAAGGAGAACATACATTTTTATTGAGCCTGGTATATCGTTGTGTAATGGGTTCCCACCAGATAATTTCACCGGTGGAAAATCCCATCACAACATCAATATGTGCGGAGCTCTTGGTCAACTTGTTTACATCATGGCAGAGGCAGTGGGCCTTGGTAAACAGAATCTTGGACAAATATTCGGTCTGAAGGTATTAACATTTCCGTTAGCATCACCCTTACACTCGGCAACCAGACAGGATTATTACCTTTGTTGGAGAAGACAAATCTAGCCACTGGAAGGCGCGGTTAACGTTGGCAAATGCAAACAGACCATCTCGAGAACGCTCCTGCAACTTCTTTGCCAGCGCTTCATGGTTGATCACTCTCGATATGAACGACGAGTTGCTCTTTGTCATGTTATTCTTAGGCTTACGCCGCTTGTTCACATCCTTTTGGGCGACTGGCGCAAGGAGTGTGTTGCCCTCGCCAAAGGCTGGGGTGTTGGTGTTAACTGTCGCAAGCGGCGTGTCGACAGAACTGATGCGTCCAGCATCGCTACTGCTCTCACGCACGTCTGTCGATGACTGGCTCTCATCGCGATTCTCTTGTATGCTTCCTCGGGCGCCGTCCGATCGTGAGTTTGTCCGATAGAGGGCAGTGTTTTGGGGGTTGACGTCGAGATTGAGGAGTGTGAGCCGGGTGCCGGCCGAGGCAGGCTGAGGGTTTGTCGCAAGGGGATTGGGGTTTGTGATTGGTGTTTCGGATGGATGTGGTGGAGGGGTCGCGAGGTGAAGGTCGTCCTTGAGCACGTATAACCCTACACGGACATGGTCAGGCGGCCAATGCGAGATTGTGAGGCAAGGATTGATCAAGGTTGCTTACCCTCGCCAACCAAGAATTGGTACTCGGGGCCCGAGGGGGTAGTGATGATGTTGTTTGTTTCGATCATTGGCACGGGTGTGCCCGCCGGGAGGCCGTTGTAACCGCCGGGGCCCGTGGGGTAGCGGGGCGGGGGTGGTAGGACGCTGGAAGAAGATCGTCAGTTTATTGTGGGTGTTATGACGGGAAACAGTCAGGTGCTGTTGCCGTCTTTTTTATCTCCCTGTGTTCCTTACAACATGGCAACTACGGTGGACGGCTCCCAGCTGTCACAAGCCCGCTCGGTCGCGTGCAATGAATCTCAATGGCCTGAGGGGGGTAATGATCAAGCAAGGACCGCCCGTGGGTGTCTTAGAGCGCGGGGGATATTTCGGAAGTAGAGGAAATCGACAGTGTGACCTATCTAATGTCAGTGATAGGCGGCTCGTGATGGATCGTGGGACCTGGAGGTTTCACGGGAAGTTGAAGATCGCGCCTGTCCCCGCGAAAGACCGCCATGCCGGGGTTGTGGCATCCAGCAGCCTGGGCAAGGGACCTGCAGCGCAACAGGGGTGGCATCCTGCTCCGATGTGTTGGGGAACCCGGCATGGCGGGACTGGTGTGGGGTAATGGGCCATTGACAGCGGTAACCATGAAGCATTGGTTCGACCTATATTCGCAGTTCCTAGGAGTTCCATACCTATATACTTCGTAGTATTATTGGGGTACCTGATTTCATGTATTTCCCTATGAGATAGTTACGCTGTTGTACGCCCCGAATTACACAAAAACCTGCTACCAGTTAGTTTTGAAGTAGGAGGCAAGGAGACGTCAAAGCACAGTGTGAGGCGAATACACGGGGAAGATCTCTGGGCCAGGACCTCGGTGCAAGTTTGAAGCTCTGCGAATGAAGCAACCTGAGGTATTATTGGAGGTTATCTGCATGTAACTGGTAATATGATATACACTTTTGTTTTTATGTTTTGAAATGGAGCTTGGGCGTTGATCTACACGCCCGAGCTGCACAGTTCGAGGGTGGGGGTTCATGAGCAACAGCATGTCAATTGCGGGGCTGCAGTGGCTGGGGGAGCTCTCCACGCCTAAGGACGGACCTTGGGCGCCAGCTGGCGACCCCATCACCAGCCTCTCAACGCCGAAATCATCAACCCGACGATCCGCCATGGCCTGATCCCGCCTTCATAGCGCTGCCGAGATTGACCGCTCATCGCTTGTCTAATTAACTTACCCCCTCCCTTCCAATCTCGAAGATTTGCTATCCTAAGGAACCATGGCATCGTTCTGAGAACAAACGAGAAAGCGACGGCACCCATCATCTAAAATGTCTACTGGTAGGGCGTTCCCCTTCAGCTCAGACGCCCCGCTCGATTTCTGTTACTTGCGATTGGGCTGTAATTTAACTAACTAGGTGTAGCGGTCCGGATTTGTGTCTGCGGCGACGAGGGGACAGGCAAGTCTAGCCTGATCGCATCCCTCGTCAAGGACGTTTTCGTCTCCAACAAGATACAAGCGGTACTTCCCCAGGTCACTATCCCGCCAACGACTGGCACACCCGAAAATGTCACCACCACCATCGTCGATACGTCCGCCCGCCCCCAAGACCGAACAACCCTGCGCAAGGAGATCCGAAAATGCAACGTGATCCTACTGGTCTACGCCGACCACTACAGCTACGAGCGCGTTGCCCTCTTCTGGATGCCCTATTTTCGCTCGCTTGGGGTCAACGTCCCGGTGGTACTGTGTGCCAACAAGTCCGACCTGGCCGGGACGGAGAATACACCACAGGTGATCGAGGAGGAGATGTTGCCGGTGATGGCCGAGTTCAGGGAAATCGATTCGTGCATCCGGACCAGCGCCAAGGAGCAGCACAACGTCATCGAGGTCTTCTACCTCTGCCAAAAAGCTGTCACCCACCCGATTGCGCCGTTATACGACCATAAGGAAGGACAGCTCAAGCCGGTGTGTACCGCTGCGCTAAAGAGGGTGTTTTACCTATGCGACAAGGACCAAGACGGGTATCTAAACGACGACGAGATGCAGGAGTTTCAAATCAAGTCATTTGATAAACCCCTTTCGCCCGGAGAACTCGAGAATATCAAGGCAGCCGTGGGGAAAGCTGTGCCATCGGCGAGGTCGGAGAAGGGACTGAATCTACCTGGGTTCTTACAGTTGAATAAGCTGTACGCAGAAAAGGGGCGCCACGAAACAATTTGGATCATCCTGAGGAAACACCACTACACAGACAGTTTGAGCCTAGAGGATAATTTCCTACATCCACGATTCGATGTCCCAGACTACGCCTCAGCGGAACTCAGCCCAGCCGGGTACCGCTTCTTTATGGACCTCTTTCTCACCTTTGACAAGGATAGCGATGGCGGGCTCAACGATCAGGAGCTGGCCGCGTTATTTGCTCCCACCCCTGGTCTACCGCACTCCTGGGTCGAAACGTCGTTCCCGTCATCTACCGTTCGGAATGAGGCTGGTCATATCACGTTACAGGGTTGGCTCGCCCAATGGAGCATGACAACCTTTTTGGAACCCAAAACTACACTGGAATACTTGGCTTACCTTGGATTCGAAGGCCCCAACGCATGGGATTCCACCACCGCCGCTCTCAAGGTTACAAAACCACGCAAGCGCAGGCGGCGACCGGGCCGTGTCGAGCGTAATGTGGTCCTCTGCTACCTCCTCGGTTCTGCCGCCTCCGGAAAATCCTCCCTCCTCGACGCTTTCCTCAACCGACCTTTCGACTCTCTCTACCATCCCACCATAAAACCTCGCCGCGCCGTCAACAGCGTAGAGCTCCACGGCGGCAAACAATGTTACCTCATTCTCGAAGAGCTCGGCGAGCTCGAACCCGCCATCCTCGAAAACCAAGCCAAGCTCGACGCTTGCGACCTCATCTGCTACGCCTACGACTCCTCCGAACCAGACTCCTTCTCCCATATCGTCGACCTGCGCAAACGCTACCCTCATCTCGACGAGCTCCCGGCGATCTACACCGCGCTCAAAGCCGACCGCGACAAGACCACGCAGCGCAGCGAGCTGCAGCCCGACGCCTATACCGCGGCCCTGAACATGTCGGCCCCTCTGCACGTTAGCGTTACCTGGTCGAGCATTAGCGAGTTGTTTGTGGCGCTGGCCGAGGCAGCCACCAACCCGAGTACAGCATTCCCCAAGTCGGAGGAACCGCCGGACCGTACGAGCTTGTATATGGCCCTCGGCGCGACGTCGTGTGCCGCACTAGCTGTATTTATGATTTGGCGTCGGTCGACGAATTCTACGTAGCATGGAGTAGCGTGCGGTGCGGTAGGCTAAGGACACATGGTGGGTTGGGACGGAAAGTTGCATTTAACAGAGTCTTGACCGGGCTTCCCGTCTCGCGCTCTCTTTTTGTTGCAAAGGTCGGTTGTGTCGGAGACAAGAGAAAATGGCATCCTAGGAAATGTAGCATGTCGACGGTGGTGGGCGCATTTTCGATCTGTTTGATATCGTGGTTATATCTGGGCGGTGGGTGGACGGAAAGGGACCATTCGATACCCAGACTCTCCGCCACCACTTGTTTTTGTAGTTAAGCGCGGCGCTTTTCTTGCATATTTATTGTTTAATTATATATCTAATACCCCGTCGCTTGGGCCGTTCCACAGAGTGGTTCCTGGTACCGGTTATTATGGGCGGCGTCCTGGAGAGATACAGTTCGAAAGAGGAAGACGTCGATTCGTTGGCCTTCAGGGTCAGCTAGATCCTCATGGGATGGCTGGAGTAAAAACTTAAAGGCCTGGGAAAGCGGCTTGGGTGAGATACGTAGGAAGTGATGCATGATCTATATATCTGCAATCATCTTGGGGGATGCCTCGCATGCCCCCGATAACATTAGGACTCGATGTGAAGGCTTATTAAATCATGACGAAATCACCCGCCATCCGCCCAACGCACGCATCATACCAACTAGCTTAAACCCGATAGAAGCAAAACGCAACATAAAACTCCGCAGCCTCCATCTCCTCATCGCTCACCAACAGCTTGCCCGTATTGCGGTCCCGCACACCCATGCGCTCGCTTAGCGCGCCCAGTTCCCGATCATCCTTCTCGGTCTCCCATACCTCCGCGAACGGCTTGTGGTACTGCAGCTCCAGGTTATAATCCTCGGCCAACGCGCGGAAGGCTTCCCAAGGAACCACGTACTCGGGCACCTCCTCAACGGCCTCGTCTAGAAAGAAGTTATATTTCCAGCCAAACGGCGGACGAAAGATGCCATCGGATGGAGTCGGCCCCGGGAACCGTACACGGTAGATGTCGTTGCCCCAGGAAGCAGTCTCCTCAGCTTCGCCCTCCTCCTTCTCGTCGTCTTTGGTCTCGCCTTCTTCGAGCTCACCATCTTCTTTGTCCTTTGATTCCGGCTCTAACTCGGGTGTCGCTGGTGCGAAAGGGGGCGAGCTTGGGGGATCAGAGGCTTCACCATTGGCAGCAGTGGTATCGGCATTCGTGGGGGCAGCGTTGGCGGCGGCTTTCGCCTTCTTTTCTTCCAAGCGTTTGTTGAAAGCCGCTACCTTTTGACTGATGACGTCCGAGTTGGGGATTGTGCCGATGAAACGTCCACCCTTGCGAAGGGAGCCAGACACATTTTTGAGCATCTGCCGAGCCTTCTGCTCGGTCTCGAATGCGTAGTGCATACAAAACATCAGGCTCACCACGTCAAATCCGCGGCTGCTGCTGACACTCGACTCCGAGAACCCGACCTGCTGTACAATGTCGAGATCGCCGATGCTCTCGGCATAGCAGTCCTTCACGTGGAAGCGCGAGTCAAAGATCCGTGGTGGTCGTCGATGGTGGCCGCCCCTACCGCCCCGTCCGCCACCGCCTCGGTTGGCCATGCTCCGATACCTCTCCCGTGCCTGGTCAATTGATACCTCAGCCGGGTCCAGTCCAACGTAAAGGTCCACCGTCTGCGGCGCCTGTTGCCACTTGAACAAATCGCCGCCCTTGCCGCACCCGATGTCCAGTACGAGCAGCTTGTTCCCCGAACTGATCCCCCGCTCCATTGACCCAGGAGCATGGTCCTCATCGGGCGCAAACTTCTGGATGATGCAGCTCTTGACCCAATTGTTGAAGGATCTCAAACCCTTGATGCGGCTGTCGGTTTTGCGCCATTCGCGGCCGCGTTCTGGTACTGCATTGTAGTGTGCGCGCACAACATCATTAATCCCCGACCGTTGTTTCAATTCTTCGGCTGCCGCCTGCTGCTGGGCTTGTCGCTCCCGCTCGAGTGCCCTCTGCCGGATCTGCTCTCGCTCGGCGTCGGTGATGCGAGCGCGCTGACCGGGCCGTTTGAGTTTTCGCGGTGGCTCATTTGTAGCAGGAGTGTTACTGCCACTTGGTGAGGTGGATCGCTGTCGCTTTTTAGCAGGGGCGAGTTTCTTCGCGTCGAAGGGCTGCGGGAGGTCGTCGTTGTCGTGATCGCCGGCCATGGCGATCTTTCGCGAGCCGTCGGCGCTCACAAACAAGTGTGTATAAGTGCGATGAACCAGGAAGAAATCGAATTCTCCCAATCGTTTGTAATCAAAAGTTCCAATACCGCACACAACTCGGCAAAGTGTCGGGTTAAAGTTGTCAGTTGACGATTCGGTTTTCTCTCTCCTTGTTGCTGTGATCGATTCGTTGTTGCTAGGAGAACAGAACCCCGAAGGAAAGGCGCCAGGGGAGTGGGCCTCAGTTGACAGGGGTAAGGGGAGCGCTCGAGCCCCGCTAACCGGTGCCGTGGCGAATCAGGGCGAGGCGGCTTGCAGTGACGCGAGCTCTGGCAGCCTTGCGGATCGCCAACGACTTGGGAGCTGACCCAAGCTTCGTGTGCAGCGGCTTCCCGTTCCATCGACAAACACGGCCATCAGTTGCTTTCCGCAACCGAACCAAGTGAACCCTACCGGCTCGTCTTCCCTCCCGATACCAAGAGCGATCGATACGTACGGTACCGCTTGACTTTATTGCGACCGATAAACCGACCTGACCGAATTCACCCCTCGTGGTCAAGCCGCCCGAAATCCATCTACCCCACCACACGACACACTCGAGATCGCGGCACCCGTAGCAACCATGGGAGCCGATCCGCAATACGCAAAATGGCCTTTACTACCTCTCGCCCAGGATGTCGTCAGTCTCACCAGCCCATACTACCCGGAGAGCAAGAAAGAGGCTGTCGTCCAGCATCTACAGAATGCTATCACGGAGCATAAGATGGCACCCTTTTACCACTTCCTCGCACATCCGACGGAGGGCATTCTCAATGCCCTCGGGGAGGGCCCCGCAGGCGCACCGGTAAAGACGGCAGGTAGCAGGAAGAGCAGTCTTAGCGGCCTCCTCTCGTTGAACCCGGTCAAGCACCATCTAATGCCATGGGACGAAGCGTTGTACCAGTCGCTGAAGGCCGAGAATGACAAAGAACTAGAGCAGATTCAGAAAGAGGAGGATGAGGCAGTTGAGCAGGCTGGTGAGACGGAAATCCAGGCTGCGCGGGGAAAGAGGGCTGAGTTCTGGGCCAAAGTTGGTGACAAGGTACGAATGAGAGCCTAAAATATAATGGTGGATTGCTGAGGGCTTGACTAATTTCATGCTCTGTAGGAGAAAGCTATCGCCGCATACGAGGACGTTTTCGAGAACACGGGGATTCTCGGCACCAAGATCGACTTAGTCCTCGCGCTCATCCGGGTTGGCCTTTTCTTCGGCGACAAGCACCTAGTCAAGAAACACATTGGGCGCGCTAAGACGCTGGTTGAGAGCGGTGGTGATTGGGACAGACGCAACCGGCTCAAGGCTTATGAGGGTGTACACCTCCTGACAATCCGCAACTACAACTCTGCGGCCCCCCTACTTCTCGATAGCTTGTCGACCTTCACGTCATACGAACTCTGCACCTACAGCAACCTCGTCGTCTACGCCGTGGTGGCAGGCTGTGTCTCGCTGAAGCGTGTCGATTTCAAGTCCAAGGTCGTAGATGCCCCAGAGATCAAGGCGATTCTTGGCGAGGCTGAGGACAAGTTCCTCGCCCTCTCAGGCGCCATCTCAGCTGGCCCCGGTGCGGACGCTGAGATGCAAGATGTCGACGCGGCATCACCAGCAGCCCGGGTGACGGCTGTGAACCTTACCACGCTGGGTAGCAGTGTGGACCAGCCCGAGGCGGAGATGGCGGTCGACTTCCGTTCGCTCGCGCAGCTCGTCAGCAGCCTGTACAACGGCCGGTACAAGGACTTCTTTAAAGCACTCGCGCAGGTCGAGGAAGAGTTTCTCTCACAAGACCGCTACCTACACGAGCACAAGAGTTGGTTCACCCGTGAGATGCGCCTGCGTGCCTACCAACAGCTCCTGCAGAGCTACCGCGTGGTCGGGCTTGACAGCATGGCCCGCGACTTTGGGGTGTCCCTGGACTTTTTGGACCGGTACGTTGATTCCTACCTTCAATGTGACTCCAAACTGGGTCTGACTCAACAATACTAACCTGAGCAATAGTGATCTCGCAAGATTCATCGCAGCCGGCCGTATCCCCTGCACAATCGACCGTGTCCACGGCGGTGGTGTGATTGAGACGAACCGGCCCGACGATAAGAACAAGCAGTACCAGGATGTCGTTCGCCAGGGCGACCAACTGATTACCAAGCTGCAAAAGTACGGCCAAGCTGTCCGGTTGAGGGGGAGTGAGCGGGCCTAGGGCGTTGAACAGGTGGGCTGGGGGAGCTCGGCGGGGTTGGTTTGTTGCTTAGTGTAAATAAACGTGCATTCGCGCTTGCAAAGCGGCCTTGACCGCTCGAATTGCCAGATAATGGGCGTATGTTTGGCATGGCAAAGGAAGAGGGAGAGATAATTCCCTCTCTTATCCACCCATGTAATGGCTAAACCAGTTCAAGCCTCTCTGACTGACCATACAATGTTTTACATACCCTTGCAAGGCTAAACTCTAACACAACACTTGAATTGCATGAGATAGATTATGATCTTTTACTATTTTTTTCTTCCTTTACAAAGCTATTGAGGTGTTAGGTAAAGTATGTCGTCTAGAACAAAACCCACAAGCACGCACGCTATGCCATGTCAAGTTTTACCCATCATCATCCAAAGCTAGGAGGCACGTATCAGACCCAGTTTCAGCCCCTGATGATGTCAACATACTTTGCTGTCTCGCTCGCTCGACCGAGCTGCTGTAACAACCCTCATTTCTAGCTTCACCGGTACTTCTCCACAAACTCCTTGTGGAACTTGACGATACTGCCCACCCACTCCGTCCCAGGTGCCAAGAACGTGGTGCGGAAGTGCAGCGTGCCCTCCTTCTGACCAAACCCAGACCCAGGCACGACACAAACACCCGTCGCGTCCAACAGGCGCATGCAGTAGAACTCGTCCGGTGTGCGGCCCTCCTTAGCAGCGGCCTCCGCGGCGCCAGCGGGCAGCTTGATGGTGGGGAACAGGTACATGGACCCCTGCGGCTCGCCGCACTCGACGCCCTCCATCTGCTCGAATGCCTTGTGCAGGGCGGTGGCACGCTCGCGCAGGCCGTTGAAGATGGAGTTGTACTCGCGGTCGTAGAGTTCGTAGGAGGGTTCGCCGGGACGGGGCGGGTTGACCATCAGCTCGACGAGGCATTGACCGATGACCGGGGCGCAGAGCATGATGGAGACGAACTTGTAGATTTCGGCCTGGACTTGCGGGTCGAAGTTGACGAGCTCGAAGTAGCCGCCGCGGTGGCCGCACTCGCCGACCATGCCTTTGGAAACTGAGTGGAGCGAGGCAAGCTCGACAGCATCGAAACCGCCGTTAGGGTTCTCGGCTTGCAGCTGGCGCAGCGTGCGCTTGAAGCTGATGAACTCGCCGACAAAGACGTTGGTCTGGTAGACCTCGTCGGCTAGCACCACGAGGCGCTTCTGGCGGGCGAAGTCGAGGACGGCGCGGATATCGGCTTCGGACAGCGATGCGCCAGTCGGGTTGCCAGGGTTGATGATGACGATGGCGCGCACATCAATGCCTTCGGCCTTGGCCTTCTCGTACGAGGCCTTGATCGTCGCCAGGTCGGTACCCCAGTTCTTTTGCTCGTCGAGGAGGTACGGCACGCAGTGGGCGTTCAGGACGGAGAGCGAGGCAGTGTAAAGGGGGTATTGAGGGATAGGTACGAGAATGCCCGACTTCTCGTTGGCACAGATGACGTGCAGCAGGGTGTTAACGCCGGACGAAGCACCGGCCGAGAGGTAGATGTCGGCCTGGTTGGCAGGAAAGCCATCACGCCCTGGGAGTAGTTAGTACCTCGTTTCGTGAACCAGGTCTGTCTCGATATCTGCATGGGACACTCACTCTCCAAGAAGTCAGCGATGCTCTGGCGAATGGCAGGCACACCGTTGCTCGCGCTGTAGGCGCCGACAGAGCCGACATGGCCCAACAAGGTCTTGGCGCGCTCCAGAACGTCAGGTTGGTAGCCCAGATGGTTGATCAACACATCGCCCTTCTCCAACAGGAGGGGGTTCTCAAGGATGCTGAGGACCTGGCGGAAAAAGGTGAGCGGCTTCTGGTCGAGCTGCTGGGGGTTCCCGATGTTGGCCGAGATGACCTGAGAGAAGGGCAGGTCACTGGCGCCCTTTGCGAGGGCAGCGCGGTACTCCTCCGACTTGACGGCCAGTTCACCGCGCACGGCGTACTTGGCCTCCCGCACATGGGGGTTGATGTTGTCGATGTTGAGCCGGGGCCCAGCGTTAGATGCCATGGTACACTGTTGTTGATGCTGGTGCTGCTGGACCGAGAGTTTACTGCTGCTGCTTAACGATAGCAATCCGCGACTTGGGCGGCTTAGTGGCGGGGTAAAAATAGACGATGGCGGGGCTACGGCACCCGTCGGGCTGCTGAAGTCTAACGATGCAAAGAGTGGGTTGTTAGAAACCACAGGGGTTAGGGGAAGACGATGTAAGGTTGCGTCGAGTCAGGGCGCTCTCTTGTAATAAATTAACAAATATGGGGTGGGCCTGGCAAGAGTTGATCAAGAAACTCGAGGGGCCCATTCAAGGCAAACCCAGGCAAGAAACGAGTGGACTTCCACAGGATCCTGTGCCTGTGTTATGAGACGGGATGAAACGGGTGTGAGCTACTAGCCCATGCGGTCAGCTGCCTGACCAGCTCCCCAAATTATTCAACGCATCCAGTGCGGTGTGCAATTTTCTCGTGTCATCTCTGTCACCGGTCCCTGGAAGCCGCATTCTTTCTCCTCATTACGGGCCATCCCGAAACTTTCCCGTTGGGGATTTGGGGTCGACCTGCCATAGGCCGAAACCGGGCGCCGATGCCCGCCCACGGGAAGGCGGGCTTCAGCCAGCATGGAAGACCAACATTTCCCGCAACAAGCCGTTGCTGGGCGAGGTGAACCCCTAAGCGCCTGCGGGGTTCACAGCGACCAAGTACCGTATGAGACGGCGTGGGAAAAAAGCACGGGGGAGAGTACACGTAATGAAACTCAAACGACAAACGAAAAACGGGAAATATTATTGTTACCTCTGCGATAAAGAGACCCCGCGCTCTGCTTGAGTGCCGAGTGTTTGACCGTTGTCCCACGGCGGGCAACCCGCGCCAACAACGGCGCCATTTGACAAAAGGTTTCGGGCACCAGTCAAATGTTTGGAAGGGCAAAAGTGGTTCGACGCGGAGGCGGCGTGGGAGCGAGGTTCTTTGGGATGGTCTGTGGGGGTTTCTTCAGGAGGGATTAGCTCATTGGTGCTCAAACATCCAGCTTCAGTTCTTTTCACTCACCGTTCTAACTCATGTTTATCATTGCGACCGATTATGAGGCGGGAAAGGGTGTAAAATCAAAGATAAAGATTCGATCATTTATGAGATATGTCGGAAAGAGTCGGTTGAGTCTTTAGTATGTCATTTTAGGCGGCGCGGCTCCGAAAATGGAGATTGCGTGGGCGGTGTGACATGCACGTTTGGCGCTCTCGGACTGTTTTCATGCCTCTGAGTGAGGAGCGAGTTCGGAAGAAGGAAATATCAACCTCTTTTAGACGAGGCGGAACGGTTAGTACGAAGTACTTGAGAGCAAATGAGCTTTGTGATGTTACACCCCTAGTTGACGCCCCCAAGGGCTGGTCAATGAGCTACCTAGGGTAATTTGAGACACCTGTAATGGCCAGCCGATTCCAAGCTCAACATCACACTCGATCAAACCCGGACTCCGAGACTCCCTAGTTAGAAGCTCAAGAATACTCGCTCTCATATCCAAACTCATTACGGTTAACCAGCATTGTGGTTTGGTTCGTTGCAAGAGTGAAATGCTATTGGCTTATGTAATATGACTCGGATGGGTGTGACGAAATTCGACAATTTGGACCCTTGAAAGTCGGATCAATGCTCTCCCGAGTTTCCGACGAAAAGCGAGCCCCACTTCGGCGTAGTGAGCCCGTGCGAGTTGACGATCCACTTGCAGCTCCGAGCCGCAAAACCTCGAAAGCCGGACCCCGCGACAAGACCGCGGGCGAGGACGACGAAAAAAGACGACGGGCCACCGCGGCGACCACCCACGCCCCCATCCAACGTACTAGCCAAACCCCCGAGTGAGCGACAGTTGCGTCACCGCCCAGCCAAGATGGCGAAGAAGGGTACTATACATCCACGCGCACTCAGACAGACACGTGAAGTGGATGGAGAGAAACGGAAACTAATTGATTGACACAAACAGCCAAGACACGCATTATCAACGTGCGCCTTCTCTCCATGGCCATGACCGGCTACTTCTATACCTTCACACGACCCCGGACAGCGTTACCCATGAGCATGATCAAATATGATCCAATCAGTACGGCGAACCCCCCCAACACTGCCTACGCTATCTCTTCCCCCTTTTGGATATCGACCGGAGAAGAAAAGCTGCAGGAACCAACGATTGGGTTTCTGGCAAACTGGCGAGGAAAATGAGGATCAGATGGGTCAATTACTAACCAATTGCGTCAAACATAGTCCGGAGGCGAGTGCTCTTCCTCGAGCAAAAACGAAAGGGCAACAAATAAACGATCCGATCGATTGAGGCGGGCAAGAAACGAGAGATGTTATGTTTCGGTTGGGCTTTTCAAGGCGAATACCCACCCTTAACAACAGGGCAAGGAACCTCACTCAGATAGAAGAGGGGATTGGGTCCGAAGGAAAACGTCGTGGGATCATGGCGTCGTGACCCCGTACCGGGATGTGTGGGATGTGTGAACCCGAAGGAGGGAGCCAAGAGTCCGATACTGTGGCACTCGTCGCAGATGCGGCAGCGGGTTTGCTTAAACGGAAGTTATGCGGCATGTTATGAGCCTCCGCATTGTCGGGACTTGAATGGTCGAGGGCTTATGCTGATCTATAGAAATCGGAGAGGAAAGGGGGCCTTGTACAATACCATGGGCTCATATCGCCAATGTATTATCAACAACTATCACCATGAACAGCATGGCTGGCGTTCTACTGGGACTTAGGTTAACAAGTAAAAGAGAGAAGCAATTTTTCATGCCCGAAAGCATCCATAATTATACCTGGATGTCTTGCCACTGTCCCTACTTCTTCATTCCACTACACGGTGGTCAACAGCGGGATACATAAATTTAATTACTGCGCCAAGATCATAAGCTACTGACCTCAGATATAAACTCACACTGTTTCTCCCCTCCCCTTGGTCATCTACCTCTATTTACTTTAGCAAACGATCAACCAGCACACGATCCCACCTCACACTTATCCCCACAAACTGACAACCATGTATTTGCGGACCAACAAATGATTAACCTCACAGGCCGCCATTTAGTCTCCTCTGTGCTACAACCAACCCACTCCCCCTCCCCCCCTTTCGCTCTCGACTGTCTAAGAGATTTGGGCTAATTCCTGTGATCCCTGTTTTTCTTTTGGGGGCCAATACTGAGACTGCGGTTGAAAATGAGACTGAGACCGCAAACTGAAACGAGAGGCCACATTCTGTCCGCTTGGAGGTTCCGCAGCTCCCCGTTGCGAGCCGTAAGTCCTGACATTTGTTTGTCTTGCACCAAGGACCTGGGAGCTATTTGCGGACGGTGTTCGAGGGAGGGATTGAGTTGTGTTGCCCGAGTACCTCCGTGAGTTGCGAGTTGTCGGTGTCTGAAATTCTTGAGCGCTGTTGGGCGTCGAGTCAACCCCTTTAAAGCTTGTTTGCGTCCCAACCGCCGAGACCTGTGACTTTTTTGAGTCCATCGTAACCCGCTTCGGTGCTGCGTCCACCTTTATCAAGTTCCTTTTTTGTCCCTGGCTAGAGCTGCTGGCGTTGTCAATTATCGCTGATTCTGAGCGTCTTCGTTTGCTAGGCCGTCTACTTGACGGCTCGGTCGTCTTCTCAGTTATGCTTGCGTCAGGTGCCACAAAAACCTCGTTGTTCGCTTGGCTGTCGTCCGTCCTAGTGTGAGTCCTTAACCCGAGATGTCGAGATCGTCTAAAAGCTCCATGCCCCGCTACAGCAGGAACTTCTCCCGGCTCGGGAATATCACCAGTACTTCGAGTCTCGTGCTTCATAATGGACTTTGGCTGCATAGCCTCTCTCCGACGTAGCTTCTCCTGATCGACCGATGGAGCCGCTGGCTGATTCGGTACGTTTGCCGGGCTTTGAACGACGACGCGCCTCGTATGGTGGAAACTTGATACGTATGACAACGGGTCACTCACAACCGTTTTCTCCGCCCCATTGCTCCCGGTTTCCATGGCGTTTTCCACCTCGCCGTCGGTATCGTCTTTCGCCTGTAGGTCGTTGTCGGTATGACCTCCTGCGTCCAAACTTGGAGACCGGTCGCTTTTACTCGGAATGAATTTCAAGTTCTCCCCGTCCAGTAGCACCATATCTTGTCGTACCTCAGAGGTTGCAAATGGTGAGACTTGAGAATGCAACGGGGTCCCCAGAACTCGCCTTAATAACACCCCGATTTCATCCACACTTTTGTCCCCATACAGAAGACCATCTAGCTCATTTCTGAGAGCATCCTGGTTTGCCCAGCATCTCAAACCCGAGACTAATGTCTTGATCTTTTCACACTGGCGCTCATTATTAGATTCCAATTCAGACGCCCGCTTGTGGGCGGTACCGAGCTGCCCTTCCAGTTCTGCAACACGGCATGAAAGCTGGTTCTCTGAAGCCCTCATCTGTGATGCGTGTTTTGTGAACTGTTCGGTGGTTTCCTTTCCTTTGGTCTCTTCTGTGGCAAGCTTATCCTGAAGCAAACGGATTGTCTCGGCATCTCGGCAGCTAGCGCTTTTGGTTTCTTGGATATCTTTTTTCAGAACATCTAGCTCAGAAGCTAAAAGATCCCGGTGTTCTGTAATCTCCATAAGCGTCTTTTCTGATCTCATACTGAATTTGTTCATCTCAGCCCGAGCTTCGTGTCGAGCGGTCTCGGCCGCACGCTGAGCTGCGACGACGGACGATTGGTCCTTTTCCTTGATTTCTTGGACGAGCTTCTCGATATTTGAATTGCACTTTTGTATCTCAGAGATATGCGCCACTTCGCTATTGTCGAGTTTTCGCTGAAGTTCGGCCACTGTCTCAGCTTTGATCTTAGCCTCTGCCCTCAACTGTTCTGTCTCCGTCACTCTAGCCTCCAAGCGTCGGATGAGCTGGTCACTCTGTTCTTGGGCGGCATCTGAAGCAACCAGACCTGCTTCAAGCTCATGTAGTTGGTCAGTTTGTTTTTCCGTTGTCTCCCTTAACATCGCAAGCTCGTGAAGGTGCTCTTGGCACTCAGCGTCTTTTCTTTTGTAGAGTGTCGAGACCATGCCGTTCTCCTCGGCCTTTTCCGCAAGCTTGGTGCTCAGTGCCTCGAGCTGGCTGTCTAGCCGTTGCCAAATCTTCCCTGTATGGAATTCAAGGTCAGCGGAAAGTTGATTTGTGGTCTCCATCGCCGCATTCCGAGATTCTAAAATATCCTCGAGCTTGGTCGTGACACTTATCTCCGCAGTCAGCAGTCAGTCATAAGATTCCGGGACATCGTGACACCTACGAAGCTGTTGCTAGATCCTGAGCCTTTTGAATATCGCGCAAAAGTCCTGGCTGAGTAGTCATCGAATTGGAAAGTGTCTCCAGCCGAGTGGCAATTTGATCAAGCCTATTAGAATATCACGGGGTTAGCCAGGAATCTCGACGCAAAGACATAACATCGCGAACCTTTGTTGGAAATCTTCCGCTAGCTTTTGGCGCTGTGACTCGGTTTCCACCTGCTGTGCAGCAAGTTTATTCATAATTTCTTTCCCTTGAACAGCGAGAGCCTCGAACCCACTTGAGGTGGTCTGGAGGCTCTGAAGTTTCTCGGTCAAGAACCGAACAGATTCCTTTTCTTTCGCAAGCTCCAGTTCCTTCTCCTCAACCCGGTGTGTTAAGTCATCGAGCTTGGCATACACTAAACAGAAGAGTTAGTTTATGTGTACCAGATGTCGCCATGCAGCAACACTTACACTCCACTGATTCGGTCTTGTTTTGTGTAAGGACGGAGCGGAGCTTTTCCATCATTTGCTCCCTCACCACCTCAGCGTTTTGTACAGCCTTCTCAGTTTCGGCGGTTTGCGTTTGCCCAACGGCTTTAACCTCTTCAATAACATCCCCCCATTGCTTTTTTGAACGAGTGTAGAGATCCTGCTGTTCTTGAATAGCGGAATTGAGATGGGACTTGCAAATGCGGTACTTTTCTTCCAGTCTCTGGGCTCGTTCTTCAGACAGCTCCAGTTTGCCTTCGATATCTTCCATCTTGGCTGTCATCTGCGTCTTAGAAGTTTTCAAGTCCTCTATTTGGGTTTGTTGGGATTGGATCCGCGATATATGTTGGGCAATAACTGTGGACTGGCTCGCAAGGTCTCGCTTGACCCGCCGGATGTATTTGTGATACTTCATCTTCTGCTCCTCGAGAGCCGCGCTCTGCTGCTGAGTAAATTGATTGATAACCCCTGCCATGCCGTTCGTAAATTCGTGGCTAATGTTGGCTCTCCGTTGCCGTCCTATCGTGCTGGATGCTAACGACGCACATCTAGACCTAAACACCCATGCCGTTAGTGGTTGCTCCCCCATCAGATGCAAAGACCAACCTTTGCTTAGACACATTGGAGCTCCGTGAGTCAGGGCGATTGCGCGACGGGAACCTCGCTGGCCTGGAATGCGCTGATTCCCTGACTGGCCGATTTACCATCTGCCCTTGGGTAGGCTCTCGCCTGGCGGGTGGAGAATCTGTCGAAGCAAATGTAGGAAGGTTTCCGTGTCGTGCTGGCTTGTCGCCTTGCCCGCCTGGTAACGGTGCGTTGGGGCTCTGATGCTGAACCGAAGGCGCGAATGGGAGGGGCTGGGGGCCAGATGTTGATCCCCTACTCGAAGACAACCCCCGAGATTCCCTTTCGTCATGATCGTTAAAGGTAGGGTGGGAGTTATTGCTGGAATGTGACGCTACGACAGGTGGCCTTACCGACTGTTTGGGGGAGGATCCAGGGGAAGGTTGTTTCAAACTCGTTTTCAAGGTCCCTGCCCCAGATGCATTGCCAGTCTCTACGGCTATCCTCGTGGGACGATGGCGAACCATAGCAGCGGGTTGCCCGTGAGGTTGGTCCGAAGTTCCCATGTTGCTTCCGTTAGTTGCTCCGATTGGTCCTCGATCTGCAATAGACGGCGGTGGTTGTAGCACACCATCTTGCTGACCTCGGGGCGTTTTGGTATCATGTGGGTTGTGGTAGAGAGCATCTTGGAACCCACGGACCGGCTTCCCCGGCATTTTGGTGAAATGCTCAGGACCAAACTTGATAGCCGGCCCATACTCATAACCCTTGTCCAAATCCAAGGTTCTAAAAGAGGGCTTCTCCAAGAGCATGGACTCAATGGTGTCTTTGACCCTTCCAGTGTCTTCCTTAGGGGAGGTTTGGAGGGGCTTTTGGCCATTCGTGGTCGGGGGCGGGGATGGATTTAGAAGTGCTTCCTGCTGTTCAAAGAGAGCTTCGATGCTTCCGTCCTGGTATTCAAAGTCGTCCGTGGGGTTGGTGAAGTTAATGTTTTCGAGAGGATCGTCCATGGGTTCGAGCATTGGGGCAAGGCCGGGGGACTCAGAAGAGTGTGCCATTGCGTTTCTATAATATAGCGAGTTAATATGTTAGGACTGGAGTGAGAACCGGCAGAAAAGGTCCGTCTCACTCACCTCAAACTACGTGTGTAATTGCCCCCCCCCCCTGGCCAGGCACCTCTCAACAACAACCAAGGCTTAGCAGTAACAAAAGCAGAAACGAAGCGAGTACAAGTGCAGGTGCCGTGAACGATGTACGTCGTCACAAATCATTAGAGACAAAAGCTCTTCAGCAACCCGGTTCGCGCGTCAGGGACGGAGACAAGTCAAGCTGGCCGCAACTCCCTTCGGCGCTACATCGGCCATCGTTCTTTCCCAAACCGGACATATAAACCTAGGTCCGGTTCGCGGTTTCCATCCAGGACGCAATACCAAAGCGCTGGGGCAAGTGACACCATTATCATATCCATAGGAGGCAAAAGAGTGACAGGCTGCGTCTGTTGGTGTAATAGAAATACAGCTAGGAGCTATGATTAAAGGGACGAGTCGGACAACCTGGGGAGAGGATACTCGTGGAGTAGACCTCGGAGATAATAGAGTAACCTTCGCAAGGAAGTAAGGAAAAAGAACCAGACAGAAGGCCTGACTTGGAAACCACCTTTCCTTTATGTTCTTTGAGCGTAATCTCGAGACAAGCAATCATAGGCAGAGGAGTCGACAAACGGAGGGCCAGAAAACTTTAACACTTGAGCGGCAGAACTTGGCCACCAATCACCAACCATGACTTTGTTACTCCCAACAACGGTGGCCAAGTCCAACAAATCCAAGTCAGAAGCGCTGGTGGCCGAGTGGTACCATCATGCACGCACCCGCAGAGTGCCCTTCAAGCTGGTTCCAAGACACTGACAGTTCAATTCCCAGTACCTTCTTCGACGACGACTTTTCGCCGGCTGAAGCTTGAACTGCTGACTTTCACAGCAGTGGTCCCTACCTGCGAGGGTAGAGTTGCTGTCCCGGAGCCTAGTTCCGGGGCATGATCAGTCGGGGCAGCCTCACGCAACCTCGACTTCTCGCTGTCAGGTATTTCACCTGGCAGCGACATCACAGGTGCTTTGTGCACCTGATCACTCCACACAATAGTGTGGTTTGGCATAATGCCTTGCAACATTTGTGCTGCTTGAGGTACGCAATTCCCACTTCTCCGATGATAACACCAGCGCTTCTCTTTTTTAAACCTTTTCTTTTTCCCTATCGCATGGGGAAGACAGGCGCCCCTAGAGCTGTCATTAAGATATTTTCCAAATGTTTTTGTTCTACCGTTCATATCAAGTCCTTACACATGAGGGCAGCCCCCCCCTTCGCATCGAGTTGATGGTGTGTGTTTGTGTAAACGCAACACCAGAAACTCCCAGCAACTCGGCACTTGGTTTGGTTAGACTTTCACTCAAGGTTACATAGGACGGCAACCACTTGCCCAAAATCCATCTCTTCCCTTTTGTGCACAGATACCCAAGATCAACCCCGCCTCCATCACATCCTCCGTTGACCACCATCAGTCACATCACACAGCCATTGCAGCTCAACCCAAACCCTGACTTCTTCAACCCAACCTTGCCAACCAAGCCGATTCAACGACGAACGTCCCACCTTCATGAGCCCATCCCACCAACCAAACCCCACCCTCGAGCCGCCGGCCTTCATTGCTGTCCCGCGCATCTTCTTTCTCCCATTGGTCCGCTCCCCGTCACATCCCCTGCAGATTTCCCATCTTGGCATCTCAAAGCGGGAACGCGACAGGGGTTAACTCCAAAAACGGACCAGGAACATGGGTTCCTGGAGCTTGTCTTGCTCTTCTTTTCAACCTCTCACCATGCTCGAGAGAAACCTTTCCCGCTTCCCGAGTGCCGATTCATGGCTGCCGTTAAACTTCCGATCCAGTTATGCAAGGGGAACGCACACCAGGGGAACCAGGATCTTTCCCATAATAAGATGCCCCTCAAGCCAGGTGGGGCATGACGGAGGGATGTCGTGGGACTTTGAGCGTTCGGCTCGAGTTAGCCGCCGAGCGCGTGTGAGATCGCAGGAAGCACACTTGGCTTCGAGCCAATGGGACCATGGGGATGCGGGATGAGGCGCAAGAGGTGATGTGAGGGAAGTTTCTGCTTCGGATTCCGGTTCCCCTGCTTTACTTCGCTTTGATGGCCAAACGGCCGGCCCGCAGAGCGGATTTCGAAGGCCATGCCATCGAGGACTGCGCTCGCAGGAGCAGGTACCGAGGGGAGCGTGGCGGATGCAGAAGCGAGTCAGCCTCCAGGGGAGGAAACGGGAATGGGCGTGCATCAGAAGCGGCAATGTCATGACTGGTGAGGAGATGTGACCCGGATCGTCGCAAGAGACGCTGGTGGAGAATGGGTCGCGTGGGTTGCGTGGGTTGTGGATGGTCTGATCATGGTTCTGCGCTAGACTAGACACCTGGTGTTTGACCAGTCGCCGGCCACCTTGGGCCTGTCTTGGCCATTTGGGGGCACACCCGATGATACCAAGTGGTTCCCTGGGATGTCCTCCCGATGGCAGACGATGAGGGTATATACCTCGTCCTTGCCCGTCACACCCCGGCCTACGGAGGCGCCCTCTTTTCCCCAATTCCTATCTTCCACAAAGTTTGAAAGCTCTCGCTCTTATTTTGACTCCCGCCGCAGCTGGTCTGGTGGTTATTCGTTCTCTATTCCAATCTTTCTCATATTACACCCGACCTGAACTTGCACAGTACCTCGTTCCTTAAGACGAATCACCCCCCCCAGAAATACCACCGGCCGACTCCCACAGGCGAAGTAAACGACACCCCTAGCGGACATGGCCGACACCAACTATTCCCCCGTCACTTCGGACAGTAGCGACGGAGACTTCGATGGTACCACTGCCGGCGCCTCGGGCGCATCAGGCGGCGGGATGACGATTTCCACCGGCGCTTTAGTTGCTATCATCGTTGTCGTAGTTGTGGTTGCACTCTTTGGCAGTAAGTTTCGCCCCTCTTCAACGGCCTTTCAAACGTTTTCTTACATCGATGCTAACCACGGTATCGTATAGTCGCTAGTTCAGTCCTTTTCTTCATCGCTAAGAAGCGCGAGTGGACGGTCCGTGAAACAATCCGGAGGTCCGCACGCAAGGTCGCCACCGTCCTGACGCCACGGAGGACCGAGTTTCCTAAGGCTGTCAAGGAAGGGAAGATCGGTGGAGGGAGCCGAGGGGGACGGATGGACGATGTGCCGCCAACGCCGAGGATCAAATCTGAATACCTCGACCTGGAGAAGGGACTCGAGAAGGCGAAGAAGAAGCGGGGAAACTTCAGCAGGAAGTGATGTGCTGCTGATGGGTAGGGGGGACGGTATGAGTGCAGTAGAGCTCGGTCACGACGCTGCTGTATGGTAGATCTGAGGTGGTGTAATGCCGAGGGCGCAACCGTGTATTCGACGGTGGATCCGAGGGATGCATAGCGGAGAAGGGCGGCGGAACAATCGGCTTGGTGTTAATTCACGAAGGGAACGAAACCCATTGATACCACGATTACTTTTGGCCTGTACATTATAGGGTATACTAGTTTTGACAGGGCGAGGCAGTTTACAATCGGCGGAAGGTGTTGGTACTTGCGCTTCTTCTGTCTTCCCGGCGTTTTGTTGTCGTCGGTGCTACTGGCTGTGGCTTGCCTCTCTTCTTGGATTCGGGTACGAATGTAACTTGTTGCTCTCCCACCACCTCGCCTGTCCGGTCCTTCGCAGCGCGGGTCCCCTTTTGCGCTCTCGAGCCAAACGCGGTATCCCTGATCTTGCCACCGCGAGCCGTCGAGGATGATACTTGCATGACCACGTCGTCCTTTGGCTTTTTTGGTTGTCTTTCGACCTCGTCTTCTGAATCGCTCTCTTCGTCGCTTGAATTTGCCGCAAAGCGAGTGTTGTTTTGTTCGGGGGCGCCTTCCACCTTCGTGCTTGGGTTGAGGGCCCTGAACTCGTAGCTTGTTTCGTCGACCTTGAACTCCTCGTCCTCGAAGATCTTGCCGAAACGTGAGTCGCCCAGGACGCCGGCCTCGGTGTCCACCTTGGCCCGCTTCTCCTGCCGCTGTAGAATCTTGTCGGCCAATTTCTGGTTGACCTTGACCTTCTTGATCCCTCTGATGCGACTGGAACGCTCTTTCTCGACCTTCTCCTTGACTCGCTTGGCTCGTTCCTCTTCCCAGATGTACGGATTCGCAATGAGGCGGGCCTGATCGTACAGCTTAGCAGCAACAAAGTAACCGTGCATGTACGGCCGAAGGAGGTTTGTCTTCCCAACAAGGTGGTCCAGGCTGAGTGACTTGAGCTCGGGCTTGGTAAGAAACTTGTAGTTGTCGTAGGTCTCGGATTGTGTCTCGTTCTCCATTTCGTGAACCAGGTTGTCCAGGAAATGGCACCAGTTCGGGGCAAGACCCAGGTTGGGGATGAAAAAGCAGTGCATATGTTTGCCCTACGCTCACGGAGTTAGTACCCGCACCTAGTAAAATACAGAAAAAGAAGACTGGGGAGCGTACCTCGTTTGCTGTCAGGATCATACCCGAATCTGGGATATGTGTGACGTGGTTGAGGTCAACTAGTGGCTCGACTGACGTCCAGAGATCTCCACTATGCTCATCCCAAATCTTGATGATCCGCTTGTCGGCTGAGAGAAGCTTGCGCTCCTCGGTCGGTGTCTTCAAGTGGATCAGAGTTTTGACCGGAAGGCCCATTCCCTGATCCTTCTTCATGAGTGGGCGGGGGTTTCGAAGATCGAATACCCTGATCTGGCCGGTGCTAGTACCGAGGGCAATCGACAAACCATCTTCACTGTAATCCAACGCCGTGACTTCACCATCGTGGCCGCCAAGGACTGCTGCTCTCCCTTTGCTGCGCGGGTCGTAGAACTCAACTGTGCCCACGGTCGTGCCGAACGCGCAGAGACCGTGAGTCTTCTCTGCCACTGCCGCTACGTTGACGGCACCTACGTGTATGCTTCCTTGCAAGCCGCTATTTGAAGCGTCTTCTCCAACGTCAATCTGCCACGGGCGGAGGAACTGCCCCCTTTCTAAATCCAATCGAAAGACCTCTCCGAACCCAGACCCATCGGCGCTTAGCCCAACTGAGGGGATGAGAACTTCGGTGTTCTGGCGCAAGTAGGCGAGGTCTCGACCAAATCGCGGAAGCCTTACTTCGTAATGGCATCCCATCGGTGTGTGAAACTCTAACGATCGGTCGTTTTGCAGATGTAAACTCTTCGTGTAGTCGGATCCGAGAAGAAGAAATGTCGAGTTTTCTGACTTTGTATGACGCGAGAAGGAGAGCGATAGTTCCTGTGTTGAATGGACATGGAACTGGGGTTTGTATGTCCCTGTGCTCATGATCCAATTCCCATCCTCGCTAACCCGGACGCAATTGCTTGCTTCCTCGAACTCGAATTCTTGCAACAGCTCAAAATTGTTCAAATTTTCGGCGTCATACTTTGATGACCTCTTTCTCCGGCGGGCGAGCCAGTCTGGAAGCGGCCGGGCAGTCGAAGGCCCTGCGACGGTGTATCTGAGCCAGAGCCATACGGATCAGTTTCTTCTGTGTCGCAATTACCAAAACGGGCAGAAATATCTAGAAAGAAGAACATAAGTAGGAAAAGGCGAGAGGACTTACACCGGAACTGTTCCTGGATTCGTCAACTTCATGGTAAATGGTGATAGCGCCTGGATTGGAAATCTCAAATCGCAAGCTGCGAGCTCGAGTGTTGAAAGGGGCAGAAAACCAAAAAGTTTCGACCGCCCGCTGGGAAGGGAAGGCGGGGAGCGATCAGATGGAAGATCAAGGCCCCCTGCGGTTGACCCGCCGGGACCCACTGGTCGGGTTAAAGTCGGGAACTGCCGCGAGATGGGGCTGCTCTCGAACAACATGACAAAATGACATGTTCCTCCGATGTGCTGATTTATTTCGTGCGATCTTCTTAAGTGAACTTGTCCATGTTTATTACCCTGTAGAATTACCTTGAGATTTTAAAGCTGTGTTAGTGAAGACGGCAGGAAGAGACCAAAAGTGGAAAAAACGACTTTTTGGGGCCAAGTTGAATCCACCTCATGTGCCATCCCTGCACACGGACAGGGGCCTGGCGTTCCTCGATCCGCTGACTTGCTGCAACCAAAGCCTCCCGCGCTGCTTCCGCGTGTCAGCGCATGAAGTGCCTGAATCTGCATCAAATATCCTCCCACACACGAGCTCATTTTTCACCATCGCATCGAAACAGCCTCAAGGGCCATCAGGGATAAAATAGTACGAGCTTTGACCGACCCTCGAGTCCCGAGCTTAGCCTCATTACGAGATCGCGTCGACCGAACACCGCAGCGCTCTGGCATCCTAATCGACACTGTCCCGTACACACACGCACAGACGAACCCGCACGATAATACATACACCCGTCCGCAAACACAAACTTCCGCCGAATGCCTCCTGAAGTGCATCAACTGTGATTCGTGGAGGGTGGGTGTTCAATCGTCTCGCCGGCCGCTGCCATGGAGCTCGGCAGCTCGGCACATAGCGCACGAAACCTTCAACCCGGATCTCAGTAGTGATCATCACCCGTCCGCATGCGCCGTCTCTTCGCCCGACCGCGCCATCAACCCCGTTTTGGTGGTTGACCGTCCGATATCTGAGCCCACGCCTTGCGCGGCTTATCTTCCGATATGGACGCCGGGGAATATGAGACAAATACCTTGTTGATTGTATGACGCCCCGCGCTGGAAGGCTGGCCTGACAGGGCTCAACTTCCCCCCCTTCGCGCACGAAAAGAATCACTGCTAACATGCTGGATCAAACGTAGAGTAATCTGTCCGCGATCTCCTTTCGAATTTATGAGCCGATCGCTGCGCCATTGTCGACCTATACTTTCAACGCAAGCGATGTGGAAGACGCCCTTCGCAGCGATGGCCATCTCGTCTACATGGACAACGCCCGCCAGGGTATCTGGTGTTTTTACCTCTCGTCAGGGTCCCTTAGTTCTGCGGCTCAGTCGGAGCGACTCGGTCTACATGCGAGGATGGAGGTTTGCGGTTACCCGTTGGGCCTGGTCCGGGAAAGCAACCTTGAGCCCGTTGGGCTTCTTAAAAATAGGCCTCTCGTCACAAACGCGATCAACACCCCAAGCAGCTCGTCCTCCGCCGGCTCCGCCCTTGATGCCAACGCCCGTGGCAACCCTCCTTTCAACTTCTCGCCGACGCCTGTAGCTGCAGATAGCAAGGTTCCTTCAACTCCAACGACCGACGCCAAAGGATATTGCGCAGTCCCCGCCACGGAGATCTACGAGTTTTTTATCACAGCTGTGTTGTCATCGCTGACGGCATACTTTTGCCGCACAGTTGGGGCCATCTTGCTAAACAAGCGTTCAGCTCTACTACCTCCCCAGATCTTCAACGCCGACGATGCCGACTGGGGTCAAGTGCCACGGACTTCCGCTCTGGCCACGTTCCGGACATATTTAACCACCACAGGGTCACTCGTCATCTCCCTTCACGTATCTGCGATCCGTGGCATAGTATCTTCGGCCGACGTCCTACGCTCGAGTTTATTACACGCCGGCCCAAGTGTCCTCGCTGCGCCGTTTGGGGCGTTCGGTTCGGTTCATGGAGTGGTTGACACCGATAACCAAATTGTCGACGGCGGGCTGGGCCAGTCCCCCGACACACAAGTCAGCCGCTTTCGGCCAGATCATGGCGACAAGTTCCAGCAATTGAAGACCACATGCTGCAAACTGCTCCAGATGCGCGGCATGTCGGCGTCACTGCTCGACGGGTGTTCCTGGTTAAACATACACTTGCTTCAGAAGCGGCCGTACGAACAAAGGATAGATGGCAAGCGAACGCCGCTCGTTGGCCCGGGTACGACGGCCCCATGGCCTGCCGTGCTCTGTTTTCGGAAGCCCAAGATCGAAATGATGCTGGATGCCTCATATGAGAAGGCCTTGTCGGAAGCTGGTGCTGAGAATTCAGATCCGCTGAACCGGGCAAAGTCATGGTACCAAGGCGCCTCCGAGAGGGATGAGGCTGCTTTGAAGAAAAAGAAGGAGAAAGAGGCCGCTGTCGCACGCGACCATGCGGATTTGGACGCGAAGGCCCAATTGCAAACCAACGGGTACTCACCCGTGGCTCTCTGGCGCAACCCTGTGAACGGTGGGCCTTCCGCTCTTGGGACTATGTACCCAACACCTCCCGATGGGATCCAGCCATCCGGAGTAACACCCTCGTTTGACAGCGGCGTCCAAGGCCAAAGCCCAGCCGGTCAGCCAGCAAATAACGGACTCAATAACCACAATATCACAACACAGCAACAAGGGGTGGGAGTAACTACTGGCCCGGAAAACTTCAACGGCAACTGGGATGGTGTTGAGGCAAAGCCCGAGCAGGCGGTTGCTGCTAACTTCCCCGATGAAAACCTATTTGGAGACTTGGGTGAGGACATGTTCGAAGGAAACGAACTGACGGACGCCGACTTCAATTTCTTCGATGAACATCCGGATTCCAATGATATGGACCTTGCTTCCCTCACCGAAGCTGGCTCCTCTTCTACCGGGGCGCTCCCAGGGAACGGAAGCCACAAGTTCAACGAACCGCCCCAGGCTGTCGTATGCACAGAGGGCAAACCAGATGTCCGACCGCCCTCACCGAAATTCATGAAGCCTGAGCTTAGGCACGCTCGCAGTATATTAAGCGAGGAAGGTCGACGCCAAACTAATTTGGGAAGCTTTAATCGTAATTCGGCGGTGGGTGTCAAAAGACACCCCAGCCCTTTCAACCCCGAGACGGTCTACAAACGCATACGATCCTCGATTCGTCGGCCGACGCCCGTGGTCTCAACGCAGCGAGGGAATCCCCAGCGCCGCAGCATTTTCGAAGGAGTGGACTTTGATCCTGAATTGTCGCCCGCCAGCAAAAAGTACGGGGCCAAGGGGCCGTTCGATTACACCTCTACGGCACTCAAGGAGAAGGAGAGTAAGGCGTTGCATATCCGAACCAACCCTCTCACGCCCGGCCAACCGTTAGGATCCGCCAAGCTACGCAAGAACTTAAAGGATCTCCCACCCGACATCAGTTTTATCTTGACAAAGCTGGCTAGCAAGGGCAGGGACTCGGGACTTCAAAACAACCTCCTTTTAGAATCGGACGACGACACTTCAGGATCGTCGGATGAAGACACTGGCGACCAGGTGACCCAAGCCGCCTCTCCCACCAAGTCGAGTGCGATCCGAAGACGCCCCGAGGACGACGTTATTTCCATGGCTGCCTCGTTTCGGGAGCTGGAAAACATACCCGCCGACTCTCCGGGCTATGGCCCTGTCGACCTATCCCGACTGTCCAATGCGGAAATCCCAGACTTTTCCCTTGCCAAATACTTTGCTGACCCGGAGCCAGCCCCGATCCGGGTGTCCTCCTCGGACGACGACTTTATCACCGTGGCACAAGTTCTCACCGAACAAGCCGCAACCGGGTTCCTCAAGCTCGCGCCGCGGCGCCAGAGCTCCGAGGTCCAGGATGTGCATCGATGCCTAATCAAAGCCATTCGCTACTCGATCAAAGGGCTGCAGAAGGCTCTGCCCCGTTCGCTGATGGGGGCCGTGGGATGCCAACTTCGCCCGTTTACCGAAGTGCAGGATGTGCCGCGGCTGGTCCAGCCCAATAGCCGCGTCCAGATGCGAGCGGCAGAGCTTCCCAAGCCCAGTATCTATTCCATCCCCACACCCCACGTCGAGCTCCGGCGATGGGAGAACCAACTCTCGGTGCTCCCCTCAGCCGTCTCCTTCTGGGATACGCTGGGTCTGGGGCCCGTCCAAGGGCCGAAAGCGGTCGTTGCCGTCTGTGTTTTGCCTCAGACAGACGGCATGCGGGACAATGCGTCTGCATTTTTGGATAGGGTCCAAAGTACGTACGAGTCACTGAGGCTAGGTGCCTTTGAGAGGCTGCCGGCCGTGGGCGGCGTCGAGAGCGGCCTTGTCCTGCTCCCAACCGACCGAGAGGATATCTCTCCCGGTCTAGATTTGCCTCGCTCCCGCTCGGCGTATGCCGACCAGATGACGAACCTGGCTGTGTCGCTCTCTGGACTGTCGATGCTGGAGAAGAATTTTGTCGTGTACTTTTCGTACACCCCAGAGAACCCTAGCTCGATTGTGGAGTGCTGTGCTGCGTTCCAAGAGCTCTTTGAGCACTACAAGCGCTGCATGATGGACAGGAAAAAGCACATCTCCAATGAGTTGGTGCTCCAGCTTGTGCCACTCGATGCTGTGGCGTCAGAGACATCACTCGTGGTCCTCTCGCCGTCGGACTGCGCCCGGCTCTGCTTGGAGACGTACGACCGATGCACACTCTTTGGCGGGCCCATGCCCTCACCGGCAATCATGCTTGAGCGAGCGCTTCCTAGAGTGATAGAGTTCAAGCCCTCCCCTTCGCCATCGCCTAATTTGCTACGGGAAAACTCGTGCATCCACGTTGCCTACGGGCGCAGCGTCGATGAACGCTGGGTCACGGCCGCCTGGACAGACAACAGGGGCAGCACGCAGTCCACGGCCTCGTACTGCCTGGGACGCCGGGACAAACCGTTGTCGAGGGCCATCGGAGATGTCATTCACGAGATCTGGGAGACCACCCACCAACTTATCTCCAGGTGTAAAGTTCACTGGCGCATCATCATAGCCAAGTGCGGTCCGATGGACCAGCATGAGATGGACACCTGGGCCAGCCTCGCCCAGTCCGACGCCCGCGTCAGCCTCAGCCTACTCCTCCTCACCGTCGACACCGACCCATCGCTCCAGCTGATCCCGCCTACGCCCACCATCCCGCTCTCGGCCCCCTCAGCCTTTTACACAACTCCTGTTTCCACCCCTCAACCGTTTTCCGTCCTCTCTCCGGACCAATCCGGGAACCCATCTACACCACTAGGCACCACCGCCCCCTACATCGGCGCCACGACCCCCGGCGGTGACTCCTCGTCCCAGGCACAACAACAACAACAACAACAGCAGCAGCAGCAGCAGCAGCAGCAGCATCAACAACCCCCAACAGAAACCGACGGCGAGGGCACGCTCATTGACACGACCGAAACAACCTGGGGCGTAGTCCTCTCCCACCGTCTCAACAACTCGGCCTCCCTAACCGACTTACGCCCGGCGCTGGCGAGCGGGTACCTGGTCAAGCGCAGCGGGCCCCGCGTGGAAGACGCGCCCGTGGCGATGGAGGTTAACGTGGTGTACAGCGACAATGCGCGGGTGAAGCACGACCCGCTGCTGCGGGAGATGCTGTCGTATTTCAGGGGGTTGGGCACGTTGGCGCGGGTGAGGGGCGTTACGGAAAGGGAGACGGATGTGAGGCCGTGGCATGTGGCGGCTGTGGAGAAGGCTGTGAGGGCGTTGTATCTTTTGATGTGAGGTGGGCATGCTATAAACTATTGTTTCTTGGCCGTTTTCTGTTGTTTTTTTTTTTTTTTTTTTTTTTTTTTTTTGTTTCTTTAGGTTATTCTCTTGTTAGTGTTGTCATTTCCGTTAATAGTCTGTTTGGTGTTGGGCGTTACAATCTTTGTTTTGGGGTGGGGAGGAACGTTGATGAACGAGCCAGAGATGAAGGGAAGAAACAGTTTGGGATTTAGCTGGAGCATGCGTTCCCGGTGCATTGGGGCTGTCTAAAGATACCTGCATACATAGCCAGCATTATGAAAAAGGTTGCTTCGAGGCTCACTAGATCGATGATGTGCACGTATGTCCAGCCATCAGACGCTTGTCTATTTGTCTTCTTACCCATCGGGGTAAGTCTATCGTCTCTGTCGTGTCTATCTGCCGTCAAAATTCCTTGCTACAAGACGCCCAAACCTAAAAAGAAACAAAAACGCAAACAACAAATATCAGCCGCCTAGATCCCTTCCCAGCCAAATCTAATCTACCGTTTTACTCGTTCCAGAAACCAGGGAACAGGTACTCAATCCTCTTCATGGCCTCGGGGTCGCGCCCCGCAGGCTTGGTCATGAACTTGACAGCGCCCTGGGCACTACCCTCCCACTGCTTAGCCAGCACCAGCTCGCTGTTCTCGTTCTTGCACAGCTCATCCAGCACGGCACCAACCAAGTGCTTGGCATTCTCGCTGTTAGCCGCCATATACTTCAGAACCATAGCCACGTCCACATCCTCCGTAGTATGCCAGCAATCATAGTCAGTAGCCATGCAAATCATCTGATACGCCAGCTCCGCCTCCCGCGCCAGCTTCGCCTCGGGAAGCGCACTCATATTAATCACACTCCCACCCCACGCGCGATACATGTTGCTTTCCGCGCGCGTGCTAAACTGTGGACCCTCCATGCACACAATCGTCCCCTTCTCATGCAGCGTGACGCCCTCACCCTGCATGCTCGCAGCACACCGGCGCACGACCCCCGCCAACCCAGCATCAAACGGGTCCGCAAACCCAACATGGCCCACCACGCCGCCCTCGAAGAACGTAAACGGCCGAATCCCCTTGGTCCGGTCGATGATCTGGTCCGGGACGACAAAGTCCATCGGCTTGATCTCCTCCTGGAGCGAGCCGACGGCGGAGAAGGCGATGACGGCGCGGACGCCGAGAGCGCGGAGCGCGGCGATGTTGGCCCGCGCGGGCACTTCGTGCGGCGCGTGCTGGTGGTGCAGGCCGTGGCGGGCTAGGAAGGCGACGGGGACGCCGGCGTGCTCGAGGATGAGGATCGGGGAGGAGGGTGCGCCCCAGGGGGTGGTTGGGTTGAGAGCCGCTACGGGGTGGTAGCCGGGGAGCGAGGAGAGACCGGTGCCGCCGATGACGGCGATGTGGACCGGGCCTGTTGTTGGGGCGTTGGTTAGTTGGAGGGGATTGATCAATGGCTAGGGGGTTAGGAGGTGAGAGAAAACAGTGTTGCTTACGGTCAAAGGTTGTAGGGAGCGAGGCGATATCGACAGTCATCGTGGCGGTGTTTTTCACAGTTTATTTTGCTGCGTTTTGTTTTTCTTCTCTTCTGCTGCTCTGGCAATATAAGAGAAAAAGCAGATGCTCCGGCAATCTCGGCGTTAGGTGGTGTTTTGAAATCAACAATCCTCTCTCTCCCGTCCCGCCCCGGCTCTCCCCTATCGCGCAATTTTTGGAGGGGCTGATGGGGGGGTTTTTTACCCCGCCGTTGCGACGACGTCGCTGACAATAAGGAAACAACCCCTGGAGACAGGGGTCAAATGATGACGCTAGTACTAAAGAGGATTAGACCACATCTTGAAAGAACTCTTCTGAGCGTATCCGTGCTGCACATGCAGGACAAAGTACGCCATAACATTTCTATCTCAAATCCAAATTTGACGCCCAGAATTGTGAGCAACGGGAAAATTGAAAAGTACCGGCAAATAGTGCCTTTTGGAGATCTAACCGAGAGCATCAGCACCACACTTGGCCAACCCATCTAATACTCATCCCTGTTTGTGACCATTTTCGCTTCCTTTCTCTCGGCTCGGCCCAGAACCACCCCGCCTTCTCACCTCAACCCACGGATTTCCGAGCGGGCCACATCCAGACTTTGGGATCCTCTTGTGCCAAGGATTTAATCGAAAAAGGCACCGCACAAACCACGGCGATTTGGGGACGGGATCTAGGGTACGGAGGATTCGAGTGACGGAGGGATAGCAAGGGCAGACCACGCGATGGCGTCGTCAATATTACCCCCCGAAATGGCCATCGCCGGGGCAGCGGATAGCGGGCGGCCACTGAGCATCGAGGAGCTCTGCTTCACATCGGCCATGAGCTGTTTTGAAGGCTGGCTCAAGCTAGATCCAGCGATCGGTCCCCGCACCATGGCCTATGTCACCAAATTCATCTCCAGGACGCTAGAGAAAACGCATAACCTCAAAGACGTCAGGTGAGGGCACTCCGGAAACATTCTTTACTTTGAGCGTACACTGACGCGCCTTCATAGGGAGTCGCTATCAAAAAGTGTCGAGGTCTGGATATGGCTTACCCGGGACTTTGCGGCCGCGATTCCTAGTTTGACGACGCGGTCCATCGGGCCTCTGGCCAGTCTCAACGACCCTGACAAAGGCGTCACCCCCTTGGAGAGCACGGCGCTGATTACTAAGAACTATCCGTCGTTGAAGGAGGACTTACAGTTGTTGATCAAGCTGATGCATGTTGCGAGAAATTTACTTGTCGTACCGGAGCCCGAGATTCCCCAGGATCTGTGCGCCGCAGCTCAGTTCGACCAGATGCTCTATCAGACGATCATTCTCTGTATTAATGTCACGAGCAAGGCGTACGATGGCGATGTTCTCGAGGAGTCGGCCAGGCTGAAGCTGAGCGAGATTACTGAGCTCTGTAAGCCACTTACCCTTACTCACCCTCGCCCATGTCTAGGTTATTATCGTCGCTGACCCTCTCTAAGACAAGAAGCTATTGGTGACATGCCTGCAGCAAGCCCACAACTGGATCGCTAAAAATGACCGGAACAAAATGGCGTTCTGGTCTACCGTTTTGTTCGACGATGACGCCCTTGCCGACGAGTCCGACGGCAACGTCTACGGGGAATTCCGGCCGGATATCGCCAAGACCGAAGTCCAGAACTGGTTCGAGCGCAACTCACGTTTCTGCGACAAGGCTCGCCAGCTACTTACCGACTACGAGGACAATGTCGCCAGTAAAGGGCAGCCCCCGGGTCATCTGCCCTGCATCTCGCCACTCGCCTGGAACTGGATGCCCGAAGGCACAGTACGGGTGCGGGCCGACGATATCCGCGACGAGTCCAAGATCACTCCGCAGTGGAAGGAGAACGAGCCCGACAAGTTCGAGCAAGACAAAGCCTACGGTCGAGTGTCAAGGGAGGTTGACACCTGGTGGCTTAAGATCCGCGACCCCAACTACGACGAGTGGGTTGTGCCGATGCCCTCCGTCGAGTTCGCCCAGCAGAGAACTGAGAACTGCAAGGCCAACCTGATCAACCGGTATGCGCAGTCATACCGAACCGCCGAACATGAAGGCTCTGTCCATTCGGCCGACGGCGGTCCTTTGCCCGAAGGTCCTGTGGGCCAAGAAATCCACGATGGTGGTGGCCACTATGTGCACGACTACAACGACGACATGATCGAGGAGGAAGACATTGATGACGACGACTCGTACGGCGAAGGCCCGATGAACGGGCTGTTGACCGAGGTCCCCAATATTCTTGATCCTAAGCAGATCGAGGCCCTCCACATGATTGTCAAGTCGTGTATCCTTGACAACGCCGGCCTAGCGCTGAGCAGGGCTGGTGAGAATCTGCAGAAAACAAGGTGTAGGATGTTCTTGGCCATGGAATGTGGCCGCAGCCTGCTTAGGGAGATCCTTGTTTTCATTGCTGTCTGGGAGAAGAGTGAGCAATCGCTCATCTTCCAGCTCACCACCCAGATCGTCGAGGCCATCCACCATAGCGCCCTGGTGCCCTATGCGTGGCAGTCACTGCGTATCCCCAAGGATATCATTTCCCCCGCGCAGACGGTGTTGTTGAGGCTTGTTAACAACATGTTCCGCGCCCGGAACAACGACCCACCACATCCGGATTCGAAGGAGCACCTCCGCGATGTGAAGCTGCTGCACTTTTTGTTCATCCAGTTCCGCAGCCGAATCGTGCCCGAGTGTACTGCCCTGATGCACTTACAAGCACAAATCCGTAACGACATTTGTGACCCGGCCGATTTCCCTGTCGACAGCTGGGACATGGAGCGCGCGAAGGACGGTATCCAACAGTTCCTTGAGCTCCTTACAACGGTCAATGAGCTCCCCGAGACCCGCCAATACCTCATCGAATGGGAAGCTGCGTACGAACTCCTGGCTTTGCTTAAGGGCCTTGAAGCCGGCGTACCCAAGAAGCCCATGGTCGATCCCGCCGGCCGCTCAACCTCGAGCAATGGGCGCCATCCACCTCCTCCCCACCCCGACGACCCTGACGCAGGTTACGACTCAGAAGATCACCCACTGGCCCCGCCCCCTCCGCTAGAAGAGCCAGCGTACAAGTACCCTTGGGCCGGTATCAAAGGCCAGATCCTGCATATCCTCGCGGGACTACTCCAGCCTCCACATGGGCGAAGCAGCCCGGGCAATCCAGAAGTCCAGTCTCAGATCCTGCGGCATAACGGAGTAATAAGCTTACTCAATTGCTGCGTATACGACGACTACAACCGCTATGCCCGCGAGCGTGTCCAGATCTGTCTGAAATGGCTCATGGACGGCTCGGATGAGGCGAACAAGTACCTGCGCGAACTCATCGCCATGTCACCACCTCCCAGCTTGCGCCCACCCCAACAACAACAGCAACAACAACAGCAGCAGCACGCTCACAACCCCCAACATCCCCATCTCCAACACCCCAGCGACATTCCGCCACCACCACAACAACCACACCAACAACACCAAACCACCTCTCTCCGAATCGACGGCATAGCCGGCGAAGTCAAAGTCCGCCTACGCGCTCCCGGCGAACCCCTCCCTCAAATGCGCGCCCCCAGCACCGCCACCACTACAACCACCACCGCAACTAGCACCAACCCCGCTTCCCGAATCCTCCCACCCCCCCTCGCCGGCAACAGTAACCCCACCATCACCACCAACACCAATAATACCCTCCCCCCACTACGGGGAACAGCAAGCGGCACCGTCAGCAACGCATCAACAGGCGGAACAGGCGCACCGCCACGGAGTCGACCCGAGGAGCTGTTACGTGATATTATCACGTTGGCAGATGAGGCGGCGAGGTTGGCGATGGGGCAGCCGCTGGGAGCAGGGGGAGATGAGACGGAGGAGGAGGAAGGGGAGGATGGGGAGGAGGATTATGGGCAGGGGGGAGAGGGGAGGGGGTATGATGAAGATGATTTTATGTAGGTCTTGACTACTTATTATTTATTATGTGGGAGCAGAGGGAAAGTGGTTGGGGGGGATGTCTGGAGGTGGATTTGGGGGGACGTATAAAACAAAAATAGGAATGTAGTGAATGGGGGAAATGTGATCACTGATGCACAGATGGAGGGTGAAAGAACGGTCTAGAATTTCGGACATTTCGTCAGGTTTGGCTTGGTTATGTACGAAAAGGAAAACGACGGATTGCGTATGCATGGAAAATAGGTGTTTTGTTTGAGTATGATGTGTACTAGCAACAAAATTTAGGAGTAAAGTGACTGTTCCCTAAGACAATGAGAGATGTGATGTGATCTGCTCTGTTTTCTTTCGTACATGGTATGTACAGTATCAAAGCTCTAAGTCACATGGGTCGGATATTTCTAGGTGATCGCACACATTGAATGGAAACTGGAATTTCAACGAGCTCTTTTTTATTTGCTGGAGAGTTTATTACATTTTTAAACCCCTACTTCTCACGAAGCAAAGGTAAGATTCCAAAAGCAAATTGTTCATAAGATCGCTATGCCTGCTGCATCCTGTATCCTTTTTGTACCACCGTTCCCCATATCATCATCATCCCATAACCGCCCGCCCCCACCGCCCCCCTGATTGAGATTATATATGCCAAATTATACATTCTGACTCTGGCCACCCATCCCCGATGCAAATAATAAGCAACTTGAACCACCCGGGCATGCAATGCCGAACCAACCCCTTTTCACCCGCACCACCCACCCACACGCGGGATACTATCACCACCAATCATCCCGTCTCTCATCAATTCCCACCGACACCCGCACCGGCGAGGCCTATTCGCGCGGTGTCCGAGGACCAGCATTACTCAACCCCTCCTGCACAGCGGCCAGGATCAAATCCTTCGCCTTCTCAACACCCTCACGGGAGCCCACCACCTCGATCGCATCCCCCTGGTTCTGGTCGCGCGGCACGGTGATCTTGCACCCGCTCTGCTTGCGGATGGCGTTGACTTTGCTCCCGCCCTGGCCGATTACGAACCGGTAGGTACGCGGGTCAGGGAGGACCAGGTAGCCGGTTGCTGTCTGCTTGGAGGCTTGGTCGAGGGCGGTTTGAATGGCTTTCTTGGCCTTTTCGATGTTTTCGGGCGAACCGCGGAGGACCCAGGGGATGTCGCCATCTTCGGCGTCGGAGGAGGAACCCTGCTCGACGATGTTCCAGGAGTGCACGTCCGCTGCGGTGTCTTCGTCGTCGGTGATTAGAGGCAGAGCACCGCCGTTGGTGGAGCGGGCGTTGCTGGGGGCCGCGGGCCTGGGAGGAACGGCCTGGCCGGCGTGGTCGACGGTGATGCCGAAATCGTTGCGGAATTTGCGGAAGATCCCCCCGTTGTTGGAGACGATGTGGTGCAGAGCGCGGGGCACTTGGACTGTTTCGCCCGGCTGCTCCTTGGTGAACTCCTCAAGATGGGCCTTGGCCTTCTCGACGTCGGCTTGCTGACCGACAATCTTGACGCTCGTCTTTCCGCTGCCTTGACGAGGAACGTCGATCGAGACCTTGAATTGCTCCTCGATACCCCGCTTGGTCTCGCCGCCGCGGCCCACGATGGACCTGTGCTTCTCGACCGGTACCTCCACGGATTCTGTCACCTGACTCTCACGCTCCGCAACGATGGCTTCGATGCGGGCCACAATTTTGTCCACAATCTCGCTACGGCCCTCGACCTTGATCGAATCGCCATCGGCGTCTTGCTTGGGGAACTGGATAGTACGTGCCAGCTCGCGCTGGTCATCGGAGCCGCCAGCCTTAACGACAATGTCGCGAAGAGTAGCACCTGAAAGCAAGATTAGTTTACAGCCCCTAATGACTGTTGGAGGGTGGAAGGGTTAGACAATGCAACTTACCTCCAGCGCCAATAAGGCTCCTGTGGTACTTCCGCGGCACCTCGATCCTCTTGATGACGGTATCATCAAAAATGGCCTTCTTCTCCTCCAAGACCTTCTTAGCCGCAGCGACCTCGGCCTTAGTACCCTTGATCTGGATATCGACCAACTCTTCGGTCGACTCCTTGGCGCTGGGAACGTCAATCTTAGCCCCAGTCGACTGGCGGAGCTGCTCTAGGACAGCACCGCCGGAGCCGATTAGGGAAGGCAGCTGCTTTTTCTGCACCGTCACAGTAGCCGTGAACGACGTATCCTTCAGGTACTGGAGGAGTGATAGCAGCTCGTCGCGAGCCTCGTCTGCGCCCCGCTTAGGACCACGGATGATGACTTCGTCGGCGGCCTGCTGGCGGCGGGGCTTCCCGGCTTCGCTGGCTGAGTCAGCAGACTCGTCGTCCTTGTTGTTCTTATTGTTGTTTCTCGGGAAGAAGATGAGGACCTTGTAGCGGGTCTGCAGCCTGTTGATCTGGGCACCCTGTGCGCCGATGATTTCGCGATGGAATTTGGGGTCGATCTTGACGATATGTGTTGCCTCGTCCTGCAGCTGGCGGGCGAGGGAGTTGATGTGTGTCTTAGCCGCCTCGGCCTTAGCCTTGGGGCCCTTGAGTTGCACCTTGCCGTCGTTGACTGTGATCTCGACGTCGAACTTCTCCCGCAGTTCCCTGATATTGCTGCCGCCCTTGCCGATCAGGTGGTTGGCATACTTTTGCGGGAAGTCGAACTCGGTGATGTGACCGCGTTCGGTCTCGTCCTGCTTTTCTTGTTCGACAAACGCAACGCACTTGGCAACGAGCGAATCCACCACCGAGGTAGGACCACGGATGTGGACGGACTCGCCGGTGTTCGACACCCGGGCGCGAATGCCGTTGGTCGACTGAGCGGCGTCTTGCTCGTTCTTGATGAACTTTTGGAGTCGCGAATGGAACCTATTGGGGAAGAACAAGTTAGAAGACCTGTTCGCCAAGAAATATTGGGTATAAACCAATAGGATAGACACACTTGACAGGCACCTCGATCGTTTTCGACGAGATGGGCTCCCGTTCGCTCAGGAGGCTTTGGATATGGCTTTGGGCGCCTTGGAGTCCCTTCTGGATGTCAGGGAGGTCTTCCCGCTTCGGTGCCTCGCGGGCGACTTGGTACCCATCGGCACCCGACGCGCGCTCGTACACCAGAAGGATAGGGGCGCTGGCTTCGGCAGCCTCGGGAACGACGACGTGGACGCCAAAGGTTTGGCGCACATAGGGCGCTACTTCCTTGCGCACGTACTGGTGATAGAACGGGTCGATGGCAACGGTAGCCACTCGGGTCGGGGGGTGCGCATCTACCAACGACTTGACCTCAGACTGGGCCTTGACGATGGCTGAACCGTCGCGGGCATAGATCTCCCAGGGCAAGGCGCCCTGCTCTGAATACGGGGTGTTGAAGTGCACACCGTGTTGGTTGCCCACGCGCTCCAGCTCGCGCTTCTGCTGGAGATAACGAGTGACGTTGCGCGCGTGAACCGCCGCACCGCCGGGGGCTTGACGGTGGAAGCGCGAGATGTCGATGTTGGAGCACTGCATTCCCATAGCGAGGTCGATGGTTTTCTGTACACCGGCCGCGACTTGAGAGGGCGGCCCAACGATGTAGACGTCGTCCTCGTCCACGTCCTCGGGTAAAACGATAGTGCATCCAGTCTCTTGGAAGAACTGGTCCATGGAGACGCCCCTGTTGCCGATGATAAACTGGTGGCGCCCATGTTGGATTTGGACGATTTCTAGGGTCAGTTGGTTGCGGAGCTCTTGAACTTGCTGATCAATCTTGGTCCGCACGTTCTTGGTGGCGTAGCGGTCGCCGCGCACCTGGATGGCGCTGTCGGCTGCCGAGGAAAAGACGGGGTTACCGGTCTCCTCAGACCGGGCGGGTGGTGCTGATGAGAAAGGGCGGGCGGTCGGTAGCTTAATCGTAACGTGGTGCTCCTCCTCGAGAAGCTTGAGCTTCTCGTTGTCCGGGCCGGCGATGAAAGGGTAGAACTCCGCCGGCACGTCCTTGACGGAGAGGCTGACGGTGCCAGCACGCTCGCCCATGATTTCGTAGATCAGATTGCGGGCATGGGCAGCCTGTTGGGTGTTGCCTTCGATGATGACCTTGATCAGTTCTTCGTCGTCCTCACCCTCGGGCGCGGCTTGGCCATCTTCCCGAGGCACTTGGATACGAGCACCGGTCTTATCCTGGATCTGCTTGATGGTGGCACCACCCCTGCCAATAATGTGCGGCCGTGCCCAGCGGGGGACCTCGAGATCGAGCTTCAGCTTGGCGCCGACGAGGCCGACAAAGTCCTTCAGGGTTTGGGTGGTGGATTCGCCTTTGGGACCGGTGGCTTCGATTCTGAGCATGTTTTCTGCATGGGGAATAACCTTGATCTGAGCACGCGACTTGCGGTTGAAGTCCTTGATAACATCCGCGATCGGACGCTTCAACTGCTCGCGGGGCAGAATGTCGTCAGGGTGCAGAAGCAGATACTCCTTGTGCTGGCCCGGGATTGAGAGGCTCGGAGCGGTTGCGGCTGTCGAAGCGGCCACAGTCTCCGGGGCGGGCGTTGCGGTGCCGGAGCCGGGCGCAGACGCCTCAGGAGTCCGGGCAAGCCAGACAGGGGCCACATTGGCGACAGGCTTGGGGCCGCTGCCCAGTTCCGGGAAGTCGTTCGAAGCGGTGCTGGACGACATTGTAGAGGTACCGTTAGTAGAAACCGAGAGAGAGCGGCAGAGGGAGAGGGTTCGATGAAGTCGAGCTGCGTCGAGGTCTGATCGAGTGGGTGTGGATGCTGGTTGAGTCCAGAATGTTAGAGAATGATAGGAGTCGATTTGTCAAAGAGACACCTTAGGAGTCGAGAGACAAGTGCGGGATTGAGAAGCGCAAAACGGTCAATTGAATGGGGGGAGGGCCGTCGTATTTATAGGAATTGGCACAGAGGTTCGAAAGGGTTGTGCTGATGAGACTTACCTGTTAAAGCTAAGGAGTCGTGAAGGTTCTAGTCAGGCGTTAGGTTCGGGATGACAGGCGGATTTATTAGGTTCGCGGAGTTGCAACGTCGTACGTACTCCAAAAAATGTTGGGGGCGCCCGCACAGCAAGGTCTTGGCACGGCCACTGCCCGTCGGCCACGCCAAGCAACCCCACCAGCTGTAGAGCTTCTCAGCACAGAACAAACCTTAAATCTAGGTGCCATCCATACGTGTCAAATTCAACGATCAAGGGTTCAGCTCCTGTAGCAGAGCAGTAAAACTGAAATTGACGCTTTCCCCATGTGCGTGCAGTGAGTAGAACTTGCTAGTAATGTCTGGAGATATTTCTACACGGCCTATGACTTGTTGACGACTTAGGTACCTATGGAAGGAACTGACAGCCGCACTAATGTTAGGTTTGGACAAATCGCATTGCATGTTTTGAACACTACCTAGATAGTTTTCTGTCAGTTCCAATGCACCTACTATTCACTCAAAGACGTTTTAAATGCGGTTCACAGCAAGCTGCATGTTTATATTTCCGCCGCTATACGCTTCCAAACTCTTTTCCAGACATTTCGGGGACCTAGTTGCGGCTCTTGTGTTGCAGACTCGCATGCATCCCTTTTGTTAGGTCTCCAGGACATGGCAAAAGCGCTCGGAACGAGAAGGCGGATCACGACTACAGCGCTCAGTATCCTCGTTCCGAATCCGACGATGACAATTGATTACCCCATAACAACTTAGGTCTCACCGCATGCCATGTCCTTCTCGACAGAACGACGTCTCACAGTGGCACGTTTTACAGCGTGGGAGAGAATGAGCCGAGAAAACCATACACAAAGCCAGTCGCTTGGGGGTTAGGGTTAACTATTCTCTTCCCTTTTCAACGTGCCAACGACTGTGCGGACCACAAGCAGCAGATCCTGGGTCAAGATCTTCCCCATAGCTATAATAGGGCACACGGCAGACAGAAGATCGACATGTTCAACGTCCAAAGACGACGGCGAGTGCATGTGCTGCATGTGCTTTCCCTAATGGTGTGCCAAGCCACAGAATTTGACCCTCTGTTATCATGGCGGGCGGCGCCTCGCCCCATGACCGACGGCCCGTAAAGTTATCAGTAACCATCTCGATGGTCGACACTCGGTAATCGACTGGGCGGATTGGGAAGATGAAAGATCTGGAAAGGGGGGGTTATGCAAATGACCTCTGTTCTCTTCGGATGGCCAAGAAGGGCCGAGTACAGTGCGTAATTGGGCCAATATGGGGAGTGAGCATGAAGGTGGTGGCAAAGAGGCGGGATCGCAGCTTGCGTTCAATGGCGATGGTGGACAACGGTGTTTCGCCAAACGCTACACAGAATGCCAATCACTTTCTAACGTGTACGCGGGTGTTGATACCCACGGCCTTCGCATTACCAGTTCAAAACAAAACTCTTGGTCAGCCCCAGCACTGACCTTGGTCTGTGGGCGGCAGGTGAGCACTCCCGTCCGCGGGAAGTGGATTTGGGCCGTAGGCCGGCAAAGCGAACATGGCCGCATGTGCATGCAGAGCCGTTGGAAAGGGGGGTTGCGAAGAAAACAGCTCGTTTGCTTTCCTAGTTGTAGTTCCGCTCACTTGGGAACACCGCCATCCGAACCTGGGGTGCGTCATCGCCGTACGGATGTTCTTCCCTGCCTTTGGTCCCTGAATATTCTTCTAAACCTTCAAAGTGAGCAGAAAGCGGCGAGTATGACGCTATCCTCTCGCTTCGCAACCGGGGCATCGCGGCTTCTTCAAAAGTCGAGAGCACCAGGGCAGCGGAAACAAACTTGGCCAGAGCTTTTGCCCCGCTCCCAGGAAGGAGCGGAGAGACGGTCGTCTGCCAATTCGAGAGAGAAACGGAGGGTGGGGTCTAAACTCGCCCAAGATGGGCCAGAGAACGGTTCTTTTCAGCCGAACGTCGATCGCATCGCGGCGCTTGTTGGTATTGAAGGCAACAAAAGTAGGCTTCAAGATTACCTACCGCCTTGCTTTGTGATGAAAGTTCTCTCGATTCTAATGGATTTCGAATTCAGTATATTGTTTATCCATGTCGCCTACCACAGTAGTTACAAGTGCAACAACACCCGCACCGCCGTTCTTCCAGCATCCGTTCGTACCGTTTGAGGTCCGTTTAGACCCCACCAGGACATTTGACCCTGAGGTCGTCCCGCTCGGACGGCGGTTAGCCCCACCAGGCCCTTGGTTCCATCCTGTTTGCCCAGCGAGCCCATCCAGATGCCATGGAAAGCCCATTCCTAACCACGGGCAGAGAGATACATACTGTAACAGGTTGCCTGTGCTTCGTGAGTTTGTTTATCTTTGTTTGCCAACCTTCGGGGGTCAAAGGGGTGGTCCAGAACCGAAGAGAAAAAGTCAAAGGAAGCAACTAGTAATCCTCCCTCGGACCATGGATGTTGCATAACTAATTATCTCTCCCCATGTTCCTTTTCGAAGACAAGCACTGGGATGCTTGCCAGGGGACCCGGGGCAGAGGCCCGGAAGCAGGGCCGGCCCCCTCCACAACGGCCCCCTCGAGCAGTGGTGCGGCGTTGCAAGCTTCACCACTCAAGCATCCGCAGCCAGCGAAATGGACGCCCGGAAGCCACTCAGGCATGGTGGTGTGACAGCGCCTTGCGACAAGGAGAGCGCGCGCTTGTGTGTTGTGTGCATCGTTTCAAACAGGCACTTAGCTCTCAGCATAGTATTCAAGGTCTTTCGTCCTGCTGTTTCGTCGCATTGTTAGTGGGCGTTCGGACTGTGAACCAAACGCTTGGCCGTGTTGGAGACACCTTGAAGCTGTTGCATTTTTGCAGAGGCGGAAGGCGAAAACGCATCCTGCTGGGCCCGTGACGGGAACCACCGTTTCGCAGCCACAGTGCCAGCTTCTAACTGCTGTAAGCCGCACTGTGGTGGTGTGTGGGTGGCTTTCCTTGCTCCTTTTACCCAGCGGCCGTGCAGACGCCAATCATGCTGGGCCCCACTGAATACCACACCCGGAGGCCCAGCATCTTCGACGGGAACGGGCAACTTGGATGGACCAAGCAGAGGACGAGATCAAGAAGGAGGAACGACGAACGGGAGAGGAAACGCAATTTTGCTCACTGCGACCCTCTTCTCGGTGCCTCAATTACCCCGGCACCCATCCAGCAGCTTTGTCTGGTTCCCAGAAATTGTCCACAGTACGTTTTAATTTTTTTTCCTTTGGCATTTTGTCTTAGGTCTCTTACTTTCTTGGTCGTTGAGGGCCGTGAAATGGAGAACGCAGCAGCAACAGCAGGTGGTTCCAGCGCTAGTTCGCAGCAGCAGCAGCGTCGCAGGCTCACTAAGAGGCCGCCACCACCATCTTCTGCACACTATCACCCGCAACTCTCCAACTCGCAGCACTCTCACCATTCCCACCGATACAGCACCAACTCGGACGGCCGTGTTGATGCCCAGTCTCTAGGAAGTGAACGAAGCTCGACCAGCCTACGCCGCGCCCCCAGCGCTCCCCACGGCACCCGCACGCCTACCTCGGCCACATCTGAATTCTCGCCACGCTTCCCCGCCGCACCCTCGCCTGCGTTCTCGTTCACATCATCCCGGTCGCACACCTCGCCCGCTGTGCCCACCACCACCACCCTTGCTGCTCCCGCCAGCACGTCTGCGGCGCTGTCTGCTTCGTCGCACGGGCATTACCGCACCCTGCAGACCCAAGCTGACGCGCAGCAGCAGCGCCAGAAGCAGCACCAGAAGAAGCAGCAGCAACCTCGATCCGTCCCGGCCGACGTGCTCCAGCCCCTCAGCTCCAAGACCTCGGACGAGCTCATTGGCGCCCCCTTTGACGGCACCGCAATCCTCGACCGCATTGCCGCCACCAAGTCTCCGATCCAGGACCACGACCACGACCACAGCGACAGCGGCAGCCAGAGCAGTCGCGGGAGAAACGACGTCAGCAGCAAACCCGGCGATAACTACAGCCACACCAAACCAAACCACACCCGTGTCCCACAGCCCCTCCTTCCATTAGCAACCCGCGCGGACCCCGGGACGCGAACCATGGGACACTCGCCGCCGCCGCTCCGCCAGTCGGCGACTTTCCCGGCCGGCGACCTGCCCATCCTAAGCGAAAAGGGCGGTGCTGCCGCGGCAACCACAGCAGCCAAGGCCGATGGGGCCGGCCTCCACAAGCGCTATTCGGACGAGTCGAGGGAGAGCAAGCTCCCGAGTGTGCTCAGAAAGAAGTCGGGCTTCTCCGGTTTCATGAACAGCCTAGTTGGCTCACCCAAGAAGCCTTTGATTTCAGCACCGGAGAACCCGGTTCACCTTACACACGTCGGATACGACAGCTCGACGGGCCAGTTTACGGTATGGGAAACCCCTTGGAATTGCGAGAGATGATGAATGGAATGCGCCTGCTAACCCTCCAACAGGGGCTGCCTAAAGAATGGCAACGACTCATCAACGAGAGCGGGATTACGGAGAAGGACACCCGCGAACACCCGCAGATCCTCGTCGACGTCTTGACATTCTACAAGGAAACCCAGGAAAGGCCGCAAGAGGACCAGCAGCTGGAGAAGTTTCACGATGCTCGGGCAGCAGATTACCGCGGGCTCGCCACGACCCCACTATCAGCGACGACCCCTTCTCCGAATCTCCTCCAATCGGGCTACGGTGCAATGTCCCCGTTAATCAGCCCCCCTGCGAGCCCGAGATTTCCCAACGTCGCCCACGAAGGCAGTTTCGAGAACCCCCGCGCGCCTCCTCCGGTCCCCAAGGGCTATCTTGGGCCGGGCAAAGACATCAACCTCATGCCGAGCCGCCCCGCACCAAAGCCCCCAACCAGTCTATCGACGAGGACCCAGGGGGCATATCCAACAATGGACTCTGGTATTGGAATGCCACCCCCCGGCGACGATGTTTCACCTTCTTATCTGCCCAAAGATAATGGGCCGATGTTGCCCGAAGAGCACAGGTCACGATCCAACTCGCGAGCAAACGGGACATCGCCCTATATACCCTCCCAGCCTTCCCCCTCAGTCACCTCACCGACCAGCCAGGCGGCGGTTTACCAGCAGCAGCTACTGCAGCAGCAGCAGGAACAGGCTATGGCCCAAGCCCAGGCCGCCATGAGTGGCCAGCTAGGGCGGCAGCCAAGCAAGAGGCAACAGCCGAACCCGCAAGCTGCACAGCACTCGCACCAGCAGCACCCGCAGATGGGTGATCCAAACGGAGGTAATCGGGTACCACAGGGGCAACAACCTAGGCTTGCGCAACCGGGCTCGAGGCCACGGCACCGGCCACGGCAGAGCAACGGTGTTGATGTCGTAGCCGCCCTCAAGAGGATATGCTCCGAAGGCGACCCGAGGGAAGTCTACCGCGGCTTTACCAAGATCGGCCAGGGCGCATCCGGCGGTGTGTACACGGGCCACGAGAGGGGAACCAACCGGTTGGTGGCCATCAAGCAGATGAACCTAGAGCAGCAGCCCAAGAAGGACCTGATTATCAACGAAATCCTGGTCATGAAGGAAAGCTCGCATCCCAACATTGTCAACTTTATCGACAGCTACCTATGCGGGGGCGAATTGTGGGTTGTCATGGAGTTTATGGAAGGTGGCAGTTTGACCGACGTTGTGACTTTCAACATCATGACTGAGGGGCAGATTGCGTCAGTATGCAGAGAAACCCTCCGCGGCCTGCAGCACCTGCACTCCAAGGGCGTCATCCACCGAGACATCAAGTCGGACAATATCCTGCTTAGCATGGAGGGCAACATCAAGCTCAGTATGTCTCATTCTTTTCTCCGTCTCTCTTTTTCCCCTTTTATTTTCCCCTAGTGGTTAAAACCGTTCATCACCTTGCTAACACATCCTTCCTCTCCCACCCCACAGCCGATTTCGGGTTCTGTGCAACGATCAACGAAGCCCAGAACAAGCGTACAACAATGGTCGGCACGCCGTATTGGATGGCCCCAGAGGTGGTTACGCGGAAGGAGTACGGCCGGAAGGTCGACATTTGGTCGCTAGGCATCATGGCCATCGAGATGATCGAGGGCGAACCTCCCTATCTCACCGAGTCACCGCTGCGCGCTCTGTGGCTGATCGCTACTCACGGGACGCCCCAGATTAAAAACGAGCAGGAGCTGTCGCCTGTTTTCCGCGACTTCCTATACTTTGCGCTAAAGGTTGACCCTGAGAAGCGGGCCAGTGCCCATGACTTGTTGAGGGTACGTTTTTCTCCCGGTCTCCCTTCCCTCCTTTTTTTCTTCCTGCTGAGAAAGCATTGCTAATGTTGTGTGTAGCACGAATTCATGAAATCCTGTGTCGACCTCTCCACTCTCTCACCGCTGGTGCGGGCCGCGCGGGAGGCCAGGGCCCAGGAGAAGGCTCGCAAGGGGCAGTAGATAAGGGGATTGACGAACGCTTTCTTCGCAAACACACGCCCAAAGCTCAAACCGCGCCGCCCTTGCATTGCCAACCGCTTGCAGTTTCCTTTTGTATCCATTCAAGTCACACACACCCGGCGAACAAGCATACATACCATATCAACAAAAAGGGGGAAAATTCACCTCATCTATCAAGCTCACTTTATCTCTTAAGTAAAGGGAAAGGAAAGCACCGGCACGATATCAGATCTTTTTTTTTGGCTTTTCATTTTTTCTCTAATTTTTGGGTGGATCATTAAGGGATTTATGGTGGGGTGGACAAGTTATTGTGTTCTGCAAAGGCCATCGCTAAATCAGTTAGTTATCATTTGGCAGCAAACAGTTGCGGATCGTACAGGGCTAGTAGACAGCACGCGTAGTGGATGAATGAATGGCTGTATGGGTGGATGAGCTGTAGAGGGACAATCAAGTCAGATACCTAGCAGACAGGCAAACAAACAAGACATGGCCCGGTAACGGAGGAGGGATGTGGCATTGACACATCACTTTGCGGATTTTCCTTTTCCATTTGCTAGGTACAATTCCCCCCAATTCCATCTAGCGTGGTCTAAGTGCGCCTACCTACTCCTGTTTGTTGGCTGTTTGTTTCGTATTGCCCAACTAGGCACTTGTCTAATTGATAGATTGATGTCGATTGGGGTTTCAAAGGGACATTCAAGATCTTAACTCTTAAAGATACTAGGCCCACAACGCAGGTATACTCCCTCCGCACTGTTTGGGGTTTGTTGCCCTCTTTGGCGGGTTGACCTTAGTGTCAGTAGTTACGGCTTTCTTTGGTTTGAGTGTCACCGTCCTTGACATCTCGGATGGGCTCTTGATTACGTCTTGATGGGGGACTACAGCGGTGGTGAAAAATGGGAGAGAATGTGTGCTTCATAGGGACTCTTTTGCCTTGGCAGGGGCTGTCATATCTTCCTAATTCTTCGGCTTGTGTGCCGTGTTAGGAAGCAAATCGAGATCACAAATACCAGCAAGTTGTGATGTGTCTGTGTCAGGTGCAAACTTGGTTGTTGGGCTGTTCTCTGCATATTTCCTGCCTACATACGGGCACACTCTCTTCATGATGAGTGTTCGTTTCCATACACATGTTGGTGTTGCTCATCCTGTTGATGCTTGGGGGTTTGCTGGACGAGGGAAGATGCAGCTTTACCTTCCATCGAAACGATTACTAGCTTGATAGTCACCAATACACCCAAACTTTAACAAAACAGTTGGCTGGGCAGAACACAAAGAGTTTTTAGAGTTTGTCAGCTTTGTATGTGTATTACCCGGTGACCAAGTAATCATCCCTTAGCAAACCAAAATAACAACCTAGCAATCGTCCGAGAGCGGTGCCAGAGAAGAAAGGAGAGATAAGCTACAGAGCAAGTAGTAAAGATAATACTTCTAAGCAATTAGACAAGCCCCCTTGGATCTTTGTAAGCCAGCCTTCACGAAAATCACGTCCCACACGTACATCTAGGGTCCCACAGCGCCCGCGATAGACAGGTTCTGTAGCCGGCAACCCAGACAGGCTCTGCCAGATGCCTTGAGTAAAGCGGGACAGACGTCGTCGGCTGCTTGGAGCCAAACATTTGACGGGATGGGATGAATGACCGGGGCGGGGAATATCCTCGAGGGTAGAAGCCTTGTGGTTGAAGACCCCCGAGGGTTGGGAAAACCTTAAATTGACCTCACAGAAGATATATAGATAGTCATTCCACCCCGTGAGAAGTTTTTTTGATATTTCCCACAATTTCGGTGTAAACAAACTTCCAGGTTGTTTTTCGTGGAAAGTTCATGGAACTACCTAGTTAATCTGGTGGTAAGGGAGGAAAGAACGAGGGAGGAGGAAGGAGCGAGGCGCGAGACACGTCACGCGATGAAACCAAAAGCTGTCTGTGGCAACCTCTTAACGTCCCTTGATCCTCTAAGTAGGTGTTGATAGAGGACGTTGGAAAACTAAAAAGCCGAGGCAAGAACGCGGTCTACGCAAACGCGAACATGGCGCGTCTTGAGACACGGATGTTCCTGTTCCCATAGCACGATTCAAGTCACCATAGAGGAACGGCGAAAGAGTTTTGTTTGTGAGGATCAATTGCATTACCTCGATTTCATTAGAATCTGCAAAGGCTTTTGTGCCCACCCCCAAGCCTTCGTAAAACCGTTAAATACATTGTTCGATTTCCGAACCTCGCTATACGCCGCCCACTTGTCCCAGATGCCATCCCGGCGATGTAATAATAAAAAGAAATCAAGGAATCATAACCCAGAGCCATTGTAAGAAGTGAAAACTCTCCCGAAGATCATGCAATGTTCAGAGAAAAAGGAAAAGTCATTGGGTCGTGAGCCACACACAGATGTTGCTCGCTGCGAGTGCTGCAAGCCCAAGACCACCCGATTACCCTTCCCGACCACTGTGAAGAAACAACCCATTCCTGATTGTTGGAGGAAGCCCGAAAAATCCGATCCCAATAAGCCGTCTATAGGGGTATCCCGCAGAGCCATTAATTAATGCTAAATCCCAGTGTTATTGTTTCCCGGAAGATCACGACGCGCAAGTCGTGACTTAGTAGAGGGTGTAGCCACCGTCGATGATGACGTTGGCACCCGTCATGAAGCCCGAGGCGTCAGACGCGAGGAACACGCAGAGGCCGTTGAGGTCGTCAACGTTGCCCAGGCGGTCCTGGGGGGTGAGCGACTTCCAGATCTTCTTCTGCGCATCAAGGGCGGGGACCTTGTTCAGTGCGGTGTCCATGTAACCAGGCGAGATGCAGTTGACGCGAATGCCATGCTTGGCCCACTCGGCACCGAGGGACTTGCCGAGCTGGATGACACCAGCCTTGGAGGCGTTGTAGCAGGACTGTTCCTGGGGGTAGTTGACGATGGAACCGGACATGGAAGCAACCAGGATGATAGAACCCGGCTTTCCGGCAGCCATCATGGCGCGGCCCACGCTCTGGGACATGAGAAAAGAGCCCGTCAGGTTGATATCAATCAGGCGCCTGAACATGGCAGAGTCGTAGGTTTCCGCTTTGATGTTGGAGTCGGCGATACCAGCCGAGTTGACAAGAACATCGGGAGGGCCATAGAGGTCGACGACGTTTTGGACGGCCGCGTTGATGGCATTGCCATCGCGGACATCGACCTTGAAGAAGGACACGGGGAGGCCGGTCTTCTGGTGAAGCTCAGCGGCGGACTCATCGCCGAGATCCTGGTTCGCGTCGAAGATGGCGATCGCCTTGGCACCAGCTTCTGCGCAAGCGCGAGCCATGTGGTTTCCAAGACCACGGGCGCCACTGATTAATGGGTTAGCAAATGTGGTTTCGGCGATTGATTGTCTGAGTGCTTGATGGGCAACTTACCCAGTGATGATGATGACCTTCCCATGCACACTCATCTTCTGCATGGTACGGGGAAGCTGGTCGTAGACCTTGTCCTCAAGGGGTGTGACGATCTCCAGCTCCTCCTCGGCAGCGGCGGCCTCAGCAGCCCCGTTCTTAACGGGAATGTTGAAGTGACCAGCCTGGTTGCCGGACGCGACACCCTTGTGGTCGGGCGAGTAGACCGTGACAGGGACCTCGGTCTCCTTAATGACCTCGGACTTCAAGGCACGGCTAGTGACTGAGAAGGCGGCGCGCTGGGCGATGATGGGGCGCATGGCGTTGCGGGCGATAGCCGGGCGGGTGAGAGAACCCATGCGCGGGACCGCGCGAGCAGTGAGACGCACAGCAGCGTTCATTGTGATTAATGTGTGATTGAAGGGGTGAATAAAAGAGGTGATTAAGGACCGCGAGGATCGAGGTTGTGTAGTTTGAGTTGATTTATGAAGGAGAACAAGTCGGGTCGAGAGAGGCTTGGCACGGTTGTTCGTGGGTGGTTGAAGAAAGAAGAATTAAAAGGGAGGAAGGAGGAATTAGAAGTCGGTGACGTTAAACAAAGGTATGGATCGGTCCTTAAGGCGATGAGGCGGAAAGAATTTTCCGTTGTTTCTTAGGAAAGAACGGGGAAAAAAGGAGGCGAGCGTGGGTTTGGCGTGTAAGTGAAGGGTGAGTGAGGAATATCAAGGCACGACGAAGGTACCAGGGCTCCTTAATAGCGACCACAAAACTGCGTGTGAGACGGCAAAAACCTGACAGCGTCGAGAGACCGTCAGGCTCGGAATTTATAGAAGAGGTTCTTCTTTGAAAGTCGAGGAGGCGAGCTGGGACAACGGATGTTCCTGGCGGCTGAGGCAGTCAGGGTACCGGGGATTTTCTCAGGGCACACCGGGAGCGAGGAAACAACGGCGGAGATGGGATGAGGCGAATTGGGGTCGGCGGGTCCAGAAGAGTGGCGGACACGAGTCGAGATCGCTCTTTTTTTGACGCAATGCAATCCTGGGTGTGCCAGATCTGCAGGTATGGGACGGGTATGGATGGGTGGGTTCCTGCACAGACGGCTCGCAAACAAATACCGGTGGATACGACGGTTCTTGATGGGGGTCTATTCGACGGGAATTGGCTCGCGGATGCGTCAAACCAAAAAAAGTCTACCGCCAAAGAAAAGTCAGCACGGGGCCGCTCTCCGAGGTGTGTTTTGAGCTTGGTAAAGGGGGTTTGGAGAGAAGGGAGCTCCATTGCGCAGCTCAGATCCCATTTTTACGGGGAACGGGGTGTCCGAAGTACCCCTCCTCCCGCCCCCCTCGATGCCGTTGAGCTGGAGACTATGGATTTCGGCAGAAACCCCGGCCTCCACCCAACTGCCTTGCTTTTGGCCACCGAATACCAACAAAAGAACCACAGCTTTATCAACGGTTCCACATACCTTGGGAGAGTGGAGGGAATATTGTTGTCAAGAGACAAGTTAGGTGTTTTTTTTGTCTGTAGTGTTGCAACGTGTTTGTTGTCGATAGTTACAATTTTCAGCTATGGGTTTGGGCTGGTTTCCGCCAGATATTTATGTCCTCTTCGGCCCTTGTAGGATCATCCGTTGGACAATCCGCAGTCCAACCATCAGGATACAACGAGCGCGATCAAGAGTGGGCGGTGAAGTGAGTTTGTGGGACCGAGAGATTGAGAGGTGGTCACAAGACCAGCAGTGTTTTCACAGCCCGCAGCCATTGCTGTGTTGCTGTGCTGCAAAGCGTTTGCGGCGTGGGTGGCCGCGTGGGAACGCGCCGATGAATTCCCTTTTAAGTACCCAGGTACACATCTAAGATAGTTATTGTCCAAACAGGCAAGTCTCAGATCTCCCGTTTTTCCAACCCCCCGGTGCTTTAGCAATTTGGGGCAATTGTGCTTAACTTGACTGGGGAAGTGGAGCGGGGAAATTTGGCAGGGCTGGCCGATCAATCTGATCAATCTTCGCTAAAAAGAAAAGAGAAGAATCTCATCTCACACATCCTCCGGGGACAGTCGAGAGGCAGACACTTCGCGTGCGCAATTGGCCTTGACTGAGTGGTTGATCAGCAATGGGCGCTGCCGGATCCCTGACCCGATCCTGTGTCGGGCCGTGTTGTGTGGGTTTCACCTTGCCCTCGTCCCCAGAGGCGAGATAACAACTGGAGAGCCAGTCCAATTTTTTCGTCAATCTCGTACCTAACCACCTCATCAACATGTTCCTCGTAGTGTTGTGGCGGGGGGGAAGCTTGTTGTTGCCATTGACCTGACTGTAGCGATGCCAAGACTTCCAGGTTAGCGCGGGCTTCTTGTCAGCGAGTCCCACTTGGCCAAACTCGAGAGTTACACACCCCGCAGCTGCATGGGGTTGCAATGCAGAAGCCACACGAAAAACGGCTTGGCGCGAAGACGTTTACACCGCGCGTGGGGGGCAAAGATGCAATTTGGCAATTGACAACTTGTCATCGACTTTTCGTTCCCCATCTTTCACCGGCGGTGTACTTTCTCCCGTACCCAGAAACAATGACCAACGGAAACCTTCTCCCATCCGTCTGGTCCGTCTGGTCCGCCATCTTTTTACTCGTGGTAACTCTCCGCCGCAGGCGGTGAGCGGCGGCTGGGAGTTACAAGTAGTGTAGTCGCTCTGAGCCGGACAGATCCCCTGCATTGTAATGTTTTTGGGACGCGCTTTCTGCGCTTGCATTAGGCAATATCAGGTACTGTAGCGTTCCGAAGACTGTCGTGTCTGGGCGTCCACCTAGAAACAGCTCGTCGCGCACCAAGATTGTGATCTGGAGGTGATGAAAAGGGAAAGTAGCTTGGCCGGGTGGAGGAGTTGTCTCTCTCTCCGAGGATAGGGTGGGGTTGTAGTTAGACAATCGCATGAAATCCAATCACCCAATTGACTAAAACCACCAAAATTGCTCCGAGCAGTGTTTTGGTGCTGTCAGAGCATAATGCGCGATAACGTTGACGTTGAATGGTTTGTAAAGTTCCTCACTTGAAGGGCAAGAGAATCTGATACCAGCCATGCGGAGACAGGGGGTCAAAGATTAATTGCGGTACGTACCAAGTACCGAAGTACCTGACCCTGCAGGTCAAGAAAAATCTGAAGGTCATGTGGCCACCCCGACTGCGTTGCTCGCCTGGGTTCCGAATCCCGACCGCTCTTGACTCGGAGATCAGGGGCAGTGCCAGGGAGCTCTGGAACAGTCCCCAGAAATCTAAGACCGGGGTGGCAAGCTTCGGCCGCGGGACTTGCCCCGGGAACATGGGGGAATGCCTGCAGCTGCAGCTGTGCAGCTTCGAACTGCAACCCAACAGATGGTTCGTCCACGGCTCCGTGTCGCTGGAACGAAACTTTGAGCCCTGGCAACCTGGCCACTCGCTCGCTCGAAACGTCTACCGATCGCGACTTTGTACACTACTATGTACACTCCATATGTCTGCCGGACATCGGAGGAGCTGCCCAGCAACAACAACACCACCAAACCCCCTTTCTTAGAGCACGGGGAAGATGCCCCTCGCGGAAAGGGCAAGGTGCACAGATAGCAGCGGCGTCCCTTCCGCGCTGTCGTGCTTGTCTAACCTGGCAAGCCTGGTCCCTTCGTCACCTTGTTCAGACTCCTCGAATCCCAATTCCCGCAAACCACGCACCCCCACCTCCTTCCCACCCTTTTGATATCTCCCAATAGTCAGATGACCCGTCGAAACCAAAGGGGGGAAAAGAGAGAGAGAACAGATCCATCTGGCTCCGCCGTTGTTGTATTTTTTTTCATGAGCTGTTTATCAGGGCCCCATGTTGAGGTCATCAGTGGGCCGACTTTGCTATCTGAGTCGTCTGGAAAAGCTGTCTTGACGGAGATCCCGAACGATCTCCTCCATCGACAGACTCTGTACCCACAAGAAAAGAGCCTCACCATCAACACAAGGCTCCATCAGGGTTTCCATTCCAAGTTTCCGAAACTTCTTTGATTTTCGCTCCCGTGTGTGGGCTGGAACGCGACAGCGTTGTCCCTGCCATGCTTCCAGAACGCTTGCCCCACTCACGCAATTCGGCTGCCGTCCCGTTCTGCATCGGTGGACTGCAGGTGTTCGGAGCCACAGCATTTTAACCCTTGCTGATGAGCTGGACTCCAAGACACCTCTGATGGGAGAGAGCAAAGTGAGAGGAAATTGGGGGGTTTGGCGTCTCCCTCCTCGATTCAGCACCTCTCATCTTCACTCTTCTCTTCACCACTATCTTCCAATCCTTACGACGATGGAAGACTTGACCATCCAGATCGACCGAGGCCTGACGATCGATCTCTCTCGGCCCTTCCCCCTTGCAGCAGCAAAAGTGAGCGCCAAGGCACGGCCCACGATGGCAGGGCGAGACCGCGTGCCCGTCCGCCACACCTTGTTTCCGACCCGCCGGTAACACCAATCGTGACGCCCTGTCCCCCAGATCTCACGATGGCTTCACACCTGGAACACTGTCGACTTTTCCGTATTTTTGCCACACCGAGGAGCAGGGGACAGGAGGGCTATCGAGTGTCCACTCTGGCGTCTACATGCTCTCTACTCCCTCCTTTCTCTCCACATCCCTGATATTGCCTTCCACACACGAAGAAAAGGGATAGAAAGCCCAGGCCACAACGCCTGTGCTTGTATCTCGTAAGTACCTTCCAGCCTGCAGCCCTATCGGTAAGCTTAGTTTGACCTGCTTGGTAAGGCGCCACAAAGTGCAACATCCACTTCCCCCATCATTTCACGATGCCTCGCTTCGGTTCCCTTCCCGCTTCCCACCACGCGGCCCCGGGAGCCGCGGGACCTAGGGACGGCTGGTCCCGTGAGTCGCAAGGAGACAGAGCCAAGCGAAGCGAAGGGAACTAGTCGTTGTTTTGACGCTACGTTGGATTCGTCGTGGTCGGCTGACCACATCGTTTCTTTGCTCTGGCTGGGCCCGGGTCAGTCCTTCTTGGACCGATAGCCCCGGTATCGATCGTACGTCACCGTACGAGTATGTATGTAGGTGGTATTTTTTAGACGACAGCCGGCGGAACATGTCGGAGTTGATAAGGGCTTGGTAAGTCTCGTGACGCGTAAATTTTGGCCGAGTTCTTGTTTGTTTGCGTCGTGCATGTCGTGGTGTTGTGGAGTATCGCCCTGGTATACAAGACCAAACATGTCCTACTGTTCTCCGTGATCCCTAGCACACGACATTGCACTCATGCCTGCTCCATCGTTGCGTGCACATGACGTAAACGCCTCCGTGGGAATACCATATTTGATAGCTTCGACGACAGCAACCATGTTTACGACGACTTAGGAGGCGAATTCATCCCTGAGAACCTAACTGGCGATCAAAAACCCCGTTCCACGCCAGACCAAGGAAATAACTCCATACAACTCCCCTTTCCTAACGCCACATCAAATCTTAGTAGTCTAACTGCCCCGACGCTCAGGGTTGTGGAGATCGATCCGCCACCCGACATCTTTGCCTCTTACCCCTGCTGGCAAACCAGACACAAGCACAGGACGCCGCAAGGCTGACACACAAAGCGAGAGCGACAACGGACTGACTGCATAGGAAAACACTAGGTGGGACACGGCGGTGGATTTCAAAGTTTATTCATCCAGATAACCTGGAAATACACAACCTAAACAGGGCATCACATCCATGATACCCTTGGATTTTAGTGACAAACATACATTACATAGGTACTCCGGATTCGCGCCACAGGGCTGACTCGATGTCGACCGACAACCCACCCCATTTGACCTCCCATTCCTAACCTCCGAAAAACCCAGAGCCCAGAGCTTTGGAAAAAGACAACGCAACCCATCCCATCCCAAACAAGACTACCCGCAAGAACAAACAATCATGGAACGGAGTCCCTTCTCTCCTGGCGCTCCTTTCATCCTTTTGTCGTGTAACCCCACATATCTACACACTCGAGTTGAACCCCTCCCTCTCCCTATCCAGCAACTGGAATAGGCTCGTCACATACGGCGCCAGCAGCCTGTTCTCCGTAAACACCTCCCATAGCCGCGGCATAACGGGCCGGAACAGCCTCTCATTCCAGCCGCCTGTCTCCATTGTCACGGTGTTGGAAATATCGGATTCGGCTGCAATCGCAGGGCCCTCTGATGCGCTTCCACTTCCGCTTCCGCTTCCGCTCGCCTTCTGACCCCGCAACTTCTCCTCTGCTGCCGTTTTGACCACATTTCGCGCGATATTCCTCAGGATCAATGCCGCCGACAACGGGATTCCAGCCGCCTGGGGGGGCGCCTGCGGGTTGCGCTCGTCGCGTGCTGACGCCGTCTCCTCGTACATCAGCGAAATCGTCTTGGCCGGGCGGACGACGCGCGTGTTGCTGTTCAAAACCGGAGCCGCGGTGTTGGAAGAGACGGAGCCGGAGCGTTGTTTGGAAGGAGAAGTAGTGGCGCCGGTCGTGGGGTCGGCGGATGGGTGTGCCGGAGCGGAGGCGGAGACTTCGGTGGCGCGGCGGGCTTCCTCAGCCGTGAGATGCGATTTGACATGGGCCATGAACTGCGCGAGGTAGAGGGTCGTCGGTTGGGTGTACTTGGAGCAACCATCCCAGGCACAGACGAAGGCGGCTTCGCGGTTCTGGAACTTGCTTCCCTCACCAGGAGCCTCTTTGAGGTGGTCCGTGAGGATATGCAGCCACATCTTCTCGGCTGTGGTGTTCCACATGCCACACCCGATGTGCTGGCTTGGAGCGCCGCGCCACTGGCATTGGAAGTAGCCGCGACCGTCCGTGTCGATGGGGAACGCCCTGGGACGGATGCCCCGCATAATGAACTTCTGCGATTCCCCATTGGCTTCCCTAATGACCTGGGCCCCGGCGTTCTGATGGACAGTGCTTATGTGACGAATGAACTCCGGCGCGTTAATCATGGGTCGGCCCATCCGCTTGAGGGACTCGAGGAAGGATGCATTGTACGCTTGCCAGATGGCGATCTGGGTGATCTGAGCCTCGGGGTCTTCCTCAAAGAAGCACCGAAGCCAGGCAAAGCATCGCTCAGGTTCTTCCATCGCAAGAAGCCGATCGTGTAGATCTCTAGGGATAGGGACGACCCTTTCCGAGGCTGGCTCATACACAAGACGAGCGTCGCTAACAACCAGCTCCCGCTGCACGCGCTTGGCTCCGTGAGATAGTAGGCGGACGAGATGAATGACGAGATGCTCAACGTCAGTACCTTCCAACATGACGTCGAGGTTCGAAACAATGGCCGTGTACTGGTAGAGGAAATCCAAACAGGCATCCACGAGCTCGTCGTCATTGAGCATCAGCCAGTCCAAGAGGGAGCGGAGTGTCTTTGCGGGGACTCCGCCTAGCTTGTTCGTTTCGGTCGGGTGATTCATGGCAATGCGGCTGATTGCACGCAGGGCCGTAAGGATGATACCGCGGTCTGATGACTGCAGCTGTAGAAGGAGGGTTTGGTACAGCGGGTCATCGGAGTCCAAAACCAAGTATGGGGTGATTTGCTCGGCAATATCGAGAGCCGAGTGTTTCAGCTCGACGACAATGTCAAGCTGCGGGAGGTGAAGAAGGATGCAGAGCAGGTCCTTGACAGGCGGGTAGTCGGCAATGTACCACGCGTTTTCGGTCAACATGACCATGTTCCTTATCGTCAGAACGGCTTCAGTGATCAACGTCAACTGGTCCGTAAACTCAGCCGGTTGGAAGTTGTCGTGAACGTCCTTGGGCTTGAGTTGGGCGATTCTGTCGAGAATGTCGGCGGTGCCATTAATGCCGTCGAGCTCACCAATGCCGCCCTCCTCATATTCTGGATCATTCGAGATCACCCAGTCCACTTCGTAAAACAGATTCCCAACACTAAGTGCGAACTCAGTCAAACCCTCAGCAAGGCCACTGAATTGCGAGAACTTGTACTTGTCGCCACGCTCGAAGGATATCTTGACCAAATGATTCAAACCAAACGCTTGCTCCGCCTGGATACCGGAACGTAGAGACAGAAGGCAACGCTCGTAAATGTTAGGGCCGTCAAGCGTCCCTATATTGTGTTAGTTAAAGCAATGGGACCAGGACTCGCAACATGCCACCGATGAGCTTACCAGGAGGAAGAGATGCGCGGACAAGCGCCGCAGCGTTGTGAGTAGGTGCGGCAGGTTGATGGAGCAGCCGTTGCTTCTTGGCGAACAAATCTGGATTGCTCGACGGGGTGTCGACAACACGGAGGGGCAGCTGCTGTGGAGGCTGCGGCTGATAGCTCTGAACAAGGGGGTTCGTCATGTCGGGCCCGGGTGGATTATAGCCCAGCGCGGGAGCCCCACGATTGGATTGTTGGTGGCTTTGATGCATTGCGATCGGTGTACCGCTCTGTGATTGTGGGTTTTGTTGCGATTGTGACGGAGTTTGCGCTGCGGATCCGGACGCCCCAGATTGTTGGCCTGAAGCGTGGCGGGTCGGTCGCGATGAGCTAGTGTCGGGGTGAAAGATGACTCGTGGGGCAGGAGCTTCGCGGAGCCCACGAGAAGCTCGGGCAGAAGTGGGAGTTTCTTCGGGGCGTCGCTCTCTACTCGGAGTCCCATCTTCATTCGAGCCCTCACGATCGGCTTTCGCTCTGGCGTGGAAGGTTTCGAGAGTACGAGTAAGCAGGGAGCCTCCCTTGGCTGTGGTAAACTCGAGAATTTCCGGCGGGGGAGGTTCCTTGTTGTGCACTGTCTTGATCTCGTAGGCGGCAAGATTTTTGTAGAAGATTTGTTTCAAAGTATAGGCATCGGCAGGAGCATTATGCCGCATCAACCCCAAACCCTCGCACATCTTCCGCCACATGAGTTTCTCGTCAGACACCTTGTCGTAACCGCCGTGCTCCACAATGTAATTGAAGAGCTTTAACAAGTCGACCGTGAAGTTTCCCATTTTTGGCTCGGGATCCAAAGTAGTGCCACGCTTCTCATGGAAGTCGCGCAGTTCCTCGATGAACTTCTCATATTCTGGCGTACGGTCGATCGTGTGCTCGACAGTCGGTTTGGGTGGTGCCATTTTGGCGCACTGGGCGCGGCGCAGCGATGCCGGATCAATTTGTGAAATATCGGACGCTTCAATATCTTGTAGAACGTGTAACGGGCTGGTATTTCGGCGGCGGCTGGCACGCAACAAGACGCGCCGTGATGGAGCGGGTCGTAGGTCGTCGCGATTTGCGGATCTGGGCGATGCGACGCGGTGCTGCGATTGGCATTCGCGGGAAGTTTTGAGTTGAAGGAACTGATCCACTGCTGGTCGAGGTGGGGCTTCCCTGGCTTCACGCACGGACCATTTGCAACCGCAGTGCACCAGGACCCCCCACCCCACTGTTGACATGCTTCATCAACTTAAATCATTCACAAGAACTCACATTTTCGATCGCTTTTAACCATTTAATTGTTTAGGATTGCAGCTACATCCATAGCTCGACTACCCTAACAGATTCAATAAAATTTTCACATTCCCTCTGCCTGTGTGGGAACATGGATGACTTGCAGAGTTCGGGAGAGTTCGGGATTCCAACTGGACTTTTGCGCAGCATATTCAAGCCAATTTAACTCAAGTTAGGTGCTCAAATATTACATGACGGCGGTGTTTAGGTGTATTCCGGGTACATATAGCCAATGTTCTACACTTCGGGTAATGGTGGCCCTGCCGAGAGTTCCTTCCCAGAAGCCCACCTAGAAGTCCACTGGGAAGCACTTGCACCTTCCTTACATGCGCAGAGATTTCTTCCTACCTGCCTGGATATCTACCTAGTAGGTGCTCTGGAGACCTGGTTTTATATCTTACCCCGATGTCATACTATTCTCGAAGAACCCCAAATGGCGACGTCACGGAAAGCGCCAGTGACCCGGCGACCGATACTACGGTTCGATTTGGATAGCGTTAGCATTGACGGTAGACCGAATGCCTACAAGAAACCACAGCTAGTCATCAAACCACAGCTGGAGTTGGCCCCTCGAAAACCATACACTGGGTCCCGTCCACGGGCGCCAATTTGGCGGCATTTTTTGATGGTGCATGTGAGGGACAAAGCAGATGAATTGGTACGTTGCCGAAGGGTCGAGTCATTGGATTCTCAGATCGTGTATTAACAATAGCGAGTAGGTGAAACTAGACCTAGACACTTTCAAGCCACTCCCATCAAACAATACTAGCAGCAGCTCTCACTCCGTTATATGCTTGTCGTCAAGGTGCATACTTTTGTTTCAATATCCTGGTGGGCGGCGAGACGTAAGTGTCGAATGCCGGTATCTCAACGTCCGAGTTGAACTTCAGCTCATTAGACCTTTCCAGGACTTGTCTAGCCTCACTCTGACATTGCAGAACGCTGGCGATGTGGAGACCGTTGTACGGGAACTCAACACTCTGGGAGTCCAGGTGGAGCAGGAGCAGCCCCCTGATAGTCAGAGCATTCTTTCCCACGCGAGATTCTCTGCCCCGGAGAGCCAACCGCCTACGCCCGATTATGGATCGTACACCCCCTCGTTGGCTCTAAATACTAACTCGCAAGGCCGGTCATCGATATATCAGGAGAACCGCACTTATGGGTCACTTCTACAACGCCCACCAAGCCAACCGAACGGGCCATCAGCACATTTGCCAGCGGGACCAAGGCCCTGGTCCCCAGCTTTCGTACCATCTCGTCCGGCTACGGCGCTCGGTGTGCCCGGGGTTCTAGGCGAGGGTATCTACAAAGTCAGCAAAGTTGGTTCCCGCACATCAAGCCGACTGGGGATGCGGCGAAACACACAATCAGTTGAACAGCATGAACCCAAATCATACACGGTCTCGAGGCACTTCGATAAAACACTAAACAGAGCTGATACTGCACTTACGGCAAGGGGACGGCATTTAAGGAGGGGTTTATCTTTCACCTCCGATGTTGAGCCGACGTTGTCTTCCGCTGCGCCATCAGGTTTAAGAGTCCCTGAAAACGAGGGGTGGTCCATGCCCAGACAGATAGAACAGCCCAGGCAGCCTATGAATAGCATATCTAGTACCTTGGGGGGGATGTCATTCGATACTGGACGGCAATCAGGACTTCGACGACTCCGAACCATTGACGGTGGTCTAGGCTCCGGTCTACCTCCAGACTTCAGCAGCCAAGAGCAGCACTCTTTATTATCGAGGGTTCCCGAAAGGGGGACGCATGGGTTTTCTCAACCCCTACCGGAATCAGACACATTTCTCTTCAGCTCGAGTCCCACATTGCTAGGTCGCCCAGGGAGAGGCGAGTTGGGACTTGAAGAACTGTTGTTAGTGTCACAAATCCAACACCAAGGGTTATGTGAAGCGAGTAAAATATGGGCTGACTTTATGGATATGGTGGGTGAGGAGCTGGCGCCAGTTGAAACAATGGAGGACTTCTTGGGGGTACTTTCAAAATTCGAAGATGAATTTGGACGACATTGGGATGATATTGTGGTCGCTACCACGCAGAGAATGGGGGAGATTTACGGTGGAAGTCGCTAAAGTTGAGTCGCCTTACTTGCTACAAGCATATTGCAGGCAGCCCCGCATGTTCGCAATACTTGGGGAGTTTGAAGCCAGAATAAATCCATCATCTAAACCTGACCCATCCGGTCCGTCTTCCACCTGGGCAAACCACGCTATCGGTCAAGCTTCCCCGGTCTCCTAATAGAACACCAAGATTAAGCGTTGTAGCTTATACTTTCGTTTACCGCCCAACACAACCTTGGCTATCCCCCTTTCATCCTCAAATCATCCTTCTAAGCCTTGCCCGCATCATCTGGCTTGTCAGCCACCCCCTTCCCGTCCTCGCCCTCCTTCTGGCCCTCCTTGAACGTCAACGAAACACTGTTCACACAATGCCTCTCATTAGTTGGCGTAGGGAACCCTTCCCCCTTGAACACATGGCCCAGATGCCCGCCACAGTTAGCGCACACAATTTCGGTGCGGAGCATCCCCAGCGTGCGATCCTCGTGGCGAACCACCGCGCCCGGGATGCTGTCGAAATAGGCCGGCCACCCGCAGCCGGACGAGAATTTCTGCTGGGCCGTGTACAGCGGCGTGCCGCACCCTGCGCATGCGTAGGTGCCGGCGGAGGGGTAGTGCTTGTCGTATGCGCCTGTGGTGGGTGCTTCTGTGCCTTTTTCACGGAGGATGCGGAATTGTTCTGGTGGTGAAAGTTAGCTTGGATTGTATGGGTTTAGGATAAAGTATGTCTCTGAAGCTTACCAGGGCTGAGAACGGCGCGCCACTCCTCCGGAGTGCGCTCATCGGGATATGATGTCATGTTGTTTTTGGCGTTGGCGGAAGTTGAAGACCCGAAGAGCGCACTGAAGAAGGGGATAACCATGGATTTGAGAGGCGGGTTGTGAGGCGAAGGTCGAGGTGTTGCCCAGAATGTAGACGGTCTTAGTCTAGTGGGTTTAGAGAAGTTGAAAAGGAGGCGAAAAAAGCGTGAGCGCATAAGGGCGATGGAAGTGGGTGAGGGGTTGCGATGTGCGGAGAAAACGCGGACTATTTATGTTCTAAAGAATTCCCCGAAGACGTGTAAGTCAACGTAGAGAAAGGGTGCACTAAATGGTGGCATTGAAGTTGACAAATCACAGTCTGTTGCACCGGCGGTGAGGCGGACTAGGGGCGACGGTTAGGGTTTGGAATCAATGTCCATGACTGCAGCGGGACTGCTGAATGGTGGTGGCGGAGCTGGAAGGTTGATGACATGAAAGCCACAGCGCCTTGATAACGTTATAGGCACTTCCTACCTGAGTTAATAACTTTAAATTGTTAGCGGGCAGCTTTGGGACTAGGGCCTCGACCAGAATCTTTAACTTTGTTAAACAACAACACAATTAAACGTGTAAAAGTTGCTGGGGAGGAGTTCGTAGAGGAGGCTTAATTCCTATTTTCCGGTACTATAAATGAGTCGGACTTTCAGTGATTTATCGAATGGATGCTGTCGTAATTAAAGAGTTAAAGACACCATGATGACCGGGACCATTAATTATCAAAGAACGAACCACCTGCAAACATGGATCTAACTCTCCCTAGTTATAAATTGTACGGTATAATTACAGTGTCATGACCCAACGGACCGCGCCCAGACATCAGTCTGCTGCACGTCCATTTACTCTCCCGGCTTTAACTATTTCTGCCGTGCCTTTTTCACCTTCGCCCTCCAACCCATTTCCCCCACGCTCTACGACCGGGAGTAACGCTCATTTCGTCAAGTTAGATGCCGTGCCGTGCAAGTCGCCCTTGCGCTGCGTGTGTGGTGCGTTGTCGACGGTTTGATGCCGAGCCGATCTATTCTACTTACTGCCCGCCAGCGGTGTCGTTTTAGCCATCCACCGCGTGCCTTCAATTACAATTCTTAAATTGACTCTACATAGTAGGGTGGACCCCAATTCCGACCTCGCGTCTCACGGCATCTGACCTCATCCACCCGTTTGCTTTGCTTGACTATACCAAGGCGACATGGACGAAGAGGAGCCGCGATCGGTCTCAGTCGACCGCGAGCAAGACCCCCTTTCCGTGAAGCGCGTCGCTTCCGATGAACCAAGTAGCAGCAGCGCCTCTGAGAGCAAAAGGATCAAGGTTTCTCACAACGGGCCGGCAAAACCGGACCTTCAATCTCAGCCCGTCCTCGAGAGGGTCCCATTCCCAGAGAAGGTATGTTTGGACCTTGGAATGCTAGGGCGCTTTCTAACTGTTATGAAGCCTGCCGTTTTGGAAGAAAGGAACGGCGAGATCCAATTTCGAGTTGTCAACAACGATGGCGAGAGACATAGCATGATAATCCTTACGGGGCTTAAATGTCTGTTTCAAAAGCAACTCCCGAAAATGCCGAAGGATTACATCGCACGGCTGGTCTACGACCGCACTCATTTGTCTATAGCCATCGTCAAAACACCACTGGAGGTCATTGGCGGAATCACATACCGAGAGTTCCGGGACCGCAAGTTTGCCGAAATCGTTTTTTGTGCCGTCTCATCTGATCAGCAAGTCAGAGGGTACGGAGCGCATCTGATGGCCCATTTGAAGGATTACGTCAAAGCCACCGGCCCGGTGATGCACTTTCTCACCTATGCCGACAACTATGCGACTGGATACTTCCAGAAGCAGGGCTTTTCCAAGGAAGTAAACCTCGACAAGTCTCTCTGGATGGGCTACATCAAAGACTATGAAGGAGGGACGCTGATGCAATGCTCCATGCTTCCTCGGATCCGGTATCTCGAGGCTGGTCGGATGCTTCTTAAGCAAAAGGAAACTGTGCTCGCCAAGATACGCAACCTCAGCAAGAGCCATATCATCCATCCACCCCCTCCACAATGGGCCAACGGTACGATCACTGTCATAGATCCGCTCTCCATCCCTGCTATCCGGGCAACAGGTTGGTCTCCGGATATGGATGCGTTAGCACGGGCGCCGCGCCGTGGACCTCACTTCAACGAACTCCGGCGTTTTCTGTACGAAATCCAGAACCACAAACAGGCATGGCCTTTCCTCAATCCTGTCAACAAAGAGGAGGTCCCGGAATACTACGACACCATTACTTCGCCAATGGATTTGTCAACGATGGAGGAGAAGTTGGAGCGCGATCTCTATCCTACCCCGGGAGATTTAGTCGCTGACATGAAGCTGATTTTCAACAACTGCCGTCAATATAATGAGGCATCAACGGTATACTTTAAGTGTGCGAACAAGCTGGAGAAGCACATGTGGACTCTAATTAAGGAAGTGCCTGAGTGGTATGACTTGCTTGAAGAATGACATGGAGCAGCCCATATGAAGGGAGGTCAAGTGACTTCTGGATTTTCTGCCTTTTGCCCTTGATTTTTTTTTCTTTTTCTTCCCCTTTTTCCTTTCCTTTTTTTCTTTGTTTTTGGTGTTGGAGCATTTGGCAGTGGTTCCCCACACAAATCGAAGTGCATTTTGTGTACCAGGATCTTAAGAGCGTATTAGAACTATCTTAGGACGATCGAACGAGTACGGTAAACTTGAGAAATAATTGGAAAGAGGAAAGGGGCTGTTCCCGTCTACCTATTTCCTATTTATGTTGAGGGGCTTTCGGTCCCGCGGCAACGCGGGTCTTGATTTGAACGGTATCATGAGAACCTGGAAGAGCAGGGTTGTTTGAAGTCGGTTAGAACTTCCGAATAGGTACCCACCTGTGAGACCTAGAAAGTCAAGACAAAAACCCTTTCAGTGCCGTTAAGGAGCTGGCCTTGCTTCCAGGCAGGTTCCATAGATGTCAAGACATTCTATCGGGGTTATGCATTCATGAAGTTCCGCCCCCAAACCAGTTTCCGTTCGTTGCCTTCGATGGTGCCCCACAGCACCTTTTCGCCGCGTTACATGTCCCCCACCTTTATCGGGAAACCCGACCGTCGTGTGCCAACTGTCTTGAACTCTTAGCAATTTCCTCGACGGATGTTCGCCTAGCGTCTTCACCCATCTGGAACACGCGCGCAACGCCACTGACGATATCACATTTCGCCTACCATGTCCCGACGACCACCGAACCCCGCTGCTGAGCGGGCGGCACAGAATCAACAGACGATCAAGAACCTCCTGAAATTAGAGCCTAACAAGGTGTGCGCCGACTGCAAGCGCAACAAGCGTACGTTTTTCACCGCCACCAACCCCCTTTCAATAGTGAATACTAACGTTGCGGTTGTCAGACCCGCGATGGGCGAGTTGGAACCTAGGCGTCTTTGTCTGCATTCGCTGTTCAGGCATCCACCGTGGAATGGGTACCCATATCAGCCGAGTCAAGTCTGTTGACCTCGATGCCTGGACCGACGAGCAATTACAGAGCATCCTCAACTGGGGCAACGCGCGGGCGAACAAATACTGGGAAGCAAAATTGGCCGCCAACCACGTACCGTCTGAAGCCAAAATCGAGAACTTTATTCGCACGAAGTACGAGCTAAAAAGATGGGTTATGGAAGGGCCGATGCCGGATCCTGCAACACTCGATGCAGACGGCGACGATGACGTACCGTTGAGCGTTGTTAAGGAGAAGCAAAACGTGGAACGTCGGGAGTCGGTTCGCAAGGCATCGGTCGGCCGGTCGGCAGCCCCCCAAGCAGATTTGATCGGAGGAGACCCGGTTGCGGCCCCAGCACCGGCACCGCTAAGGGCCAGCAATACGGGGCCGACGGCTATGCAGGTACCCGCCAAGTCCGGGCCTGCTCCGCCCAAGTCAACAAGTACAAAAGACTCGCTTCTGGGACTTGATTTTATGGGGGCCCCAGCCGCTGCGCCGCCGCGTCCGGCGAGCACCACCGGCACGCCCAGCAGCGGCCAGTCACGCCCTGATCTGAAGCAGTCTATCCTTTCTCTCTATGCGACCGCTCCCCGACCGCAACCCCAGCCTGCAGCGCAGCATACCTCCCATGGCTCTTCGGGATCTCTTAGTGGTCTCTCTTCTCCTACCGGCATGAGTCAGGTGCAGAGCTCAGGGGCTGGGCTCAACGACGCATTCAGCAACCTGAGCTTTGGTAATGCGCCATCCCCCAAGCCGGCTCCGGTTGATGTGTTTTCCAGTCTTGGCTCCTTCGGATCACCGCGCCCAACACAGCAGTCAAGCAATAATGCATTTTCGGGTCTCAGCGGTGGCGGTTTCTTCGACTCCAAGCCCGCGCCCCCCAAGCAGTCCAGCGGTGGTTCCTCTGGCTGGGGGTCAAGCGCTTCCCCTCCTGCCTCTGCTAAACCCGCAGCCGCGCCCCCTTCCTCTGCTCTAGGTGACCTTTTCGATTTCTCAACGACGTCCCCGCCGGCCCCAGCCCCCCAACCCGCCCTCGCCTCCACGACGAACACAACCTCACCCTCCGTCTTCAACCTCACAGCAAGCCAGTCCAAGGCCAGCTCCCCTCCCACCGCAACCACCGGTGCTTCCGGCCCACTCGGCGGCGGTAGCAGCTGGGGCGGTGCCGACGTTTGGGGTGGCAACGCGTGGGCGACACCCAGCGCCGAAGCACCCAAACCAGTGCTCGAGACGCCAAAGCCGGCGGCACCGTCCGGCGGTGATATGGGCTGGGCGGCTCTTGCGAACCAGCCTATCGTGCCCGGCGCGTCGGGCGGGTTTGCCCCGCAGGTGGCGGCGGACGAGGAGTTTGGCGGGTGGACTAGTAGCACGACGCCGGCGGGGAATAAGAGCGGTGGTAACAACGCGTCGAAGCCCGGGGGTGGGTTTGGAGGGGGTGATGATTTGTTTTCGAATGTGTGGCAGTGAGCGGGTGCTATTATGATCTGGGCGGGATAGTTTACGAGGGCGGCGCATTATGGTATCTGAGTTGAGGAGTGGAATACTTAAGGGGGGCGAGGGAAGGGGGGGGGTATACCGTTGTGCAGGCGGAGTATTAGACGGTGGCAAGACAAAAGAAAGCCGACGACTCGGGTTGCTTATACCGTGGTAGACTCGGTCAGCGGCCGAAATATCACACCCATCACTTACAATGCTGTTGTTGAAAAAGATGTAACTCAAACATCCAGTATTATAATTTCCCATAAAGTTGTTGGGTATGAACCCCAAAATCGAAAAGCCACCCAAACGCCCTGCTATGTCGCCAAGCCTAAGCCAAAACCCAACCCCGGGCCCTTCCCATACCCTCGATGACCCTAGTACGAGGACAGCAAGGAGTCTGTCACCACGCTGCGTGACTGGTATATCCTAGCCTCCATCTCGTCACCCATTTCCAACTTCTTCCGTTACCCCCCCCCTCATCACCGCCCGCTGCGGCCCCAGGTTGTTTCCGTCTAGTGTACCCATCTCCACGTCTCTTCGATCCCGGCGCGTCGCATAACTAGAAGAACAAATGATACGTGTAGTACAACACTAGCACAATGCCGATGATGATACCCGACAGTTTGAAGATGGCGACCTTGTTCCCGGATGCGGCCATGCGGCCGAGACGGCCGGCGGAGCCCTTGAGTTGGGTGCCCATTGAGGAGAAGGTTTCGTTCTGTGTGGATATGCTAACGTTAGCGTCACATCTTTGGATTTTTTTTTCTTTCTCCTCTGCGTCCAAATTTGGTGTCGCAGGGCAACGAAGCAGCAGGAACTATCCGGGGGCCCAAGAAAGCGTTAGGTCTGAAGTGGGGCGACGTACGTTCTGGTCGATCAGCTGGTGGTTGCTCGCAGAGTCGTAGATATCGATGGTCACGCCGCGGAGGGCGGAGACCTTGGCGGAGAGCTCGTCGAGACGAGCGTTGTTTTGGCGCTCGCGCTCGTAGGCTTCTGACATTTTGGCGGTGTGTCTTCGTTTGTCTCTCCTTTTCCTCTTGTTGATGTTCCTCGTTTGCCTCGTTGGGCCGGGTAGAAGAGCGCTTTCAACTACGGCCCTGGCCCGGGGGGTATATTCATTCAAGAGATTCCGGATTGTGGGAGCCGATTGTCGAGGGATCCGATTTGGGCTTGGGGGGTCGGTGTGGTTTGCGCCCTCGAACGTGCTCGCGACGGGCTTGGGTTAGGGTGTTCGGTTGGTTCCGATCAACGATCAGCAGCCGCAAGGAACACTGTTTCAGATTGAAAGGACCGGTTGCGTTGTTCGGGGTTGAAGAGACCGAGTGTGTTAGTCGGACAAGATCGGCAGCGTTTTTTGGAAAGATGCGCACGAGTCGAGCTACGTGTAGATGTGCGTTTGCTAGAGTCTCGGAGTAGTTGTTTCGTTGGAAGTTGTGGCGGGCCGCATACGCCGCCGAGGCCGCAAACCGTAAAAGGGGCCCTGTCTTGGTGCCCATGCGTGCCATGCCGCTGTGATCAGGGGACCTGTGGCTTGGCAGCAAATCAGCTCAGCCACAGTATGGCGCGGCTATTAACTCCGAGCCCGGCATGATGTCAGCTACAAGCAGGGGTTGTGGCGGGGGAAGAGACAGGCGGGAGAAAGATCATCGTGCGGGAACAACAGCTAAACTCAGGTACATGTCGAGAACTTAGCTGCCTAGGTGGCTAGCTAAGGCCCTATAATTGTTTGTAAAGCGAAAGCCCAGACGCACAACGGAAACTTCGCGTTGAACTTCCTGCACACCTTAACTTTCAGGTTGTTCATTACTTGGAAAACGGTTGCCAGGGGCCTTGTGACTTTGCTGCGGGGAAACTCCGTTGCTACCACCTGAACCCTCACAGCCGCCACCAAGACGCGCGGCGGGCATCAGTCCACGCTCTTTATCTCGTGGTGGGAAGCCACCCGTTTACAATTTTGATTTATTCTATACCCCGGCTTGACGATAGATTCAAACTCCGCGTATCCCGCCATTCCGCCACCCGTCGCAAGCTCGGGCGTGCGAACATAACGTTCAACGAGTTTACGACCTTCCGCAGCACCCAAACGCAGACGGATACCCCATGCTTGTACCCCACATTCTCCTTAATCCTTCGACGCTCGCCGAGTTTCTGCCTCCAGCTGTCCACTTCTCACTGCGCAACCCGCAAAACTTTCCAACCTCCAATTTTTTGATCTCAGCGCTTCGCGACCTCCGTACTTAATTACCCCGGGTTCCCGCGCTGTCTTATCGCGCATAGTATTATCCCGCAGCAGCCATGGGCATCAATAACCCCCTTCCGTCGTCTATGGCGTGTAAGTGTATCCCCAGCCGTCCCGCGCTGCTGATCTACCCGAGCGGGCGACCATAGCCTGCCTTGCGATTTTCTGACACGGTTCGCACAGCGGAATGCAAAAAGTGCGGCAAAATTCTCTCCTCCTTTATCGATCCCCGACAAGCCTTCGGCCCCGAGAAAGTGATCCCGCCATCCGTCTTGGCCAATGCCAAGGTAGGCAGAGTCTCCTTTGAACTCGATTCCCTCCTAGCTTTCCGACATACCTTTCCCAATCTTTCCTCTCGCGGAGCTAACTTTTCCCCGCTACAATAGGGCCTTGCGATCCTCACAGTTATCAAAGCCGGTTTCCTCGGATCGGCCCGTTTCGGTAGCGGCCTGGTCGTAGCGCGGTTGCCAGACGGGACATGGAGCGCACCGACCGCCATTGCGACGGGCGGCGCTGGGTTCGGTGGGCAAATCGGTTTCGAGTTGACCGATTTCGTCTTCATTCTCAACGACGCGAGCGCCGTGAAGACCTTTTCGCAGGCCGGCTCGCTTACACTTGGTGGCAACGTGTCGATTGCGGCTGGGCCCGTTGGCCGCAACGCCGAGGCTGCTGGTGCTGCGTCGCTACGCAGTGTCGCCGGTATCTTCAGCTACTCCAAGACGAAGGGCTTGTTCGCGGGCGTGTCGTTAGAAGGTTCGGCTATCATCGAGCGCAAGGACGCTAACGCCAAGCTGTACGGGCGACAAGTCTCGGCGCGCGAGCTACTCAGCGGCGCCGAGCGGCCGCCTCCGCAAGCAGCGCCGCTGCTCAGCATCCTCAACTCGCGCATTTTTAGGGGCAACGGCGGGGGGGCTGCGACAGACGACCGCATGTACAATGACATTCCGGTCTACGACGACAACCGGGACAATGTGGTGTGGGGGAATCAGACCGGGCCCGGGTACGGCGAGGGCCAACCCCGCGACCACTACGGCGCTCCTGGTGGACAGGGTCACGACGAATTCGGCCGACCCCAGCGCTCGGCGACATGGCAGGATGATGTGTACGATCAACAACCCAGAAGCTTTGGGCAGCAATCCAGGTCGAATACCTTCCAAGATACCGGGTACGCAGCTGGCGCTGCGGCTGCGGCGGCGACGGAAAAGAAGTCAGGGCCCGCTCGGCCGGCCGCACCCAAGCCGAACTATGCAAGTAAGGAGGCACTGATCAAGAAGAACGAGGCCGTCGCCTTGTTCACGTTTGAGGCGGACCAGCCGGGCGATCTTGGGTTCCAAAAGGGGGATATTATTACCGTACTTAAGAAGACAGAAAGTGATAACGACTGGTGGTATGTTCAGTCTCCACGCCCCTCTCCGCATTGGAATGCTCCTTAGGGAGAGAAAATAAGTTTGAGAACTCTAGCTAACTTGCTTTCCAGGACGGGTATGATTGGAACCAAACACGGGATATTCCCCAGCAACTACGTGAAGATGAAGGAGTAGGAACACATATGGTCGACATCCATGAGGAAGGCAGAGCTCAACAGGGGACAACCACGGGCCGAGCAGTTAACTTTGCACTGTGGCGGCCTTGTCCTCCTGGCGGCGAGATTGTTATCTGGAGGGGTGGGAACAGCAGAGAAAGGGTGTTCTTTCTCAGTCCCGCTGACTTTGCATTTGAGGTTTCCCCTGATTTCCCGTATGGCGTTGGGCGAGACATGGCGTTTGTTCCCTTTCCCGTATTCTTCATATTATCTTTGCTTTACCCTGAATGGCGATCTTTCAAGATAAACCCATTGAGGTTAGCGATAGCCAAATTGCAACCGGAGATACCTAGCACAACGTACCACATTTCCCAACGGAGGGATACCCTTCGCCCCGTCTCATCGTTATCCTTCGAACCCTGGGACATGTACACACGACGTTAGGCAGGAAGGGGAGCTTGGGCTGAGCGGGGGTTGGCAAGGTTGGCTCGCCAGACACGGTGTGTATGTGCCCCCATGCGGTGGGGTTCTGATTCCATTTAGTGGAAAAAGAAAAAGAACAGCCGGACGGCTGCCCTGTGTGAGTCGATGCTCCTCCCCGAGGGGGCGAGCAGTGTTTTTGACTGAGGGTGCTTGCAGGAGGGGGAAAGGGGGAAAAGGGGGACGTCGCCACTGTTCTCGCTGCACGGTGCTTCCTGCAGAAGGGGAGCACCTTGGAGTCTCCTCTTCGGTCCCGACAAACTGGTACGCTATCTGAGATTTTCAAAGGCATGACCAACGGAATCAGTGGTTTGAGGCACTAACGCAGTTGGAATTTTGGTACCTGTCCTGTTGGAACCCAACGTGGCCGTGGGGTGAGGGGTTCTTCCTGATGTCATCTGCAGGTGAAGGTGAAGTGGTGAAGTCGATAGATCCTAGTTTTGTGCGCGGAGAAGAGGGGGGAGAATTGGCCTGGATTCCCTGAGGCATAGCCGTGTTGGAAATGGTGTATATCTTTGGTGTTCTTCCACCGAATCCTTAGTCAGTCCCGGCGAGATTCCCTGTTTATTCTTGGGTGAAAAGGTTGTGTTTTGAGATCTGTACCAATTCAAGATGTGCAATTACACTCAGGTATGTGCTTTCCCCCCAGTGATCTAGTACGTCCTCACCTAACATAAGTAGCGAGAATATTCTTGTGGCCACTTCCGCTGGATCGCAACCCTCTGGTGTGCCAAGTACTGAAATACCCATGCGAGATGTACGCCGAATATCACACATTTCGAAGACAGGTATGTGACATCCCGCCCGTGAGTGGTGGTGAGGGAGGGATCTGATGAAATCCTTTCCTAACGGTAATCCATATAGACCGGACGAGGTTTGTGGGGAGTGCAAATCCAAGGAGACTCCGGCTTGGGAATATTTGATTCAGAGGCCGAAGAACCCGGATGGTGGAGGCGCAGGAGACGGCGGCGGTTCATCTACAGCTGCTGCTTGAAAGGGATAGATATTTAGAGTGCTGAGATGTGAAGTAGCAGGCAAGCAATCACTTTACACCACTTACCTTGGTTGCCTCTTGGTCATCATCTTAAACCTTGGGTGGGCGAGTGGAGACCACTTGGTCTTAACTCCGGTTGGACCCGGCTTATTAGAGCCGACACAATCAACACCCCGACTGGGTTGGTGGCGGCCCCAGATCGTGCATAGTTTCCGAATCTCGAACCAATATGTCGTTGTGGCATTTTGCAACAGGCGGGATGGAGAATGGTCTCTAAGCAACGCCATACTGCCCCCACCGAAGACCCCCACGTTTCTCCGGAGATAACCCCGCTTCCCTAATCTGGCCACATCTGGCTCGTGATTGGTTGTCATTAACCCAAGGACCCACCGTGGTCGAGAACATCAGACAGTTGGACAGTTAGGAGAGCCTCCGTTCGCTAAAACTTATTGATGTAAATCTGGTATGGTTTTTGATTCTCGACCCGAGTGTATTTGGCGTCGTCCGAATAATTCAACGAACTAATCTTCATCTCCGAGAGAACAAGTGTGCCTATGAGAGTTGCGGTGAATGTTGAAGGGCCTACCTGATGCACCGAGGACCCCTTCTTGCTCCAACAATATCAACGCAATCACGTGCAACTCGCAGGTCTTAACTCTCCTACCTATCAATCTTCTTGTCCCGCTCCCCGTTGTTTAGGTCTCGCTTCGAAGTTGTTGGCCCGTAACCCCTCTTTTTACTCTCGCCATCCTAGTAAGTCACCGCTCTTCAGTTGGTTCTAGTGTGCGAACATTCCTCTGTTGGCCCAAGATTAGCTTTTTTTCATCAGCCCGAAGTCTGATTCTTCACCGGTCAGTTCTTTTCTCGTTGCGTTTATTGTTCGTCGCCACTTCCTCTCACTTGCGGACTCCACCTCTCCCTACCCCCACACCTATGCCCTTGCTTACACGATGGAAGGCATTAGCGCTCGCAAGCAGCGCCGCAAGAGGGTCATCACTGACGCGGTACAATTAGCCCTTGAGAAGGAAGCCGTTGTTGCCTTGGAGCGATTTCTCGAGAACCCCGGCTTTTGTAAGAGACGGACGGACGTTGAGAGGCGGATGGTGATACGCACAGCCCAGTTCCGGTACAAACATTGCCCCAAACTCAGCCTAGGTGCCGCGATTGCTATCAGCGGGTCGTATGATATTACAGAGTTTCAGGGGCTCCAGCGAATTCTAGCTTCTGATGATACGGACTCCGAGGAACAGCGCAAGCTGAAAGAAAAGCGAATCGCTGACTTAAACGGCCGTTGTTTTTTGGACTCGAATCGCTGGCTGGCATATGCTAAGCATCTCCAGGGAGAACCAGAGCTTTTAGTCCTTGCGAGCCTGGGTATACGATCTCGATGTTTTCACCGCCGCCACATGCTAACTCTGGAATAGAATTTGCTTGGGCGTACTCCAACGAATGCCTTCCCGGTGTTATCCAACATCTTCTTGAGATTACTTCTCAATACACCCCGGGACTTAGTTCTGGAATTTGCCAGAAAGGCGCCTTTGAAGAGTTGTTAAACTACAGCGACCATATCGAAACGCAAAGCCCGACGCCCGTGTTCATCGAACCGGTGTCATCCACATCTCCAACTTCCCGGGTCGGGATCGAGGCGGATAAATCACCTCTAAAACGAGCCAAGACTACTCACCACCAATCCCCTCGAAATACCGGTGAGAAACGTTCTATCCCCGATAGATTGGGAGACTAACATCGCCCTAGACACTATGCTTGTCCCAATCAATGCGGATGGTGGTCAGATGACAGTCGTCCCAGGCCAACACGCTCAACTAGAGCTCACGAATTCGGCATCCGGCTCCCCACACGACACACCTTCCGCTCCACCAGCTTACGCCCACAGTCTGCAGCCACGATCCACCCCACTAGCGTACCTTCAATCACCCAGTGGAGCATATTCTCAGGTGCCAGGGCGTCTCCGTGCTGGCGATAACCATCCAACATCTCACCCAATTTCCCAAATTCCCAATCTTTCTGTGACTATCAGCTTGGGCGGTGAAGTCCCTGCTAACACGAAAGCTGTCCACGGTGCCATAACCTCTTCTGGTTCCCATTTTGGTGTAGTTAAAACGGGGTTGACCCCCGTAATTTGGAACAGTAGACACCAAGATGGCGAGACACAATGGGATAGCAAGCAAGGCTACCCAACACCGCAGCTCCAGCTCGCCATGAGATGGACAATATCGGACACGGCACCATCAGTCATGTTTGCCTTGAAGGGTAATATCAACGGGTTGAAAGATCTTTTTCTTCGAGGGCTGGGGTCTCCCAGAGACGTCAGCTATTCTCGGGGCTTTAGTTTGCTGAGAGTAAGGACGATCCCTGGATTTCCTTACTTCCCCTTTTTTCCCCCTCCTCCTTTCTTTGTCTCTTTCTTCCTTTTACTTTTTACTGCCCACTACCATTTCCGAAATCCATGAATCTGATCGTGCTAGTGGGCTCTTTACGGCCGGCAACACGAAACCGTAGGTTTCTTACTCGACCAAGGAGCAGGCGTGGATGAAGAGTAAGTGTATCAGAGGACAATTTCAGCCTCCATTATTAATGATGGGATGGACTAATAGCTTGATTGTGTCTCGTTAGATCATACCAGAATGTGTTTGACTTCTGGCTCCGGAGAAGATGGAGCGATGCCGAGTTCCCGACCATTCGCCGCGTCGCGGATTACCCTGACAGAGACTGGATCGCCGAACAACACTTCTCCCCCATTCACCATATTGTGTTTCTCCTCTCTAACAAGACCATCAAGGAGGAGCTCAAACACAATCCAGACGCCGTCCACATCACGGACGCCCAGGGACGTACGGCGCTGAATTGGGCTACTGCCCGAGCGCAACTAGACGACATGAGGGTCCTAATCGCTCACGGTTCTAATGTCGACACGATGGACGCCGACGGCCGCACCCCCATGCTACACGCAGTCGATAGTGGCAACGATGAGGCGGTCCGAGTGTTACTCACGGCTGGCGCCGACCCCAATCCCACACTCCCAGCCGGTTTCTTCCGTAGTAGTCCCCTCACTGCGGCCTGCTTTGGCAGAAGAGCGGGGATGGTGAAACTGCTCCTCCAGGCCGGTGCGAAGATAGACGCGGTAAACCCAGAGGGCCGGACGGCACTACATGCGGCAGCTACCACGCAGAGCGCTGAATGCGCGAGTGTCCTGCTCAAGGCAGGTGCTAGTCCGGAGGACGTCTCGAAGAATGGGAAAACACCGCTTTCGACAGCAATTATGAACAACAGCCATGCCGTCCTGGAGGTCTTTTCCGAATGGTATCATACCAGTGGCAGTGTTGTCAGAACCCCGCAGTTGCTGCTGGTGATTGCGGAGCACGCAGACATTGAGACTATGGCGATAGTCGAGTCGTCTGTTCCAATCAAACACTCTCTTGTCGCAGACATGGACAATTTCACCACCGGCAGGGCACTCCTTGTACAGCGTGGAGACCATAGTGAGGAGTTGGGGCTTGCCTTCGAGAGAATGTTGTCATGCGTTATGAGGAGCGACGAAAGCGAGCTTGGCCACTTGGACTACTTTTTTGAGAACAGTGAGAACCGTGCGAGTGCTTTCACACCTGGAGGTTAGTCGGTATGCCAGGTAGTCTTGGAAAGAAAGACCAGGTCAGAACGCTTGGCTGTGTGTACTTGCAGTTGTGACCTTTGAAACTGAATCGGGATTATATTGACTGTCATCACTTTTAGCAGCCGAATAGGGGGGTGGGATATGACTTCCCTTCTATAATGAGTCAGGTACCCCCCAAAAGTTTAGCGAAGCTGAATTTTGTGTTTGAGTCCCCCATGGTGGCGTTCCGTCCAGAGAAGGGCTGTGGTTGTGAGACAGTACGGTACATTGTTGAGATTCTAAAATTGGAGCAGCAAGAGTGTGAGGTAAAAGTAGACGCTAGACAGCTGACATCTACCTGGAAACACAGCCAAGGGGGGTGGGACCAGGGGGACGGAAACTCACCAGCCGCATCTCCCAACCAACAGCTTATGCACGAGTAGGACGTGTAAGGCGGGGTTCATTTAAGAGGGTAGACATGTCAACAGGAGACACCCTCTACCGAACCTCAGTTATTCGAAGCCCCAAAACCGCGTGTAGATCCTAAACGGTGCATAATCCGCTCTCTCTAGCCATCATGGCGTCTTCTGCTCAAGACTCGTTGACCCCCTACGTTTTTCTCATGAGACATGGTAAGTCTGACCACGATATCCATCCTATGCTAAGTTATCAACCTCTTGAAACAATGTGACCTCTTTTGATACTTTGGCTTCCTGTTGCAATTTTTGAGTTTTCCTCTACACTACTCTCTTCAATATTTGCGTTACCTCCGCCTAATATAGTCCCACAAACACAGGAGAAACCGAATGGTCTAAAGCCGGCCGCCAAACCGGCAACAGCGACATCTCCCTCACCCCCGAAGGCGCCGCGCAAGTCATCGCCACATCGAAAGTGCTAATCGGCCCAGGAAAACTCCTCGACCCCTCCCGTTTAACACATGTGTTTGTCAGCCCGCGAGTGAGAGCTAGAGAGACGTTTCAGCTCCTGTTCCGCCAACTTTGTCTTCTTCGAACACGGCTTCCCAGCGGGGACGAGGAGAAGAGGGTGGCAGTGTTACATACACGGAGGACTTGACGGAATGGGACTATGGCCAGTACGAGGGGCTGACTGGAGCGGAGGTAAGGAGGTTGAGGAGGGAAAAGGGGCTTGATAGGGAAAGGGAATGGGATATCTTGAGGGATGGGTGTGAGGGGGGAGAGTAAGTGCTCGTAGGGTTTGTTATGACGTATAATAACCTGCCTACTAACCTCTTTTATTTCACCCAAATCCGTACAAAATCCGTGATGGATTTTCGCTAACTTGTCCGATGCGGAAGGACACTGGACCAAGTCATGGAGCGTATAGACCGGCTCATCAAAACGATCAAAGATATCCAACGTCCATATATCAAAGGACAGAAGCCAGCTAATGTGATGTTGGCAAGTTATACGCACCCCTTACTTGCCCTCCCGGTTAACCCTATTTCCCGACGCCGTCTACCTCTAAGCTCTACTTAGTAAGCCACAGCTAATCCTCAAGCATAAAACCCCAGGTCTCGCACGGCCTCTTCCTCCGCTGTTTCATAGCTCGCTGGCTAGGTCTTCCTGTCAAGTTCTACCGCAAGATGATGCTGGCCCCAGGGGAAGTTGTCGTGTTGAGGTACCGTTTTATTTATTACCCCGCTTCATCCCTTGATTTACTTCCGGGTTCCCTGGGACTGCCCCTGAATGTATGATTTGAATGTACCCATTTCGCCCTGCCTTGCCCCCATTCCGTGAAGATAGAAATCGAGCTGACCTTGTCTCGGGACGGACGCATCAGTTACCGGCACACCGACATTGATAGCCCTGCCTTCTATGCTGGCCTGGCGCCAACTGCCGTTTAACGGGTTAAATAAAGAAGAAATAGGGGAGAATATTCGTAGCACTAATTAGCAAGGTTGACTGCTGTTGAAATATCAGACTATGATGATATCCTGAGTGCTAGCTTCGAAACAGCTTGTTCATGATTGTCAACAATTCTTCCGTCCCATTACCGCACTTGTACCGTTACCACATTAGGTGTACATGTATTCCATTTCGCAGGAACTGTGTTTAGGGTGATATATTCATTATCAAAGCGTTCTTTTGCGTCCTTGGTAGTTCACCCAACAAGGCAACTACCACCGATACTTGTACACAATCCCATCTGGACGTTCTACAAGATACAAGCCCAGCCTTCTTTACCACTTTGTCTTCCCAAACCCACACGCTCCTCACCACCGTAATCACATCTACGACCTATGCATTGCAGGCCAACGACACAGGTACGTGGCACAAGAACACCCATTCCACAAAGGTAAAAACGACAAGATAAATAACAAGTTTTGACCAAACCCAAAACATGGGCGGCCTTTGCGTGTTTCTTTGTTTTTTTTATGCCATCAAAACAGAACGTTGTGGGGGAATCTCTATGATACTAAAAGGTAATACGAGCCGAGATTTAATTAAAGCTCGTCGTGCGAGTCGGGCTCGTCATCCTCGCCAGAGCCGCCAGAGTACAGCTTGCTGGTAATGGGGTAGGCCACGTTGCTGAGCTTCTCTTTCTGCTCCTCGAAGTCCTCGGCGTTGGCGGTGGCGGCTAAATTCAAGTCAGCATCTTGTCGGTCGTAGTTAAAAAGGGGGTTGTGGGAAAGCTTACCGTTCTCCTCAAGCCAGTCCTGAGCCTCCTTAACAGCGTCAAGGATGGTCTCCTTGTCATCCTCGGAGATCTTGCTTCCAAGACCCTCCTCATCGTTGACCTGGTTCTTAAGGCTGAAGGCGTAGTTCTCCAGGCCGTTACGGGCCTCAATACGCTCACGGGTGGCCTTGTCCTCCTCGGCGTACTTCTCGGCCTCGGCAACCATGCGGTCAATCTCCTCCTGGGTAAGGCGGCCCTTGTCATTAGTGATGGTGATGGACTCGCCCTTGCCAGTGCCCTTGTCGTGGGCAGAAACCTTGAGGATTCCGTTGGCGTCAAGCTCGAAGGAGACCTCGATCTGGGGGACACCACGAGGGGCAGGGGGGATGCCGGTAAGCTCGAACTTGCCGAGGATGTTGTTGTCCTTGGTCATGGAGCGCTCACCCTCGTAGACCTGGATCAGGACCACGGGCTGGTTGTCGGCGGCAGTGGAGAAAATCTGGCTCTTGCGAGTGGGAATAGGGGTGTTACGGGGGATAAGCTTGGTCATAACGCCACCAGTGGTCTCAATACCAAGGGTAAGCGGGTTGACATCCATGAGGACGATCTCCTCAGTGCCCTCTTCGCCGCTCAACACACCGGCCTGGACGGCGGCACCGAAAGCGACAGCCTCATCGGGGTTGATACCCTTGCTGGCCGGCTTGCCGAAGAACTCCTCAATGAGGGTCTGGACCTTGGGGATACGAGTGGAGCCACCAACGAGCACAATATCGTCAACCTCGCTCTTGGAGACCTTGGCATCCTTGAGGACCTGCTCGACAGGCTTCAGGGTCTTCTTGAAAAGATCGCCGTTGAGCTCCTCGAACTTGGCGCGGGTAAGGGTCTCAGAGAAGTCGGTGCCCTGGAAGAAGGCCTCGATCTCGATACGGGTGGACATCTGGCTCGAGAGAGTACGCTTCGCCTTCTCGGCCTCACGCTTGAGCTTGCCCATGGCCTTGGCGTCGGTGGTGACGTCGACACTGTGCTTCTTGTTGAAGGTCTTGGCGAAGTGGTTGATAATACGCTGGTCGAAATCCTCACCACCGAGGTGGGTATCACCGGCGGTAGCCAGAACCTCGAAAACACCCTGGTCGATCGACAGGAGCGAGACATCGAAAGTACCGCCACCAAGGTCGTAGACGATGATCTGGCGCTCGCCCTGGGTCTTGTCCAGGCCGTAGGCGATAGCGGCAGCGGTGGGCTCGTTGACGATACGGAGAACGTTAAGGCCCGCAATCATACCGGCATCCTTGGTAGCCTGGCGCTGGTTGTCGTTGAAGTAGGCGGGGACGGTAACGACGGCGTGGGTGACCTTCTTGCCCAGGTACGCCTCGGCGGTCTCCTTCATCTGTGGGGTTGTTAGATCTTGTTTCCTCAAGGTGTTGCTCGGGTCAGAATCAACGCACCTTGCCCAAGACCATAGCCGAGATCTCCTCGGGGGTGAAGGTCTTCTCAGAGCCTCCAACCTCGACCTTGACAACCGGCTTCTCATCCTTGCTCACGACCTTGTAGGGGAAGTGCTTGATGTCGCTCTGGACGTCCTTCTCCGAGAACTTGCGGCCAATCAGGCGCTTGACATCGAAAACAGTGCGGAAGGGGTTGGCCGCGGCCTGGTTCTTGGCGGCGTCTCCAACGAGCCTTTCCTCATCGGTGAAAGCGACATAGGACGGGGTAATACGGTTGCCTGTCGCGGATGGTCAGTTACGCCCAGTTATGTTAAGTGCTTGTGGGATCAAAAACGCACCTTGGTCGTTGACGAGAATCTCCACCTTGCCCTTTTGCATCACACCAACACACCTAATGCTGCGTTAGCACTGTCCTCCTCCCAAACTGATTGTGATCCACTCGGCCGGATCTTGACACGGTGTCCGGATCCACTGTCGAGCTGGCCGACAGCCACGGTGTCGGAAATCGCAGTCGAGGTGAGAACTTACGAGTAGGTGGTGCCCAAATCCTGTTATCTAGTTAGCTCCTTGTCTTCCACATATCCAAGCTTGCCGGACGGGTGGGGATTGTACGCACAATACCAATGACGGTCCCGTACTCAGAGACATCGTCTGCCTTAACCTGCTGAACAAAGCCCAGCGAGAACAGAAGGGCAAAGAACCCAATGAAGCTCAGGCCTAGGGCCCAGCTCCGCGATCGACGCTCCATGTCGAAAGCTGTGGAGTGAAGTGAAAAATGAACAAGTTAAACCCTCTTTCGCAACTGCTTGCAGGCGGTGAGAGTGGGGGAAGAAACGAAGCCGGGAGAAAGAGTGGCAGTCGCGGGGTGCGCACTCTTCTCGAACCAATTCCTAGCCGAGCTCAAGGCTATCGGGAGGAATGAATAAAAGGGAAGCTGAGAACTCGAAGATTCCGGCCTCGTTCGAGTGAAGTGGTTGGTGAAACGGGAGTAGGAAATAAGAGCAGATGCGGCGTTGGCCTTTTGAATGTTGGTGTCCCTTAAATTTTTGGGGGAGTGCTGGGGGCGGAAGCAGAAACGGGAAATCTGTCCTTATCCTGGGCCTTGAAGCCACCTCGCGCGCTTCTGCACAGGCCTATTCGCCGCCTATGGATTGGGGCGACTGACTGGCTCCACCTACCCGGCTGGGGGGTATGTTGTGGTTCCATTTTGGGGAAGGTAGCAGGTACTTGTAGCCCTGCAGCACTAGCGGTTAATGTGCCCCTTCTGAAGGTCACACTACTTTTATTGTCCCATGGTGAGATCTCCTTAGCCGCTGATCGTGGAGAACAACACCTCACGCCTCCACTCCCTTGTTGGGGTTTCGTTCCTGGTCTTTGAACAGAGAGCGATTACATATGGAGTCTTTTCTTTTTCTTTTTCTTTATGAGTTGTGCTTTTAGCTAGTGTAGTATTGCGTCTTGTCACTCTTTTACCGCAGTAGGCCACAGGGAACACGGGGTTTACCAGTTCATCATGGATGGTGTGCTTTCAGACTTCGTCTACAAGGCATTTTCCAGTTGCTTCCATCCTGAGTCGTTTCCGCAAGGATTGGCAAACAACGAGGTGATGGCGGTGGGTTGTGCCCCGCAGATTCCCCCACAGCGCGGATGGTCTGTGGTGCCACACCCGGAAGCGGCGCCCAGACGCCATCAAACAGCAGCATTTGTCCCCCTGTTTGTGCCAGAGTGGCCTTTTGATAAACACACATTTCGGTCTTGAGTTTCCGCCTCTACTGCCGAATTGTTTCAGTTCTTCGACCGCTTGGCTCTTCAAAGCAAAACATAAGACAAGAGGACAACAGGAGAAAATAACACATGTCAAGTTCCCATTTTTGGATGTTCTCACTCAGCCGGCTTACGGTACCCCAAATTGACAGACCTGGAGGTAAGCTCGCTATGGCCAAAAAAAGCGGCAGACCAAGTCCCTGGATAACTAACTAACTTTGCTATAAAAGTGAAAAAAGACCAAAAAGAATAAACCAAAAAAAGCGAAAGAACACAAGAAAGAATAAATTTAGAAAGTGAAAAAAAGACAAAAAAGAGTAAATCAATCAAAATTTACCAAGATTTGATCGAATGTTAATGGATTAGGCTTGAGCTATCTGTTTGGGTGTGCCGCTTTTTTTGGCCACAGCGAGGTAAGGCACTGAAGTCCCGGGAATTCTATTGTGGAAATACAGAGCGCCTCCAACTTCCCCGCACTATTTCCCCCATACCTTGACCAGACCGGACGAAATATCCCGAAGAGCCTCAATTCTCGTGACCATCTTTATTCCAACAACCCAGCAGCCACCGTCTGCCCACCACTTCTCAACACCACCCGTTGCCCAGCTTCCAGCGGTACCTGCGACTCCAACTTGACCACCACCCTCGCTACCATCGCGGGCTTAACAATCTTAGGATTCTTCTTCGTCACCTTCCCCGATGTCTTGTCCAATATTGCTGGGATGACCTCGATCTTGCCAGCTTGGTTCAGTCGGCCCCGGTGAACCTCAACCGGCATGGGCATCAAAATGTCGAATGCGAGCGCTTTCAAGGTGAACGTGTCGGCCCGTGGAATCGGGTGGTTTGGATCGCAGATGATATCCCCATCTCTCACATGAATAGGATCGATCTGGCTGAGATGGAGCACGACGTTTTGGCCCGCTACTGCCCAGTCCACTGGGGCTTCGTTTGACAGGATCGACTTGACGTAGGCCTTTTCTCCACTCGGTTGGACGAGGAGTGCATCGCCCATCTGGAGAGAACCAGCTTCGACACGGCCAGAGACTGTAACGGGGCTTTGCATGGTGCGGTACACCTCGAAAACGGTCATGCGGAGTGGTTTGGACAGCGCCCTGGCGTTGGGCTCAGAGTTTTCGAGTTCTTGGATCAGGGTCGGGCCGTTGTACCATGATGCTGCTGGGTCGGACGATCTGTGGACCAAGTTGTCGCCATGGAGACCAGAGACTGGGACGAATGCGATGTTCTTTTGTTGGAAACCGGCGGTGGATAGGAACCCAGACATTTGGTCCCTGATTTCATTGAATCTCTCCTGCGACCAGGCGACGGTGTCCAGCTTGTTGACGGCGACGATGACGCGGGAGACTCCCATACTCCGGATCAGGAGCGAATGCTCTCGGGTTTGCCCTTTGAGCCCGGATTCGAAGGCGTCGATGCTAGCATCGATAACTAGGATTGCAAAATCGGCCTGACTTGCTCCGGCAATCATGTTGTAGATATACTCGGCGTGGCCTGGCGCGTCGAGGATCGTGAAGGCAGTATGCTCGGTCTCGAATCGCTTGGTGGCAATGTCCATCGTGATCCCCCGACTCCGTTCTTCTGGGCGTTGGTCAAGTACCCAGGCGAGACCGAATGATCCCTTACCCTCGGTTTTGGCCTCTTTATGAAGCTTGTCTACCGTGCGTTGGTCAACGACCTTGAGATCAAGAAGCAAACGGCCCATCATGGTGCTTTTCCCCGCATCCACATGCCCTACCACCACAAAACTGGCGTTCTTTTTTGGCTTGCTCTTCTCTAGCTCAGAGAGAACATCGAGGTTTCGGCTTTTCGGTAATGGGGTATCGTCGATCTTGAGTCCTTCCACCCCAGCGGCGACAGTGTCCGTGGACGCCGCGCCCTTCTTCTTGGGTTGGGCGGCAGCTGCCTTGGTTCCAGCTGTTTCGACTATTAGTGCTCATGTTAGCGCTGGCTCTTTTTCAAGAGCGAACCTTTAGTTTTAGCCTTCGCTTGAGCCGCAAGAACTATGTCATCCGGGCTGGGCTTGGCGAACGCGTCCCGAACAGACTGAGGTAAATTTGGGTACAAGACGACCACATCCTCGCACTCGTCAAGTTTGCGCTTGCGGACGTCGAACCAGTCCGTGGTTGAGAGGCTCGTCTTGGGTGGGTTCCCTTGGTTGTCCGCCCCGTAGCCGTACCCAAAGGCTTCCGATGGCCCTGTGGGAATTTGTAGCTCGCGAGTGACAGATGGCGGCCCACACAAGAGTTGCGCGAACGCAGATGGCTCGGCTACCACCTGTTGATAGTTTGGCTGGACCTCCGGCTGGAGCGCTTCGGACTGAAGCTTGGACGAGTCGGCATCGTGTTGTCGGTGACCTTCAACCCGTGGGGCGTTATGATGAGACTCAACCACGCCATGACTGGGAAACGTTGCCGGTTCGGAGGTCTCAAGACGTTTGCCGGGTGGTCCATTCAACGACTCGTTTTCTTTCCCACGCCTCCCATCCTCTACTGTGAGGCTTTCCACAACGGCTCGCGTTTGCTCCACCTTGTCGTTGATAACCTTTTTCTCTTCAGCTTTCTTCTTACGTGCGGCAGCAAGGGCCTGCAGCTTAGATAGCTTTGGTGGTGCTCCCGATCCTCCAAGGAGCCCACCTCTGGGCAACATCGGTGGGATAAAGGTGGTTTCGCGGCTTTTCGGAATGTTGCCCCACGGCATATCCTGGAACAGGAGGGCTATGGGAGGACTGGGGCGTGGGGAGGGAACTTCATAGGCTGGTAAGAATGGTGAGAGCTGAGAAGGTGCGGTCGGGTTTGTGAGAATAGCTGGGAGACCGTCGTCTGTCAGGTCCACGTCCTTCGCCGCCTAGGATGCCCGGATGCCAAGTTCGAGAGGAAACGCGGCCATGTTGGTGTCAGTGCATGGGAAATGAACTGACCTTTTGGTGGCGGCACAGCCGTCTTGGGTTGTTTTTTCTCTTTCACGGGCGGGTTGATGAATTTTGAGATCAGATAGGCGACTGACTTGTCGACATCGTAATAGTAGTGCCACAACGCCTCCTGTATCTGAGCGGTGGTGACCTTCGAAACTTCCACACCAAGAGCCGCCTGAACATCCGCAGTACCCTGGTTCATCAATGCTCGGTCCTCTGCACTGAGTTCGTCCTCCCCTTCTAAATATCCCTCATATTCTTCCACGGCATCCTCGTAGTCCAAATTTCGAATGTACTGATGGCGCGACATGGTCACGGATCGGTGTGGAGATGGCGGCCAAATGGTGAAGCTGGGTTGTGTGGTAAGACTTAAATAGAGGGAGGTAGGGAGGAGCTGAGGTGCGTTGACCCCGCCAGAACAGGCACAATCAAGAGCAGTGGGGCTTATTTATCAAAAAAAGACAGCCGTAGAATAGCCGCTGAACCTAAACACGCCAAACGAACCTTACTACCTACCTGCCTAATGAATTCATGAACCTACATGACAAGTTCAGCAGCTTGAGTCTAAGCCTGTTTTACCTCTACATTGATCATATTTTCCTTTGTGTCGTCATGTTTCTTTCAGTCTCGCCTCCTATATAGTCTGTGGGGTGTGTGAGGACGAGCCCCTCCTCGGCTGATGACCGGGATCTCATATCGTGATTTGTTGTTCTGTCCATCACATTGTCTAGTAGGTAGGGTGTTGATTGCATGTTTGGTCATATAACTGAAAAATTAATATTTATCACGGTATTCATTTGGAACAGTAGTCTTGAATGTGGGAAGAACACTCAAGTGTGTGAAAGCTTGAGCCTCATGCCCCACGTTTCTAAGCAGCGAGGTCGAAGCGTCAGCAAGTGCCAGGTTGACCCCACCATCCACAACCTCCAAAGTCTTGATTAGGCAAAGGCGGTGAAGAGCCAGAATCGCGGGGCAACCCATCAGTCGCCCGTTCTAGCCCAACCACAGCGCTCCCTGCGCCGGACTTAGATTCTGCCGTTGTCCGCCTAAAGCAAGCGGGTAGCGCCTCAATTTTTCGAGCTCCAGGGACCAGAAACAGTGCCTAGCTTGTCGAGCAAACCCCTGGTGCCTGTTCCACCGACACCGTAATTTGGGCGGCAACCTCAGAAGCTGCACTTTTCCTCCGACAAGCTTTGAAAACTGCACGAGATTCAAGACAGTCACGAAGATGGCGTTGAGTACGATCCCGCACGAAAGAGTCCCCGCCTTACGCGTGAAAGGAAGAGAAAGCTGACTTGTGAACCCCTTTAACTTAGACTTGGATTTGGCCAACGGTATGCAGCGAGACAGATTCGAACCGACCGGACGGCTTTGCTGACGAAACCAAAACTACAGCCTCCGTGATACAGGATGAGCAAGGACGGCCGTTTATTGTTGTCAGAGAGTCAGTTTACCTTTGACCTCGTAGCGTCACGAGGACCCGCCGCTGACCCCTCCCCCTAGCCAGGGCAAGAAGAAACGCCAGTATGGCAACGAAGCTGTCAAGTCCCATATCCTCGCCGCGCGCACCGTTGCGAATATCATCAAAACCTCATTAGGGCCGCGCGGCCTCGACAAGATCCTTATCTCCCCCGACGGCGACATTACGGTAACAAACGATGGTGCCACGATCTTGCAGCAGATGGAGGTTACGAACCACGTCGCCAAGTTGCTGGTCGAGCTGTCCAAGTCGCAGGATGACGAGATTGGTGACGGCACAACGGGCGTGGTTGTATTGGCCGGTGCTCTTCTCGAACAGGCCGCCGAGCTCATCGACAAAGGAATCCACCCTATCCGCATTGCCGACGGATACGACCAGGCCTGTGACATCGCCGTGGCAGAACTTGACAGAATTTCGGACGTGATCGAATTCAGCAAGGAGAAGACTGAGAACCTGGTCAAGGTTGCAAGGACAAGCTTGGGGAGCAAGATTGTGTCAAAAGCCCACGACCAGTTTGCCAACATCGCCGTCGACGCGGTTCTGTCTGTGGCTGACCTGGAACGAAAGGACGTGGACTTTGAGTTGATCAAGGTGGATGGTAAGATGGGTGGCGCGCTTGAAGACACTATCCTTGTGAAAGGTGTCATCGTCGACAAGGACTTCTCACACCCCCAGATGCCCTCTGAGGTCCGGGACGCCAAGATCGCTATCCTTACTTGCGCATTCGAACCGCCCAAGCCAAAGACGAAGCACAAACTTGAGATCAACAGCGTGGAGGAGTTTAAGAAGCTACAGACCTACGAGCGCGAGAAGTTTATCGAGATGATCCAGCAAATAAAGGATGCCGGCGCAAACCTGGCTATCTGCCAGTGGGGTTTCGATGACGAGGCCAACCACTTGCTTCTCCAGAACAACCTTCCAGCAGTAAGGTGGGTGGGCGGCCCAGAAATCGAGCTCATTGCGATCGCGACCAACGGCCGTATTGTTCCCCGATTCGAGGACCTAAAGCCCGAGAAGCTCGGGAAGGCGGGTATCGTCCGGGAGATGACGTTTGGCACCACAAGGGAGAAGATGCTTGTCATCGAGGAGTGTGCCAACACACGGGCCGTGACGGTCTTCGTCAGGGGAAGCAACAAGATGGTATGTGGTCATCCTAGATATTACGAAAGCCGCTAGTATGTCGTCTAACTAGCCCACTTAGATCATCGATGAAGCCAAACGCTCCATCCACGATGCGCTTTGCGTCGTCCGCAACCTCGTCCGCGACAACCGCGTCGTCTACGGTGGTGGTTCCGCCGAGATTGCCTGCAGCTTGGCCGTTGAGGATGCCGCCGTCAAGACGCCCGGCTTGGAGCAGTATGCTATGCGTGCCTTTGCTGAGGCCCTCGACGCCATCCCCATGGCGCTCGCTGAGAACAGCGGCCTTAACCCTATTGCCACGCTTGCAGAGGTGAAGAGCCAGCAGGTGAAGGACCCCGCCGGCCGTGGCCGTCTGGGTGTCGACTGCATGAGCCGCGGGTCGAACAATATGAAGGATGCCTTTGTCATTGACCCGCTTATTGGGAAGAAGCAGCAGCTCATGTTGGCTACTCAGCTATGCCGTATGGTTCTCAAGGTTAATAATGTCATCGTGTCTGGGTCGGGCGAGGACGATTTCTAGGGGACTAGATAGGTACGGGAAAAATGGAACCTGGGAGGTCAAGGTCTTGACTTCAGATAGATAGACGTATCTGACGTTGTTGATACCTGCATGAATGGATGTACAAGACCGCCGTTCGGAGACTACGTCTTTTTTATACGTGCTAGTGACATCTTCTGTAAGACTTGTATTTGTTAGTTTCAGTATTCCTTCTGATATCTCTTTCTGATGATCAGATATCTCACAGGAATGTCCAAGGCGGCTCATCTAGGTCAGTTATTGGAGGACGCAATTCACTCGAATTTAGGGCGCTTGATGAATTGAACTAAAACAGCCGCTCACATTCCTCGCCTGCCGCTTAGGTTGCCCCATTTCACTATGCTATCCCTCGATGAACCAAATTGCTCACGGAAAGAAAATAAGAAAAGAAAGAGCCGGCAATAAAGAGAAAAAAGAAACATAGGAAGTGAAGTCAAATGACCTCGGTGAACTTCCAGAAACCCCGAACCGTGAACAACCGGGCTGCTCCGCTTTACACACATTGATGCCATATCAAACCAAGTAAAAGATTTCCCTTAGGCAAACCCAAACCCCTGCGCATTCTCCAACGCCATGCCCAACCTCTCTTTCAGCACCTCCTTATCGGGATACTCCGGCAACAGGAGTGTCCCGTAGCACGTATACGACGTTGGCAGCCGTCCCGTTCGATCTTCCTCTTCACCGTTCCTCTGAATGATAAACATCAGATTCTTGACACCGCCCACGGGCACGCGATCACTCGCCGTGACAAACTCGAGCAACTTGCGCTTCATGCCCTCATCATAGCGCTTCACCACGCTCCAGAAATCCTTCACCGCGCGGTGCGACGCGTCCCACCCGACGTATCGCGCATAGCGCTTCAGCTCGGAAATGTCAATCTCCTGTACGCCCTCGACCAGGGACTGGAGCAGATTCGGAGTGAGGAGGGTGAGGGATTTGGGATGGAGACAGGTGTAGAAGCCGCGGGCGAAGGCCTCGTATTGCGGACGGACTGAAACGTCGGTGAGGTAGCGGATGTAGTCGGAGACGTAGGCGTTACGGTTAGCTGCGGTGACCAGCGGGGCGTCGTCTTCACCCGGGTTGCCGAGCTGTGGGGCGGGCTGAGAGGCCGCTTGGGAAAGGGTGTGGGCGAATTGTGGCCAGGCTTCCTCTTTCCCGTTACGTGAGGTGGATTGAGTAGACGAGGCGGGCTTCATCTCGCGTGTGACGTGCTGGCCGAAGGCTGAGACGGAGAATTCGTAGGTGCGGGCGAATACATCCTCCACAGCACCGTCCCTTTCATCCCACTCGAGGAACGAAGTAAGACCATTTGCTAACTCTGGCCACCCGTCCGCGATGTGATGGAGTTCGGTGACGGGCTCACCCAGAAGCTTGCGGTAGAGAGCCTTGGGGAAAGTGACAGGGAGCGTTAGGCCGTTGTACACAGCAAGCGATACGAGGAGACCGATGAGCTCAAACTTCCACTCGTCCTCCATAGAGCCGGGCACGAACCAAGCCATGCGGGTCCGCTCGTCGATCGTAAAGGCGCCGCGGATAGGGTCGAGGGCCTCCGAAATGGCTAGCCTGAAGAACTCTTGCTGGACGCCCCCGGAATCAAACCCCTCTTCACCTGTTTCCTCGCCCAGGTGTACTTTCAGGGGCCTAAGCAATTCGCGCTCCTCCCTTCGCCAAAGTTGGTCCAAAGCGTCTTCCAGAACCGCCTCTCTTCGGATACCAAGAATCAGGTACTTGGATCCTGCGGGCCTGAGCCGCTCAAAAAGAACATCCTTATGTTGCTGACTAAGGCCTGCTCGTTGTGAAATCACGGCAATCTTATCATGTAACGACGACGACTCTTCGTACGCACGGCTCATGCGCGAAAAGTTGATAGACCGGAAATAGGACACTAAGGTAGATGGGCTGAAGATGTACGGGAAGTCCAAGAGGTGCAGGCGATGCCGGGTGGGATTGTGAGACAGCCATGCTACGGGCATTTTGATGGTATCTAGCCGTTCTGTGAAATAATCTGACCGGAATTGGGCATCGGCCAGAAGGAGCTCTTGTCGCTTGTTATCTTCATCATGAGTTAGCAAATCGGCCCTAATGGGACGCAGAGTTAACTACTTACACATCGCTTCGATCAGAGCCAAGGCACCGCCAAAAGGCCCGTCACCTGGAACTTCCGGCGAGCCATCCCAATCATGCAACATGACGGCCCGGGCCCAATCGAGTAATAACGTGGGAACCCTGGTTTCATGTACGGTGCGTTCTGCAAAAGAGAAATCAAGAACATAGACCGCATCCATGTTCAGGAAGTCTAACTGGGAGAACAACGGGGCTAGCACATCCTGAGGCGCAGGGTCATCCGGCCCCATGTTAGTCTCGCTCAGGGCGTCGAAGTGCCGGCGCGTGTTGATGGCGGAGAATAATCGTCTCGCTAACCGTAGGGCCATGCCATCCGTGAAGGCGTCTTCGTATTGCAGGCAAAGCTCAGTGGGTTGCCTGGCCACCGCGCCGCTACCCGCTAGACTCAAGCCATGTGACCGTATTCTTGACATGTCGAACAGCTGCCGGGAGTTGGTGACTGAGGGAGCAGCGGCCATCAGGGCATGCAAGCAAACCGAAATGAGGCGCCCAGCTTCGAGGTTCGAGAGCGAGTGCTCGGTCTTGGCAAAAACCCTCGCAGTGGGCGACCTCAGGCTTTGAAGCACTTTGGGGGCAGCAAAGAGACTAGAAGCTGCTACCCATAAGCTATGGAAGACCAGGCTTGGCGCGACTCTGGTCAGCCTGAGCATGCAATACCACATCGTCTGTGAGTCGTATAGCTGGCCGTTCTTCGTGAACGACTGGACCGCAAGCTGCGGGTGGCTGAGGACGTAGAAGAGAGTCTGCTCGAAAAATAGCTTCCATTCGAGCTTCATATTTGGCGAATAGGCCCGGCCTGAGCGATACTTCCGCCTCCCCAACTTCGGCCCGCCATGAAACCTAGTCAGTTGGGGCGGCTCAAGCATATGCTCTTCGCCAGTGCGATCCTCTTGAATGATATCGCAGAAAAATTCCACGACATCAACGTTTAATCTGGATAGCGCTTGAGGAAAGAGGATTTCATCGTCTGATTCTGAGTCTTGGCCAGGAGGGAGGACGGAGCCGTCGCTCCCTAAGTTCTCAGATGCGCCGGAGGCCGTGCTCGAAGCTTTTGGGCTCCGTGATCCGGTGCTCCTTGCTAAATCCAACGCGGTCCGGCCCGCTTTTGTATTTACATCGACGACCTTTGGAGGCGGCATCTTCTCCAGCGAGACGTCATCAAAGTACCCGGCGGACGAAAGTTGTGATATTGGCCGCGCAATATTAGAACCAGCGGCCTTGGGGGGCCGAGTGCCTTTGTCGGCGGAGCTGACGGCCCGGGGTGACCGGAGAAGGCTCGCGTAAGGCTCTTCAACGGAAGGATCTTGCGCAAACGGGTCGATAGACAGTTGGCGTTTCGGCTTGGGACCGGAGGTGCGAACTTTCGCATTCGAGTTTCGGCGCGTGCTACGGGAGCCCGAGTGAGGTTCATTTGGTAACGGGGCCTCCTTCGAGCCCCGGGTTTCCTTTTCTGACACCCCCTGCCCGGGCAACCCTCTCCCACTACCAACGTCCCCCTTTGGGTCAGGTGATGCCGTGGATGACTGTGGTGATGTCGACGTTGCATCGGGCGCTGTCTCTCGTTCCAGCCGTGGTGTTGGGCTTCCTGAGGTAACCTTGACGTCTGATTCTCCACTGAAGGCTTGGGCTCGGGTGTGCATATCATCCATTGCGGCGGGGGTCAGCCACTCCAGCATCTTGAAGGCCACAGTGCCGAAGACATTGGCGGCAAACGAGCGGTGGTCTTTGCTCGTGGGCTTTTCAACAATCGTGAAACCAGGGCGCGGGGATTGCTTCTTTGCATTGGGTCCGGGATGTACATCGACACGCTCCCCTCTGTCTTTCCTGTTCGAATTCGAAACGTCGCTGACGGCGCGCGGGGATGAATGTGGTGCGCCGCTCCCATGATCACCCTTTGGCGAATTTGGCCGAGACCCGTTTGCGTGTCCCTTTGGATTGGTGAGGGAGAAGGTACGATCGTCGCGGTGGCGGGTCTTGGAGTTTGGAACGAACACTAGGGAATTAAGGGCCGCAGGTGGCTTCTTCGGGGAGTGTAGATTCGGACAGAGGGCACTTTCCGGGTTGTCTTGGCTGGCGAGGTACGTAGCTAGGATCCGGGCGCTCGTTGTGTTATACCTGCGGGTTGGGGCTCGGCCGGCGACCCTCGTTCGACAGGTCAGACATGTTGATGTTGTGCAGTAGTCGGCGCCGCAGCCCTCACGGAGCTGAACGATGAATCTGCGCGGACACAAGTGTCAGCTAAACCACGCGTGCAAGCGAATTGCCAAAACGGGCCCGGGAATGTAGCTTACTTTTGTACCAACTGTTGGAAATTGTGCCGGCGGCTTGCCTTATGAATGGCGTAGACGCGTTTCGGATTTTCAATATCCTCCACGAGGTCCTTTAACTCGCTCGGAGCGTCCCACGGGAGCCTGGAGAACCGCGCTTCCTCCCAGAGACCGGCTAAGAGTTCGAGGTCATCGGAGGGTTTGTGGCTATGGTTTCCGGCACTAGCTGGCCGCATGGCGTCCCGCGTCATTACATGGATGGGGGTGAAGTGGCAGTCGTTCGGGGAGAGCGGCGCGACGGAGATGGTATCGGCGGACCTTTCGGGTTCAGGAGCCTCGCCTGACAGAGCACGAGGCAGGAAGTGCGCAGGCGCAACGGGTTTGGTGTTTCAAGCAGGCGCACCGCGATGTTTCCGGAATCCGGGTGTGGTGGCTAGAGATGAAAGACTGGGCAGTGAACCAGTTGGAGGCCAGACAACAAAGCTGCAGTGTTGATTTCCCAGGCCTGGAAATGTTCGGCTTCACCAAGCAACAGCAGTGATGCTGCAACCCGGCTGGTCAGCTTGCCGCCTTCTTTCCACAGGCGCTCAAAGCGCGTGGGCGGTACCCACCAGTCAAGGCTTGGCGTGGGACCGGGCCATGACCAGGTGGATCCTTTGCCTCTTCTTTCGCAGGGGGTTGCTTACCAACCTTGAAATCAAATACCAGCGTCTCGTGACTCACTTGTAAAAGGCATCAACGGTGTTAATAATATCCGGTATTTCTGAGGCTTTACGTGTCTGGTTGAGATTTCGACTAAGTAGAGGCTGGAATAGCAAATGGACAAATAAAGTGGCAAAGAATAAGAAAGATTTGTAATTTAGAAGTGCGGATGCACAGCATACACTATATCTGTAACGCCACTTAAGTCCCTGAGGTGCTGTCAGCATCGAATGTCCCCCACGTACGGTACCGTCACAGTAACAGGTTGCCAAGCAAATGTGACGTCCACAGTTAGACCCCGCCATAATCAAGCCCGCCACCAAAAATTTATGGTTGGCCCTGAACTTCCTTCCTTCCGACTACCTACTTAAAGGCATTATTCAGCAGACGGTTTTATTCTGTTCGCTTTTTTACTTCCCTTTGGCCCTTTGAACCGCCTTGTTCTCTTTTCTTTCGATCGGGAATTTTTCGGCTTCCTTAACCACCCAGGCACGGCGACGACCGAGTTAACTTGGCAATCATGGCGACGATTTCTAGCGGTCCGGCTGCGTCTGGCGGGGGAGTCTCGACATTGGGAGCTTCGCATCCGTACACATGCAACACATGCCAGGTCGCTTTCCGCAATAGCGACTTGCAAAGGGGACACATGCGTAGTGATTGGCAGTAAGCGACACCCCGCAGTGAATCGTCCGTGTGCCAGCGAACTAACGGGTTCATCTAGTCGCTACAACCTGAAACGCCGAGTCGCCTCTCTTCCGCCTATTTCCTCCGAAGTTTTCACCGAGAAAGTTCTCCAAGCTCGCGCCGAAACTACAGCCCAAGCGGACAAAGCTGGTTTTGAACGGGCGTGTGAGACATGTCAGAAAACATATTACAGCGAGAACTCGTTCCGGAATCATCTCAGCAGCGCAAAGCACAAGGCGGGGGTCGCTGCCCTGGCAGCGAGATCCAACGGTAAAGCCGATGACGAAGCGAGCTCTGTGACATTTTCTCTGGGCGAACCGGCGGCGGACTCGACGGTCGACTCAGATGCGGAGGAGGAGTTTAACGAGGTCGTGGAGGGTCTCAAGAACACTGGGATCAATGGTTCTGTTTTTCCTCTCAAGCGGCCCGCAAACCCCAATATACCCGCTACAGCAGAAAAGAAGCAGGATCACCCGTCGTCAGAGGTCCCTGGTGGAGAGTCTTCCACCGCAACCCCCTCGGCACCAACACCGACAGGGAACAAGCCGGCTCCGACAGCTTCACCCAAGACATGTCTGTTTTGCAACTATGAGTCCCCAACCCCGGTGCTCAATGCTGCTCACATGGAACGGACTCATGGCCTGTTTATCCCTGAGAAACAGTATTTGGTGAACTTGGAGGGTTTGCTTAAATTCTTCCAGGAGCAGGTTTTCGACTTGAACGAGTGTATCACGTGCGGAAAGGTGAAGTCGAACGTTTTTGCGGTGCAGACACACATGCGGGACAAGGCGCACACTCAAATTCCGTATACAACGGAGGAAGAACAGCTCGAGATCGGCGAGTTCTACGACTTCCGTAGCACATATTCCGATGATGAGGAAGGAGTGTGGGAGGATGAGTCCGATGACGAAGAAGAGCAGAAGGGCGGTGTTAAACTTGGGGCTAAACGGGAGAGCAAGACTGTCGGGGAGGATGGCGATGAGGTGATGGAAGATGAGAGTTGGGAGACAGACAGCGATGCGTCGTCACTTGACTCCGATGACCTCCACGCGGTCCCTGGTGACCACCACTACCATCAGTACGACCGCTTGAACAAGCATCCCCACCACTCACGCAACACCAGCCGCAATCACCTTCAGGCGGACGACTTCCACGCACAGTCCCACAGACGCAACCAGGCCGTGTTCCACGACGAGTACGAACTGCACCTTCCCAACGGCAAATCTGTCGGCCACCGGTCTCTCAACCGGTATTTCCGCCAGAACCTACACAGCTACCCGACCCCGGAGGAGCGGGCTGAGCGTCTTGCCATCGAGGCTGCTGGGCGGGAGGACGAGATGGACATCGACAGTGAGGAACGCCCACGTGGCCGAGCCTTGATTCCCAGGGATGTACGGGGCCTGGGTGTCGCGTCTCTTGACGACAAGCAGACCAAGGCCGTCGTTACTAAGGGTAAGAAGCAGGAATGGGCGAACCAGAAGAGCAAGGGCATGTTGCAGTCACGGTTGGGGATTAAGGAAAAGGCTCCTCACCCGGCGACATATTTGCGCTGATCGTTTTGGTGGAGTTATACGTTGGTTTATTCTCCGTCCTGTTGTGTCTAGAGCATTTTCGAACCCTCGATGATTTCTGATGAATTGATGAGGAACGTGAGACCCATGATAGCATCAGACGATGTCGTGATATCCAGAAGTCTTTGCCATTCCGACCCTGGGCTGGGCAGCCCTTTGTTTTGTTGATCCCTCCCGAGAATCGCGGCAGAAAGGAGGAAGGCGTTCGGCTGGTGGTCCGAGCTTTAAGCCCCTATGACGATTTATGGCGGGGCGGGGCCGCGGGCATGTGCCTGATGCCACATCGCGGGTGATCTGCTCAGCAACACCACTGGGCGCTTGTTGGGAGGCCGCTCGTCTTTGGAAAACAAGGAAGCCGCTGCCAAAGTCTCTTTCATTCTCTCTCAGTTCACCCTTGAACAGCTCCCGGGTTCTACCTCACTATTGCGGCCAGTTCATTGACAACAGAGTTAACTACCCCGCAGTGTCCTATCCTGCACCTCGGATACAGTGTGCGTCAGGGGGCAGCATTCGTTACGCAACTCACCTACCCACAGATCCACGGGCATCATTCGCCTGAAGGACTTCCCGAAGTCGTTTTAAGGCCCAAAAAGCCACTGCTCCGCCAATTTTGATCACTATTTTGACTGCGATTCATGTCGCGATAGTCGGCCATCCCGCTTAACCCACGCTGCACCCAAGGAGCCTCCGAATTAGTCCTATTTGACATTGCTCTCAATAACGGTTTCAAACAACAAGCCTTGACAAACAAATAATACGACAAAATGTTGTCACAGGTAAAGCCATGGGTGAGCGATGGTGTTTTATATCCTGGCATAGCTCACACATTTCACAGAAGAAACCACACACGGCCATTACGGTCCTCATCGAGAATCTCACCAGCGGAGATCCCAGTATCACTCAGATCGACGATCTCAGTGGACTCCCCGAGCTCGTCGAAGTGATCAATCTTCAACCGTCGGGCGGTCCCACCGAAGCTGCCCGTGCTATCAGGAAGAAGCTCAAGTATGGCAGTACTTACCGCCAACTGCGTGCCCTGACTCTCCTCGATGCGTTGATTCAAAACGCCGGGTCGAACTTCCAGCGAAACTTCGCGGACGAAGCCCTCCTTGAGCGCCTCCGTTTCTGCGGCAGTGCTGGCCTTTCCAGTCCTGAGGTGAAGACGAAGTGCGGCGAGTTGTTCCGCAGATGGGCTGCCCAGTATAAAAACACTCCTGGGATGGGTGGGGTCGTTAGTCTCTACAGAGTGAGTCTCTCGTTTTCTGGCCCTATTTGTTTTACAGGGACTTGGTCTTTAGCTCACAGCAACCCGTAGGAACTACCAAAGCGTAAGCGTGTAGTCACTCAGGAGCAGTCTCGGGTCATCCGGGAGACAGAAAATCCGTTTGGTGAGGATGAAGAGGAGGAGGCCAAACCCAGCCCAGCAAGCCCCCCAGGAGGTCATTCGAGAGCGACATCCCTTTCAGGCACCCTGACACAGCGCCATCCGGCAAAGAGCTATGATGCAAAGAACACCAAGAAGGATAAAAAGGACAAGAAGAGCAAAAAGACAAAAGCGTTCAACTTTGAGGCTGAGAAGGACCAAATGAAACTACACATTGGCGAGGCGTTCTTCGAAGCTACGAATCTGACGAACACCTTGCAAAGCATTGACCGAGAACGGGAACGGATCTCTGAAAATCAGCTCGCGGCCAAGAGGTTCGAGCATTGCAAGCAACTTCGCCGAAAGATCCTGCGCTATATTCACCACGTCGAGGCAGAGGAGTGGTTGGGAAATTTGCTGAACGCCAACGACGCGCTGGTCACAGCTCTCATGACCTTTGAGCAGCTCGACCGCTCGATCGACGCAGACAGCGACTCAGACGACGAGCTTGCAGAACAGGCTCATCTCTACCGCAGTACGTGCCCGCCTTACCTACTCCTCCCGACATTCCTACCCCTCTCCCACCAGTCATCCCGTTTCTCAACATCTCCCGCACACCCTCCTTACTAACCACCACCATAGTGGTCATCGAAAAAGGCAAAGGCCGCGACCCAGCCTCCCCGACCGCCAGCTCCCCACCCACAGACGGCATCGCAAATCTCAACCTCGGCTCCCCCCAGTCATCCTCTTCCGCCGCCCTCCCCACACCGACCACCCCTCGTCGTCCTCCGCCACCACCCCGGCCGTCCGGCGCCACGAAGCCGGCGCATTTCTCTTCGCCTCCGCCACAGCCGCCACGACCGACAGCGGCAGCCGCAGATTCTGACGCTGCCGACTCGGAGGAAGAGGTTGAGGATGATGATGAGGGAAATCCCTTTTCTGATCGCAATGAGGTGGTGAAGGCTGAGTAGGGCTGGCCAGGCAAGAGAGGAAAGGGGAGAAGGGGGGGCTTTTAGGGGAAGGGTGAAGGGTATGGGATTAGAGGTGAGGATGATAGGGCTGAGGGGTCTGTTGGAGGCCCAGCCATGAGCAATGGTGATGACATTGAGAGGGGGGATAAGAAGCCAACCAATTTGTCGTTCCGGAGCAGGTTAAAGAGGAAGATTTCAGGGAAGCGGACTAACAAGCCGCAGGAGAAGGCGAAGAAGACGACGGAAAGGTCTCTTGAGGAGCAGACGAGGACACGCAAGCCCGGACCCCACACACGCCCAGCACCGGTGATGAAAGACTTAGGGCTGTTGTTTCAGATGAGGATGCACTAGGTTGTCAGGTTGAGCTGGGGAAACCTAAGCGGTTCAATATACCATACGGAGTAGTTTTAGGCCGTGGTCCGAGGATGGGAAGGGGGTGATGGATGGGCTTGGGCATTGTAGCAGACCAGGCGAGGCGCGATGTTGAGGGTGAATACAGTGTGTTCCGCGCGGCGTTAAGAGAGGACGTTGAGGTTTCGTTTTGAATTTGATGCTTCCGTTTCTTGATATAACCCGTGCTGCGTCGTGCTATGTATATGTCACCATATCCATAATTGCGTGGTTCTAAGCACCTGGCCATGAGGTATATTCGAGTGCTTTTCTCGCCAAAACTTGGTCTATTAAGACTCATGGCAACACTTGCGCATTCGAGGATCATAACAGTAGTCCAGCTAACGTTTACCCCCGCTGCGACACCGCGCTGCAATACCTGCCAGGCAACCAGCCTCGTTGAACGACGCGAATCACTTACAATCCCACGTGCCACGATGACGGCAGGCGTATCTACTTTTCTTTCCCACCCTACGATGGATCGTTCCTAACTTCCAACCGTCCCCTGCAGAGCACATGTGCGGACGATTGTGAACACCACGTATCATGCGCACGCACATGCACACGACAACATTCGAGAAGCTTTGAGTCTTCAAGCCCTTTTTTTCGTCATGCTTCCTCTTCCCTGCCTCCCACGATGTAAATGTTTGCCTGTCCCACTAGTTTGTGCAGTCTGTGCAGTTTGTTCCCCCATCTCTGTGTCACCATCCCGCCCCATCTGTGAAAGTCACGAGGCCGGAGACCCGTGAGCACAGGCCGATCCGGGGAAGATACCCGGGGGATCGGTCACTCTCTCGGTCACGCCATGTGGGAGCGTTGTGTCCAGTTTCTCGAGGAGTACTTTGCCCGCGGCTGGAATTTTGGTGAGAACTACTATGGAGTGAGTGATAAACTCACGCTTGAGGGATGCGTCATTGCAACCTTGAGCCCGGGAACTCTGTAATCCGGACTCGTGGTCGTATTGTGAGGGCTGCGGTGGCTTGCACTGATGGTCAAGCGTGCGTGGGGGCCTGAGATGGTAAGCGTGGGGGCTTGTTAGTCGTGGGACAAGGGAGGTGTTGGCATTTGCGGCCAAATTTAAGTCTGTACATCATGATGAGAGAAGGGAATGTGCCGGTACATTGTGTAGGTTACGTGGTGGCGTGATGAACACGGGGATGGCCTCAGTCGGCGGTTCCCATGCGCGAAACTATAGGAAAACGTTATTTTTGTTCATGGACGCCGTTAGCCGTCAATCAAGATGGGCGGGCTGACCACAGCGCCTCATCGAAGTGACTTATATTTGGGCGAGCAGAAGGGAGACCATCCAGAAAATATCAATGGGAGGGTGCCTGGAAGCATGCCTGAGGATGAGCAAACCTGCGCCGCTCTACCCTTTCTTGTGTCGATACCATCTTGGGCTAAGCAGGGCTGGGCTAAGGGAAGCTGAGGTCGGAAGGTGTACATACATGTTTCATCTCTAGGCCGTTTCGTCTGTCCTCTCCGTCCGGACTCCGTTTGTCGGTCAAAGAATTGCAAACTAATTTATTGATTCCACACTTATTTCTTTTTTCTCTCTTTTTTCCCTCCCCCCGTCGCGAGCACACTGGGGTGGGTGATGAAGGTACGAAGTACCGCGTGTAGCGCCATGGGCAACACACCCCTCAATAACCAACCAAGATGTTGGCTTCGACAGCGTGGACAGAACAATGAAAGAAGGTTGTCACCACCACACCAGGACCCTGATGTCTCACTTCGTGGTTTGTTTCTGAGCCTATTCTCGGGTGCACCTGACGGTCTCGGTGATCGCATCCGGGACAGCATTCCTTGTGTCGTTTGGGTCCTTGCCGCTTTGGGGACATGGAGGGCTGTGCAAGTAATGCCGGGAATTGAAGGTGGGGGACAGGGTGAGCGCAGGAAACTCAAGCCAAATCTTCAAGTACTGGGTAGGTAAAAATGAGGGTAAAGTCGATGGAAGGTGCTCTGGGTTCAACATTCAACATTAAGTGGTTCACAGGAAATACCTGCCCAGTCTCGTCTGGAAAGTGACTGACTGCCTGGGAAGGCGCGTATGTACATGTTGTGGCTGCCCTGTGAAGTTGCATGTAAGTGCCACAATGGAGGATGTGCAGCTCCTGCCGTTTTACGAGTGACCATGTGCTCGGATCTGGAATCTACGAACACGGAGGTACCTCTTTCAATTGAACCATTGACAATTCAGAACAAATAAATAGAAAATAAAACTTGCAGATAAAAATAAAATCAAATAAATTCCCATTTTTATCTTGTTTTTTGCAGCAAATGCCACGTTCTAAGGCGTTGAAGGCGACCCAGTGTGTCACATGGGCCACGGGCTCGGTCGGACGTCCCGCCTTCCTTCTCCGTCCCGCCCGCCCGTTCCTTGTCTTCATCCCCCCACAGCGCCCCCGAGTCTTGCCTCAATACATACCTTCAATGCCCCCCTCCCTAAAAAGGCCCCCTCTACTGTAAGCGCTGAGGGTGTGCGGCCAACCTTTTGGCTGGGCTCCCGGATGCATCCCCGGGCAGGTCATCTGGCCCTGCCGAGACTGCCAACGCATCAAGCTCCCGCCAGGTGAGTAATGCCATCTGCCCCTCCATCCTCACCGCTCTCTCGCCAAATCGTCACGAAGCCTTGGAAAAGGTGTGTCCGGACAGCGGGACGGCGTCCGAAATGCACCTAAACCAGGGAATTGTAGAATCGAGCCCCCCAATATTCTCTCGAGGACCACTCAATGCGTCGTCTTGGGTCCTTCTGGTGTTGTTTTTTCCAAACGATGAATCGGACCGGGCTGCATTTTCATCGCCACAATTCCCCTAATCCGGCCTTTTCCCCCGGAACCGCTTTCAATTTCCTAAGAAGGGACGAAAAGCGACCAAATCGTTACCACTTCCCCTTCGCCGGGCAACCCCAACTGCGGGAGACCCTTCAGACGGACAACCTCGCCCCATCCTCCGCAGTGATGCAACGAAACAGAGGCAAAACAATCAGGGTCATCCGACATTTACTTTAACAGCGGATTGGCGCCCGAGTTTCTGCGCCGCAACCGCGCGGGATATCTCTACCCTGACGTCTGATTTGACGTGGCAAGGCCGGAGTTTATGGTGAACCCTCCTCTCTCAGAGGCGCTCTTTTTATTTCTTTTTTAACCTAGCGGGGGCCGAGCACTGTGGCTGGCTGCCTGGGGAGTGATGGAAACACTTCAGCAGGGAGGGGGGAGGGTGCGAGCCGCCGAATGCGTGGCGCACGGGAAGGCTGCTCTCTCGTTGGTTGTTTCACCATCTTCTGACTACGAGACCGTGATCCAAGGTGCAGCAACAAAGCATCCGGCAGTGACAGCGGCAACGGCGGCGGCGGCAGCAGCCCCAAATTGTTGCTGACCATGTTGGCGCTCTGCCATCACATTAGACACAAAAAAACGAAGCGTAATCGCCAACGGCCGCCTTGCGCGTCAACTTGCGACATCACAAGAATGCTGGGCCAGCCAGTGGATTCCTGCAGCGAGCAGCCAGCCTGTTCTGGGAGACCTAAGCCCTGCCTGCAATCTCGTGGCCCTCTTCAGTCCCGTATGGTTGGTTCACCCATCGTCAACTTGCAGATAGGCTGACCCAGCAGTCTGGTGCGGGGGATGGTCGTCTGGTTTGTCTTGATGACTCTCTTTTATTGCACTTTTGATACGAGTGAGTTGCCAACTGGCACGTCCGCATCACGGGCTCTCCTGCGTCATTCCTATCTATTTCGATTCCACCACTCAGTATCGTGTATTGGTGCTGGAGTGGGCGTGGCCGGGGGGGAAGGAGGCCGCCGTTATGGGTTGGGCTCGGTGTGGCCTGCCTATCTTTGTGTCCCCAGCTTGCCCATGCCTAACCGACCTTGAGGGTTGGTACCGGTACCAACGCTGAGAAGACGATGTATCGTGACATGACAAGGTGGTTTGCCCGGTGGGATTGGTGCACTCATACTAGCGCACGCCAACGTGGCCTCGGAGACTTGGGAAACGGGTTGAGTGCCTTGCAGGACGATGCGGCGGTCTGGGTTGTTGACTTGCATGGCTGTCTGCAGAGCCATGCAGAGCGGGGAGTCAGAGACGGTTGAAGCCCAAACAAACCAAAGAGCAGAAGTGTCGTTCCGTAGGGACTACGCACTGCATGGGTTCCCTGTCGTCGTTATGCACGAGGAGAGTAAACATCGTAGCTCCTGTTGTTGTGTCAACGCCTTCGAGACAGAGGACTGTCTCAGGTGTACTGTGGTAGGCGTCATCTCAACCCCAACGTTCATCTCTTGTGAGAACCATCGCGAGACCGGTACCAGCCCAACGGCCCTTATGGACAGTCCCGGATGCTTGAAGATACATCTAAACCCAAATCATCTCCCTGGCTACTCATCTCCTGGACTTGGGGTCGTCCCAGGACGCCTTGTTCCGCGCAATACCAGGTCCCCCAACCTCCATATTCCCCCTTCTCTCATATCTCCATCATCTGCCTCCCTTAATCGTCCTTTTTAGCTATGCCTAGCCGTCTGTACTTCCGCTTGTCTCCCCTCCGCATCAGCCTCTGGTCTCTGGTACCCTTACCACCTTCCCAGTACCCTTTGCCTCGTTTCCCAATCACGCTTCTACCACAGAATCCACTATCACATCATCCGTAAACGTTAGCCATCACAAATTCTAGAGAGACACCAATCAAGGGATCAAAAGCAACGGGGTTGCGACCCTTGTGTTAGGAAAGGGACAGGTCGAGAGAGAAACCCGGGTGAAAGAAAGAAAAAGCGAATGATACGTACCAGCTTTCCACACTATACCTCTGTTCCCGACTACACCACCCACACACCATCCGATTCGCCCACTCATTCACATGCGCCTCCTTCTCATCATGACACCGATCACACGGGTACACCTTCGCACAGCACGAAAACCGAAACCACCGGAAACTCCGCCGGTAGTGTCCGCACGCGCCGCGCGCCGGCAACGGCTCGCCCGCGTGCAGACCTAGTTTCTCTTGTCGCCGGCGGGGGCCCGTGGTTGGTGGGAGCCGGGTGCTGCTGCTGCCGGGGAGGTAGGCGAGGAATTTGACGTCGGGGAGGGAGAAGGTGAAGCGGGCGTGGCATTCGCGGCAGATGTTGGTGGTGGTTTCGCCGCGGACGGAGGTTAGGCCTGAGGCGGAGGGGGTGGAGCAGGTGGAGCAGGTTGGGATGAAAGTGCTAAAGGGGTTGGGGGGTTAGTGAGATGGTTTTGAAGGAACGGTTGTCTGTCGTAAGGATGGTGGGGGGATTTATTTACCTAGGGAGGAGGTCGGCTACGGTACAGCCGGTTGCGTCAATGAAGCCAGCGCGTGTCGAGTGCTGATGAACAAGCTCCTGACGGAAGCGGACGGTGAAGGCGGTGGCACATTTCTTGCAGCTAGCAGCCTTTTCGAGATTGTCTTTCAAGCCAGTTATCTCATTGATGGTCTTGCATCGGTCGCACTTGATGTTGAGGTTGAGGACCGAAACCTGGAGCAGCTCAACCCCGTGGAGCTCGATGGATGGGAACGACATTGCAGTGCCTCTTTCAGGGGTTTGAGTAGGCAGGCTCGAACCGGCAGCCCCTAGCTCAATGGGTACGCCACCTTCCTCGTCATCCTCGTCGTATGAGTCGTCCTGGGAGTTGTCGGAATCATCGCCAGTCGTCCATTCAGGGGGACGGGGAATGACGAGGACATGCCCCTTGCCTTCGTCTAGTATCGAGGTGTGTTCGGCCTCCGCAGCTTCCTGCTGCGCGGTGCTGGGTGTTACTGTGACTGGGGCGCCCGTTTCCAACGGCTTTTGTGCTTGCTTTGCTAGAGAGTGTAAATTCTGGGCCAGATAGTTCAGGTGGCTGGTCAAGGACATCTCCTTCTGTTCGGCTGCCTTCTGCGCAAACAATTCTTCAACCGGCTCCGCATCGTCGGACTCGACGTCGTTAAAAATGACTCGTAAAGGTTGGAGGGGGTAAAGAAGTGGGATGATAAGCTGGACGGACTGGATTGCTTGAAGTCCAGTCGGGAGGCTTGCTCTGCGTCTTGGCTCCAGGGACAAGGTATAAATGATGCCGTCGCTAGACTTTTGATAGGCGGGAAGCCGGCTCATGCGGGTTTCCAGCTGGCGCACATCCTGTGCTCGGCGTGCTTTAGCTTCGGCAATCTGGGCCTCCGAATATGATTCCTCATATATGTACGGCCGGCTGACTGGGGTTGTAGTGACCGGGTTGGTAAGCTGTTCCGAGGGTTCAGCCGCCCCTTTGGCGTCCAAGTGCCGTGTATCCTTGAATATCGTCAATTTGACTGTTTCCGCCTTCTGCTCGGACAGCAAGGACTCTAGCCTCCTGTCGAGAGCGTAAATTAAGGAGAGCAGCGTGGCACCACGCTTCTCCTGAAGTAAAACATCCCAACCCCTTTCGATGTTGATAGCAAACCCTCGAGGGATGTTTTTGTTCCGGACCAGGAGTTGTGCTGGCTTCTTTGGGTATGCCGCTGGGACCCGGAGGTCGCACTCCAGATGGTTTAGGTCAAAGGGGAAGTCTGGGTCGGAAGGAGTCAAGTTGAACTGAAGAGAGAGCTCTCCGTTCTCGACCTCGGTCTCCTTTGGTGAAAAACGGCGTCTGAGTTGCTGGATCTGATAGCCACGTGTGTCCCTGGTCTCCTGTTCCGCAACCGGCTTCGGGACGACCCGAGACTGTGAAGCTTCAGGAACGGCTTGTATGCTAGAACGTGGCGAGACACCACCGCGGGGTCTGATCGGGATCATCTTGATCCGGGTTCGAGGTAAATTCTCAAAGTGATATAAACAAAAGAGGGCTGTGTAAAGAAGGGTATAATGTTGGAGAAAAGACAAGCAGAAAGTGACAACGCCTGCAAAATAAATCTCAAAGCTAGACGCTCCAGAAACAAGAAAGGAACCGATTAAAAAGTTGAGAGTTATTTGAGTCCCAAGGATTCAAGCTTAACTCCGATTCGCCACCAGTGAGAGTCGGGACCCCGCGGTAAAAGACGAGAACCGCTCTCCAATTTAGAGCGAGCGTTTAAACAAACCCAAACCCTTGGATCCACCCATTCAAAAAGGCATGACCCAGTTCCGGCGAGGAGTAAGAGTTGCTGATCCAGAATGACTCACTCTGATGAGATGAAGCCAAGTCTTGTTGTTACGATACAGGGGCAAGAAGAGGGAGAGGTGGAGACAGCGGGGAGCAAATGCACGGGCCATATTCCGCACTTGATGCTCGGCATAAACCCTAACCCTAGCTCACTCTTCGCGGCATTGAACTTCCCAATACCCATTTCCCAACCATGGTAAGCTGGGTGTGCTGACTATCAGGTGCCTCTTTATGGTAAACGCGGGAGCATTGTTACGAGTTGAAAGGCACCTCGCCCGCGAGCAATAAGTAATGGACCCGCCTGCCCCGGCCCAGATGAACTCCTCAACACCATTCGCGGAGATTTTCTCTGTCAACTGATACACTACCTCGAGATGGGATATTCGTATCTTGCCAACTAGATCTCAGGTTTCTGGAATTTCGTCACTAGTTATTTAAGTTGTCATTGAGTATTTAACCGCTAACACCAGCTGCTAACCGTCTCCTAGGCGAGAGAAGGACAACATGCAGTGGAAACCGTTTGACCTTCTAGAGAGCCGGGTTCGGTATGAGGTTTGCCCCTATTATCGAATGACACAGTATGTCTTCGCGAACGAGCCGATTTACCTTGGTTCACAGCGGCTGGGTCTCAAGACTCAAGGAGTCAAGATTTGCAGACTTTCTTCGGTCAGTACCCAACTCGAATTAGTCTCGAGGCTTCAAAAGAGCATCCACTGATGATATTCCCTTTACTTGCTTCAGAGGCTTCCGTTCCAACTGGAATGAAATGAGCGCAATCCGAACACATGTTCATGAATGTCTCTGGGACCTGGTAACATTCATGCCGGCCCCTGCTTTTCGTCCACATGATCGATCGGGCCGATCTCAAGTGGACGAAGTTCGGCTAGCCGCCCGTGCATGCATCAGGATGCTTGAACTCATTTCAACGTTCAAAACGGCTAGGACATGGAACAGAGCGCTCGAGAAGCCCTCCGTTAACGATGAGCTAGGGAAAAGAAAAAAGAAGCGAAAATAAAAAAGGATAAATGCAAAAAATAAAACACAATCCGCGAACTGTCCCATGATCCTCGACGGGACCAGTTCGGACGAAGATCCTCCATCAAGCGAGTAGACAGGCATGGAGGGCTTTTGCTCCCTTGTCAAGAGGGCCGGCAACGCCGGCAAGCTGAAGCTGAAGCTGCCGAAGCTCAAGCCGAAGCTAAAGTCAATGCTCTCTCTCGGGGCAAACTCTTGGGCCTCACCGGCGTGGGTCAAGCCCGGCCCCCGGCCCCAGCAGCTCATCCCGGCCCAGCGCTCCCATCCGATCGGGTACGATCGAGACGGAAGCGAGGTAAGCGATGGAAGCGAAGGCCTTTTTGACGAGATGACCGAACGATGCACCGGATCCTTCCAGAAGGGTGAATGGAGGGTCAAAGAGTTTGCGCGCCCTTGCTTTCAGGGGAGAGATGCCTTCCCCAATTGGGAAGTCGCCGGCTTTGTTGGCGGATGTCATTGGCTATTGGGAAACTAGGGGACGCCCTGGCCGACCCCAGGGGGTCCAAGCCCTCTGACCTGAGGATCGGGTCTGCCTCCGTTTTCTTGTTGAGATGGAGGCAAGGGAGAATTTGTCATCGAAGCTCTTTTATTTATTTTCTTTTAGTTCTGTTTGATAAACGTTTAGGCAAATTCCTCCTCGGTCCGACACGGAATTCAATAGTGTAATGTAAGACATGGAGGAACTGTCGACGGTCCGTTTGACCCACCTCTCAACTTCCAAGGAACTGGTTTTGACTGAGCCCCAGTGCCCATCAATGTCTCACCAGTCGTTAGTCGAACGTCACTCTTTTCTGTTGCTATGAGATTGACACCATCGGGCCGTTGAGGCGGTCCAGATTCAGCCGTGCCCAACCACAACGACTCTCCAGCGAGGCACAACCATGAGTACTTGGAGATCACGGACAGGGACGGTTGGTTCCACATGGTCGAAAAGAAACAGAAAAGCCCTTTGAGACGATTTGTACAGTACCGCATCATGTACGGCATCCGCAATGTCCACGTCATACAGAGTGAATCCCTTACTAGCATTTCTTCCCCGGAACAATCCCATGAATCACCGGCCAAGTAGTTCATCAACAGACACCAATCGACCCCAGTTTTTGAGTAATGGGTCCAGGGACGCTCAGACAGTCTGGGCCTGCAATGAACCAAGAAGAGGCCCTTTTTCGACGTTTGGTCCTTTGGCCAGGTAAGAGCGGCTCTCATGCCAGAATCCTGTCACAAAATTAGGATCATTGGGGGACTTGACGCTAACCAACGCTACTGTGTATGTACCTGAGACGGGCCTGGGTTTAGGGTATGTACATCCAGAATCTCTGCTCCGTTCTTTAATTTATGGATGATTTTGCATCCCGTATCAGGGGCCTGCGCGAGAATAGCGGGATGGAAATATCTTTCAGTGGCTCGTAGTTGATTCTCAGGTACCACCATGCACCTTGGACAAGACTTCTTATACGTCAAGTCTGCGGAATATCGCCGGAAAGATCGATGAGATGTAACGAGAGCGCGAAGCCACCTGTCGGATGTAAATAGCAGAATCAGCTTCCTCCTAGGTAGATTTACTAATTCCAGAAGTATAATTCCGCTGACATTGAACAAAGGAGCAGACGACAACTATCAATTTAGACACGAGTAAGTTGCTTCGAACTCAATACAATTTGCATTATATTTCCAATCACCAGAGTTCCTACGCCGGGGACACAAGTTATATAATGGATATTTCCCAGACGTACCACGTCTAAGTCTTTCGGCAGCATTTGAAATCATCTAGTAGAGCTTCGGGGCAAAGTCTTTGTGATTTTACCAACCATCACAGAGGTATGATAATATTTTTGTTCAACTCGTTTACCACCACAATGTTGATGCCAATGCTGCTGGTTAACTAGCAACACTAATTGCGTTCCTTTGATCCTTGTGTACACATATTCCACTCCGAATTACTGCAAGCATTGAGACGCTGCCGCCGGCGTAACTCCAGATCCCAACCGCAGTCTCCAGCACAATACGAACCGTCACTAATATTGAAATATTGTCGTTACCACAGCCACCTCATAGTTCCGATAGCCTTGGCCGTCTTGAGGACCACTAATGAAAACACAAGTACAGGTACATGGTCCATGATTGCCTACGGCTGTTCACCCTCTACCTATCCGGCCACCACATCAACAATATAATAGTGCAAATGTCCCATGATCGTGAAACGAGAGGACCTAGTCTAGTATTTTCTCCCATGTCTCCGTGAGTTTGGCCTAGCCAAGCACCGAAATGCTAGGAAACGGGCATTCCGGAATCCCCAGAGTGCATCAGGAGGCATGTTCAAGACACGGGAAGTCTTGAAGCCATCTTACAAGTCCTGTTATCCCGACTCCGAGGGCTTGCATAATCTTGTCGGGTTGGTCTCGGCCTAATTCGAATGTATGAAGAGAAGACGGCATCGAGGAGCAATCCGGGAATGTGAGATATTAACACAACTCAGATATCAACACGATGTCTCACTTCGGCTTGCTAACGGTAGGTTCGGTATTGGGGACGGCAAACAGCTGTTGACTTAGAGTATGACGCTTCAGGCCCCGTGACCACCTAGTTATGAGACCTGCTATAGCTTAAAAGTGTCGTACTTACAGAAACATATCATAGAGTCTGAGTTCGGTAGAGACTAACAGACGGCGTCCACCAACCTCCCGGCACGTAACCGTCGTCAATATCTCAGATTCTACGACTACTCGGGTCTGGGCCACTCGCTAGCCACGAGTTGTCTCACCTCTCACACGCTCCCGACCGGTCAACGATACACTACAACCCAACATCTCCAAGAACCAACCCATCGAACAAAATACTACCCAAAGTCATAAGGCGAGACATATTGCTTACCATCCGCTACCGCGCCCCCGTCGATGTACTTCGCCATCCACCAGACCTCAAGTCATGCCCCCCCCCCCCCAATAAAATAAAAAGTTAATACTAAAAAGAATAAGCGCGGCCAAAACCAACCCAGCCCCCCCAAAAATGCCCGGTTGTTGTCTCATTATCCAACCACGCGCACTTTACTCGCTCTGTGTTTCAGATCGTACCTCGTGATGGCGGCCCCGCCGTTTCCCGCCGCAAACACGCCCATAACATGCGACCCCCCATTCCAGCCCCGCGCCCCAGCGAAAACCGTAGTCCACGCCGTAAGAGAGTAAGTCAGCGGCTCGTTACCACCACCACCACCACTTTGAAAGAAGTTTACCTTACACGACACAGAATTAATTGAACAAAAAGGAGGGAGGGTAGCATAGACAGCAGAGTCGGTCTAGACTTCAGGGTCTTCTGGTGTCCCGTCCCTCCTTTAATTCACGATATTCCACAGCTCGCGTGTACACGTTTCTTGAGACGGGCTTCTCCTCTGACTGTATCTTAACACCAAACACACACAAGTCAATACGCACCGCATCGTGGAATCGCTAGATCGTCATTCACCGACTTGGAACCGGTCCTCAAAATGCACGATGCCCCGGCAAATCGCCCCGTCTGGGCCGTTGCGGGGCAAAGTAAAGACGGGTACTTCCCACGTAACATGTAACTACACTAAGGTACACGTACCTTAAACTCAAATCTTCAAGGAGCGGAGGTGGCAAAT